ATCATTGTTACTGGTATTTGGCATATTGGATATGCCACGAGGCTCTGCCATGTCGGCGGGATATTCTCAGTAGCTTGCCAGGCTCTCTGAGAGGGATAGAGGCTTTTAGGGCGGCCTCTAATCGCCCTTACAGGTGTTACCATGGTTCAAATCATATTTGAACCCCATCAAATATGGTAGTGCGGTAATCTTGGAAGATGGGCATTAAGTATCGTATGATGTGTCACCTATAAAATATATCTCATGTATAATATCATGAAAAGTATATAAAATTGTGACTACCATCCAGTCAGGAAGTAGAGTTTGGTATCATCCCAGAAACTCCTCAATTGAGTGTTTCTTCCTGATTAGTCTCCCTGTTCTCTAGCGATGATCTTCAGTGTTGTTTTATATGCCTTAATTGGGTTTGGGTGAGGGGGCACTACTGGCACTGCTTAGGGTTTATCATGGCTCTGTGCTCAGGAATCAGTCTTGGTGGTGCTTCTGGGACCCTGTGATGTTCCAGGGGGATCAAACTGAGGTTGGCTAAGTGTAAGGCAAGCTCCTTGACCCCTGTGCTCTCTCTGACCCCAATTGCCACCATTTCCTACGGTCAGGTTTCCAGCATCTGCTTCCAAGGGGGCTTATAGAGTCGTTGGGTTTCTGGGCCACCCATGTGGTTGAGCAGCTCCCGTGGATTCCTCTTGTGGGTCCTGATTATGGTGTTTTGCCCATTTTCCCCCCATTTGTCTTTGTATTTATACAGTTTAGCTGACATGTCAGTGTCAGCCAGAGATTCTTGTTTCTTTTCTCTTAAGATGTGAGTGGTGGTGAAAACTCATTTGTTACTTAGACATTTGGATGGTGTAGTTTTAAATACCTTGGATCATTATAGTTCTAGTCTGAAATTCTATGGAGGGGTGTGTGTGTGTGTGTGTGTGTGTGTGTGTGTGTTTGTAGGTGACCATTTTCCCATAATTTCCACACCTATTTTTCTGCTTTTCATGTAGAACAAATCTTTGATATATCCATTAATTGGTCATATTAAATTCCATGGGGGAATGCATTGTCACTTTCTGAAACGTGAATTTATGTGTCAGACAGCAGAAGAAAGACGACATTTCAAGCTGGGATTGAGTAGGCAGTGGACCTGCAGGTGTGGCCATGACAGCCAGCCTTCGGCCTGGGGGCTTTTGACTTGAGAGGGAGGTATGAGGGCGCCGAGCTAAGGGCCTGCTGCTCTGTGGGGTTGGAGCCTTGTGCTGGAGCTAGTGGCTTCCTAGATTCACTCATCCTGTTGGCACTGTCATGATTCTCAGTGGGAAATGCTGGGAGGATAAGGATTCCTTTCAAGCTTTCTGTTATTTTTGCTTAAGATCTGTGTGTTATCTGAGAGAGCGTTTGGTCCCCATACTTTAAGGGGAGTTATTCTCCAGTATGAGAACAGAAGGAGACATTTTGGGTAAGATTTCTATTTCATTTGCCTCACGTGGCTGTATTTCTCATGGCTCTACATGCAAGGTCACTCCTGGTGATACTTGGGGAACCATATGAGATGCTGGGGATTGAACCTGGATCGGACATGTGCAGGGTTAAAGCCCTACCCACTGTACTATCTCTCCGGCCCCTACCTGCATTTTTAGTTGATATTTTGGTGTGAGCCTGTATTGCACATGACTTCAGCTATGTTAGAAGTAACAGTGGGCTTAAGAAAAACCACAGGGCCAGGAGGTAGGATGCAGTGAGTTGGACCTGGGGGCTTTGGACTAGAGAGGGAGGTGTGAGGGCGGCCTAACCGCACTAGACCTGGGTTCCATCTCCAGCACCACATGGCCCCCAGGCATCACCAGCTACAGCCATGGAGGCCCCGAGTCCTGCTAGTGTGGCCCTGGTAGTCCTTGGCAAGTGGCATCTCAGGGCCTGATCAGTTGGCCAGTTTCACCTGAAGTTGCCCTGGGCTCCCTGAGCACTGCTTGGAAAAGCCCCCTACGTAATCCCCTTCCCCCAAAGGAAAAAAAATATGGGAGACCAGATCGATAGTATAGAGGAGAGGGTGTTTGCTTTGCCTGTGGCCAACCTGGGTTCAATCTCCCATGTCCCATATGGTCCCCTGAGCACCACTAGGTGTAATTTCCAAGTACAGAGCCAGGAGTAACCCCAGAGCATTACTGAGTGTGACCCAAAGAGGGCAAAAAAAAAAAAAAAAAAGAAAGAAAGAAAATGGAACAAAATCAGAGGATTTTGGTTGGAATAAGGTTTTTAGGGCTGGAGTGATAGTGTTGTGGGAAGGGCATTTTGCCTCAGCCAACCTGGGTTCCATTCCTGGCATTCCATATGGTTCCCCAAGCATTGCCAGGAATAATTACTGAGTGCAGAGCCAGGAGGTAAAAATAACCAATAAATTAAATAAAAACTTTCATGCTTCTCACGGGCTGGAGTGATAGCACAGCAGGTAAGGTGTTTGCCTTGTACGTAGCCATCCCGGGTTCAATTCTGCCGCCCCTCTCAGAGAGCCGGGAAAGCTATCGAGAGTATCTTGCCCTCACGGCAAAACCTGACAAGAAGTCTCACAGTTTGTTGTGAGACGTTACCGGTGCCCGCTCAAGCAAATCGATGAACAACGGGAGGACAGTGCTACAGTGCTACAATGCTTCTCACACAGAATGGGCACTTATTATTTACTCTGTATTTTCTTTTTTTTTTAAATTTAATTTAAAAAAATTTTTTTTTATTTTTTATTAGTGAATCACCGTGAGGTTCAGTTACAGACTTACAAACTTTCGTGCTTGTGTTTCAGTCATACAGTGCTCGAGTACTAATCCCTCCACCGGTACCCATTCTCCACCACCAATGATCCCAATATCCCTCCCCCCCATCCCCCCATCCCAACCCGCCTCTGTGGCAGGGCATTCCCTTTTGTTCTCTCTCTCCTTTTGGGTGTTGTGGTTTGCAGTAGAGGTATTGAGTGGCCATCATGTTCAATCTATAGTCTATTTTCAGCATGCATCTCCCATCCCAAGCGGGTCCTCCAACCACACTTTACTTACTCTGTGTATTTTCACACTGAGACCAGCAGCCACTGCCTGCCTGTACCATTTTATGATTCAGGAGTTTTTTTTGACTTTTGCTTGCTTTTTGAACCACATCTGGCATGCTCAGAGGTTACTCTTGGCTCTGCACTTAGGAATTATTTCTGACGGGCTCAGGGAACCATATGGGATCTCTGGGATCGAACCGGGTCAGCCACAAGGTAGACGTGCACCCTACCCACAGTACTATTGCTCTGGTCTCCCGATTCTGGAACTTTTAACTTTTAACTGAGTGTGGAAAGGACTAAAATTTAAATATAATAGGGTAGATTTCTTTTTCTTCTAAAGGGCCTACATGGATAAAAAGTAATTGTGTCTGAGGGAAGAGGAAAAGCTTAGTCATGTGACTTCTTCACCTATGATGGACTTTGTCCTTGTTTGGATCAAGATTCCTTTAGAAATAGTAAGAACCATTGGCACTCTGCTGTGAGCTTGTGGGTGACTGAGAAATAGAGCTGGGGGAGTGCAGGACATTTCCCAGCGAGTTCCAGAACTAGGGATTGTGCCATTGTTCTTTTTGGGGGGTTGTGGTAGGCGGTACACAGCTAGTGGTTCCTGGACTCGTTCCTGGTGTCCCTGGTGTCCTGATGGTGCTGGGGATTGACCTGGGCACAAGGCAAGCAAGCGCCTTCTTTTTTTCTGGCCCACAGCTGGCGATGCTTAGGAGTCACTCCTGGCTGTGCACTCAGGAATCACTCCCAGCAGTGCTCAGGCGACCATATGGGATGCCAGGGTTTGAACCCAGGTCGGCCGTGTGCAAGCAAATGCCCTACCTGCTGTACTATCTCTCTGGTCCTTTAAAACTATGCTTTTATCTTCTTTTTGTTTTGGGGCTACACCTGGTGATTGCTCAGGGGATACTTCTTAGTGTGACCTCAGGAATCACGCTTGGTGGTGCTGAGGGACCATATGTGGTGCCGAGGATCAAAACCAGCATGCACAGCAAATGCCCTAGCCACTGTACTGTCTCTGTGGCCCTCTACTTTTATTTTATATCTTGGAACTCAGAATAAAGTGATTGCCACTTAGCTTCTGAATTCTGCTTGTGAGACTAAGGAACTTTGGCACTGGTTTGAATATGTTTAGCCTGGAGGTCAGATGCCTAAATAGTTTCCTGTGTTATTTTGGTTAATCTTGTTTGTTAGCAGAGAGACAAAGTTTCCCCTTTTTTAAAAAACATTCGTATTTTTAGTGTATCAGTGGAGGTAAGAATGGCTACCAACCTCTGCTTATGGTGTGCATAGTGCTGCTCCTCCACCACCCCCAGCAGGATGAAGACCCTCCTCCACTGTCCTGCTGTCACGTCCAGGCCACCTTTTCCTCCCCCTCCCAGCCAACCCCCAATTTTTATTTATTTTATTTTTTGGTACTTTTGGTGATGCTCAGGAGTTACTCCTGGCTCTGTGCTTAGGAATTACTCCTGGTGGTGCTTGAGGGACCATATGGGGTGCCGGGGATTGGCTGCATGCAAGACCTTACCACTGTATTATCTCTCCAATGCTCAATTTTTATTTTATTGCTATTATTTTCTCTTAGGGTCTTGGGGTCACACCTGAAGTAGGTGCTTCGGGACTACTCTTGGAAGTACTTGGGGGTCCCTGTGGAGCAGGGGATGGAACCCAAGTCCCTGCATGCTAAGTACATGCGCCAGTGCTCCAGCCCTTTGAGCCACCCCCAGCCTGGGCAAGTCCTCATGTGCCTTTATAAAAGGAAAGGAAGGTGTGTTGACAGCATCACTGAGCTTTTCTTAGCAGCAGTGAGTTTGGGGAGCCCTTGGTTGAGTTGTACTTTGTCTCTCGGGCCTAATGCCATTCAGGCCCCCACACAAAGTGTAAGGGATTATCACAGTAGTGAATGAATGAATGAAGTGCAGAAGAAATGGACTGGACAGTTGAACATGTGTTTACACCTTGTCTTTTTTTTCTCTTTTAGAAAGAAAGAACTCTTGGCCACCAAGAAAGACCGTGTGAATCACTGTCTGACAATCTGTGAAAACATAGTAGCGCAGTCTCTCAGGTAATTTGAATTTTCTAAAGCAGCTTTGAATCTTCTATGAAAAGAATATATTTTCAGTCTCAGTGGGTTACAATATTCTCTGTCCCTTGTCCTAAAACCTTTAGAAAAATCCAAAAGGAAATAGTCATTCCCCCTGCTTATGAAGCAAGGCTGTGCAGAGTAGTATTTCTATGTACATTAGATGAGTGGTATAATAGCACCCCAAGTTGTAGTACCCGAGTTTGATCCCTAGCACCCCCTGTTTGGTCCCCTGAGATCTTCAGGCATGATCCCTGAGCACAGAGCCAGGAGTCAGCCCTGGGCACTGCTGGGTGTGGCCCCCCAAAAAAGAGTAGCATAATAGTCTTAACAGTCTTAACCATGATGGTAACTGCGCAGCAGGTTTTTATTTAATCAGTATTCTTGGTAACTGATTATTTAAAATGATCCTTTGTTTGATATTTGTATATTTCTTGCAGTCATTGATAGGAGACTGTCCTATTGGTCCTGCTGTTTCTCTTCTTCTCTTTTCTTTGTCTTGATTTGGGGCTCCGTCCGGCAATGCTCAGAGCTTACTCTTCGTGGGATCTGGGGACAATATGGTGTGCTAGGGAACCAAAGCTGGATTGATAGCGTGCATGGCAAGCAGCCCTCCCTGCTGTACTATCTTTCCGGCCCTCTTACGCCTTTTTGGCTTTTCCTGGGTAGTTTGCTGGCTCCTAGGAAAGGGCCGCCACTCTCGGGCTGCTACCTGCTCTCTCCGTCTGGGATTAGAGGTCGAGGCGGGAGCCTAGAGCTGACTCCCTTGCAGAACTGGCAGCACTTTCCTTTGTGACTTCTTTGCTAATTGTCTTGTTCGCTTTTCTTTTTTGTGTTATTTTGGGGTGGGGGGGCCCACAGCCAGCTGTGCTCAGGGTTTACTCCTGGTTCAGTGCTGCGGAGTTCGGTGGTAGTGCTGGCAAGCTGGAGTCAGCCCAAAGCAAGTTCTTGTCCACTGTCCTTCTCCGGCCCCTCTGCTTTTGGCAGCTATCTTGTTATTCGCTCTTCCTAGTGCCATGAATGGGAAATAGTTTAGACTTCCTTCTGACAGATGGTCCTGTGATTTCTGGCTTCTGTTGCTCACTGGGTTTGTGACACAGTATTTCTCTCCTTCTCTTTCCCAATGAATAAGGAATTGGCATGTTGCTGCTGGAAGCTGGAGACTGCCTAAAAATCTATTAGAAAAGGCTCTGAGGCTAACAGTCTTGACCTTAATACTGACAGAACCTGGTTATTCATTTACTTTTACTGTCCCCTGCGTTTGTGCTTTAGACTGGCACTGTGACTTCACATACTGTATTTCACTTGAGCTCACGTAACCGTTTGTGAAGTACCAGGACAAGTTTCTGTTTCTGTCTGATTTGTAGACCTGTTGTGGGAGCAGTAGGAAAGAACAAATGAGAGTGTTGGAAATGAAAATATAAAAGTTCCAAGTTAGGTGCTGTTGTAGAACACTGTTAAAAGTGGGAGGAGTTAAGTTCTAGCCCAGCTCCTAAGAAGCTGGCAGGTTCAGCTAAGTTGGACTCATTTGAGCCTCCATTGCCTCATTCCTGAGGTGGAGACCCATTGTAGTGACAAGGGGCCCCCACAGGCATCCAAGGGCAATCTCACGAGCTCCTACCTCTGTGGGTGGCTGTGGGAGCTGCCACCGCTCTGTGGTCACTCCTCTACTCCACCAGCTCCTTCTCAGAGACAGTCTTTTCACCGAGCAGAGAGATCTCTTCAGTGTGAGCGCTTCATGTTTAGACTTACTATGTTTCGTGAAGATTCCCAGTGCAGTTGATGGAGTTGGCTTAGATCCACATACTAGTAAAGGAAGTTGAGGTATTGTAAGATGATTGATTTGTGGTTCAGCTTTCCATTTTAAATCAAAATAATTTCACATTAGTGTATCTCTTCTGTTTTGGGGAGTAATGCTGGTAGTCATTAGATCTCTCTGAGAGGAACATTTGTTCACTTAGCAATTTTATGGGTCCAGAGAAGTCACCCATGGTTTCCTCAGAATAGAGAACAAGTTTGTATTAAGGGACATGTGTGCTTTTGACATGTGTGCTTTTGATGTTCAAACATTCTGCAGCTTCGCAGCCACCACAGAGCGTCTTAGTACTGTCTGCCACTGTCCATACTTGGCAGGAACTTACAGCTATAGAGCTGAAGTAAATCTTTTCTGTGCACATAATGTTTTAGAAAATCTTGGTAGCTGAGATTTGCCTCAACCTCTTTTCTTTGGTTTGTTCCTATAGTTTCTATGACACTGACCTTGAGTCCAGCGGGTCATTTCATTGGCAGCTCATGTGAAGTCTTGTGAGGCTTCCCCTTTATGGTGACTCTTAGCCTCCTTCTGTTCTCTAAGCTACTGGTTTCTAAGACCACCCTTAAAATGTTGACAGCCCTTAACGTCATCTGGAAAAGTTGTCCAAGATGCACAGGTGGCTCTTCCCTGTATCCATGTGCAGCTGCTTCCATCTGCTTGGAGTTGGGGGCTTGATTTTGTTGTTGTTGTTTTTAGTGCTAACAGGGGTTTGAGGAGAGATTAGGCCACACCCAGCAATGCTCAGGGACAGTTCTTGGGTGAGCGCTCAAGGGTCGCTCCCGGGAACCATATGTGGTGCCAGGAATCAAACTGGGGTTGGCCATACGCAAGGCAAGCACCTTATTCCCTGTACTATCTCTTGCTCTTGTTTTCGTTTAAAAATTTATTTTTACTGTAATTTAGGTAACGTGGTTACAACAGTGTTGACATGTGTGCTTTTGATGTTCAAACATTCTGCAGCTTCGCAGCCACCACGGAACGTCCTAGTACTGTCTGCCACTGTCCTTGTGTCACTTCCAGTCTGTCTTTGCCTTTGGATATTTGTTTTTAGCAAGTATTGTTTTGGGAATACCTTGAACCCTCATAGGTAAGAATAACTGCAGAAATTCATAGATTTTCCTAGATTTTGGCTTAAATCAGTTAGAAAATAGAATGGTTTAAGATTTAATTCATTGAGGTATTGCACTGTGGGCTGGAGCAATAGCACAGCGGTAGGGCGTTTGCCTTGCACGCAGCCAACATGGCCGACCCGAGTTCAATTCCTCTGCCCCTCTCGGAGAGCCCGGCAAGCTACCGAGAGTATCTCGCCCGCACGGCAGAGCCTGGCTAGCTCCCCGTGACGTATTCGATATGCCAGACACAGTAACAACAAAGTCTCCAATGGAGACCTTACTGGGCCCGCTCAAGCAAATCGATGAGCAACGGGAGGGCCTTTACCTTTACCTTTACCTTTTATTGCACTGTGGCACTGTCCTCCCGTTGTTCACCGATTTGCTCGAGCGGGCCCAGTAATGTCTCCATTGTGAGACTTGTTACTGTGTTTGGCATATCGAATACATCAACAGGTAGCTTGCCAGGCTTTGCTGTGTGGGCGAGATATTCTCGGTAGCTTGCAGGGCTCTCCAAAAGGGGCGGAGGAATCGAACTCAAGTCAGCCGTGTCGGCCACATTCAAGGCAAATGCCCTGCCCGCTGTGCATGGAGGTATTAGATTATAAAATTCCCTGGAATCAATAACATGAACATGTGCAAGTATGAAGACTCTTACTTTCATGATAGACATATAAACTACTTTCCTTTCTTTTTCATCAAACTTGTTTGAGAAAACAGTTTTCCAGATTATGAAGCTTGAATTCTCCAAATCAATTCATAATTTTTTTTTTCTTTTTGGGTCACACCCGGCGATGCACAGGGGTTACTCCTGGTTCATGCACTCAGGTATTACTCCTGGCAGTGCTCCGGGGAACGATATGGAATGCTGGGAATCGAACCGACCCAGTTGGCCGCGTGCAAGGCAAACGCCCTACCCACTGTGCCATCGCTCCAGCCCCTCAGTTCATAAATTTAACATGATATTCATCATGATTATACTAAAGCTATTTTTGTTTATTCACTTGTTTGCTTTTGGGCCAAACCTGACAGTGCTCTGGGGTAGCTCCTGACTCTGCACTCTGGAATTACTCTTGGCAGTGCTCCAGGGACCATAGGATGCTGGGGATTGAACCCAGGTAGGCAACCCAGGTAGGCATTTTGCAAGGCAAATTCCCTACTCATTATACTCTCCCTCCCAGCCCTAGAGCTATTTTTGAACTGTAAGAATAAGTAATATAAGGGTTGCAAAGAATATCTGAAACCATCAATAATCTGGTAAAAATATGTTAATGGACATTAAAATAGCAGTTAGTTAGTACAGTGGGTAAGGTCCTTACTTTGCAGGCAGCCGATTCAGCTTCAATATCCAACGCCCCACCTGGTCCCTCAGCACTGCCAGGAGTGATTCCTAAGCACAAAATAAATCTGAGCACAACTGAATGTGGCCCCTCCCGCACCCCCAAGATACATGTATATATAGAGCACCAGAGAGCGCGAGCGAGCATTTAGGCATTTAAGGAGATTTAGAAGCCATTGGTAATATGGTAAAAGTACGTTTAAAAGCACACTTAAATACATTAAAATAGCAGTCAGACATTTCAAGTGTACCAGAATAGAAACTGAGTTTATGTGTATGAATTTGTAGTAAAGATGACATTCTGAAGTGAAACGGTGGTTTTCAGTGAATCAACTGACTATTCGGATGCGTGTTTTGTCTGTCTCATAATCACAGTAGGAGTAAGTAGGTTAAATAGCAAAAATGAAATTACTCTTTTATATTTGTTTTTTGTTTGGGGTCCACACCTGGGTGATGCTCAAGGGTTATTCCTGGCAGATGCTGGGGATCGAATTCCAGTCAGCTGTTTACAAGGCAAGTGCCCTACCTGCTGTGCTGCCTCTCTAGCCACCTCCCCCCCAAATGAAATCGTTCTTATGAAAAGAACAGTTCAGTGTTGGACTGAGGGAAAACAAACCATGTGATAGAAAACTAGCTATGACTGTGACATGGTTTGTGTGTCAGCATACACCAAAACCCAGAAGTGAGTGCTGATAGCCTGTAGATCTGCCAGAGTGTGAAGAATCTGCTGGTTTTGTCTATTTTCATTTATTGGTTTTTGGGCCATACATAGTGGTGCTCAGGACCTACACCTGGCTCTGTGCTCAGGGTTCGCTCTTGGCGGAGCTTGGAGGAACAGAATATGGGGTGCTGGGGATTGAATCCGGGTCAGCTGAGCTCATGGCTAGTGTCTTGCCTGCTATACTAGGGCTCCAGCTCAAGATGGCCGTTTCACGGTGACAGGTGTGATATAGCCCAGTGGGCAGGATGTCCTAGAAGCATTTGCTCCCTTGTACTGTGCCTCAGAAAGCACATGAAGTGCTTGAAAAATGGAAGTAGGCTCACCAGCAAGAGCTGGGGATTTCCACTGCCTCCGTCACTCCAAATGTGCACTTAGAAGTCGTCCATAACACTCCCGATCATGTGGCCAGCCTCTCAGGGATACGCCATCACAAGCAGCAAAGACTCACCTCTTAAGTGCTCACTGTTCATTTGCCACAAGGACTCAAAGCTAGGCTACCAGGCACATCCCGGAATGGAAGAGCACTCAAATCCTAGATTATCTCATCTCATGGAATTCCTTGGTCCCTGTCACAGAAAGCAGGTCTGGACGTTTGTATCTGAGAGAAAAACACATCAAAGTGACCCATGGGCAAAGAAGTCAGGATGGAAATTTGGAAGTATTTTGAGTTCGTTAAAAATAAAAATTTCAGAACTTATTGTATTCTGCTATTATACATTAAGGGCCATTTACAGCCTTAAACTCTTACAAGAAAAGAGGAAATCTTGAATTGAGGACCTTAACTTTCACACCAGGAAACTTGCAAAAGAACAGTGCACGAGTCTTAAATGCCTCTTAAGAATGAGCAAAATAGGACTGGAGCCAGAGTGCAGTGACGAGGTTGCTTACCCTGCACGTGACCAACCGGGTTTGATCTCTGGCACCCCGTCTGGTCCCATCAGCCCACCAGGAGTGATCCCTGAGTGTAAAAATCCCACACACGCAGGCCTTGAAGCTTTGTAAACCCCTCTTGGGCTGTGTAGACCCCTCACGTGTGTGGGAATTGCACGTGAAAGAATGTTCGCGGGCTCCCCGGGCATCTTTCTCTCACCGCCCGTGTTTGGTGCTCTCGAGCCGCTTCTCCACCGGGGTGGCTGTTGCCTTGGACAGACGAAGGAAGAACGAGAGCCAAGCTCGTTGCTGATTAGCTGCTGTTTATTCAGTCTCTCCCTGCTCTCTCCAACCCTCTCTCTCTCTCTAACTGCACAATTCTTTCTTCCTGCTCTATCCTCTCCTCTATCTCTCTGCTCTCTCTCCCTTTCTTCTCTCCTTCTCCTTCAATCAATCAATCCCTCAGTCCACCCAACAATCCAACCCAACCTTCAGTTCATTTAACCATCAATCCAACTACCCCTTTCTCCCTGCAGCTGCTCTTTTAATCCTCTCACCACGCCTCCCCAACCACACCTCACCACCCCATGGGAAGCGTGATCAAAAATGTTTTTCCAGACCACCTGCAGCCTACAAGGGCAGAACCGCCCTTAAGGGGTTTCTCCTCTCCTTAGACCTGCAACTTAATTAGCATATTTAATTCTCCTTCCTGGGCTGGAGTGATAGCACAGCGGGTAAGGGCGGTTCCCTTCCATGCAGCCAACATGGTCCACCCGAGTTCGAATCCTCTGCCCCTCTCAGGAATACCGAGAGTATCTCACCTGCACAGCAAAGCCTGGCAAGCTACCCGTGACATATTCTATATGCCAAACACAGTAACGAGTCTCACAGTGTTACTGGGCCCGCTCGAGCAAATCGATGAACAATGGGAGGACAGTGACAATTCTCCTTCCTAATATTTATCATTCTATATGAACACAGTATTGGATACTTTTAGGCTTGTAGGGTGACTCTCCAGGGGACATCTTACCACAGACTCAGACCATAATGCTCAGGCTGGATCAATCATTCCTAATCTCAGCAGGGTCCAAATCTAGTTACTACTTTTGGATCATGACAGAATTTGTTCATGACCAAACTCTTATAGTTAAGCATTAGGGCACTTTGGCCAGTCCCATTTCGATGCCAGGGTAGCTCGTAGCTCACCGCTTGCCATGCATCCAGTTCCTCGTTGGGACCCTGCTTTTGGGGATCTAGGAAGTAAGGGCAACTGAAGCTCAAGTAGAGAGAGTAGATGTCCAGGAGGTATATTATCTGGAGTCAATCAACTCCCAAGCCACAGGCTTGTCTTTTTAACTGTCTTTCTGTATCCATACAAAAAGCAGTTGCTCTGAAATAGCTAACCATGCAGAGGACATTAAGGAGAAGAGAAAATGTTTACAAGTCAAAGTCTGATCAGGAGACAAAGGTAATTGACAGGTTGGAGGGCAGTCAACAAACACAAGTTCCCAGCGGCCAGGGAGGAAGGGCAAACCAACGTTATCCCACACTTGAGCACGACAGACCCAGAAGTAAGTAAGCCCTGAGCATCACTGGGTGTGACCCAAAAACCCAAAAATAATCATAATGATAAGAGTAGAGGTTGGTATAATGAAAGGCTTTCATTTTAAGAAAGTAGAGAAAATCAGACCATAGCCAGGTTCTTTGGAAACATCAGCAGGCCTGGAAAAAAAAAAAAACAGGGATGAAAGAGTAAAGTCAGATTCCTAGGATCTGGCACCCAGGAGTGGCAGCAGTAAGGTGCCTATAGCTAGCACAGGCATAAAGGAGTCTATGGTAACTCCCCACAAAGTATAAAAACTTGGTGAAATGCACAAGTAAACTGTCAGGGTGGATCGCCAGGGCGTATGCTTTGCAGGCACTGACCCTGATTTGAACTCTGGTACCATATGACCCTCTACACTTGCCAGTGTGGCCATACCGTGCCTGTGGATCCTCATGCCAACTGCTGCCCTGGTCGGTCGTTTTTCTCTTGGAGTGGGCTCCAGACTGCTTGGGAGGCCCTCTGAAAGGAAAAGTTAACAAGTATCTGGGAGATCATCTTTCGCAAGAAGAAATATGTGACTCGATTAGCCTCAGGTCAATTTTGTTAAAACTTATTTGGCTTAGTTATCAGAGGTCATTTATTCCTTTTGAGGACTTTAGCATTGCTTATTTACCTATGAGTTTTAGAAAGTTCAAATCCACAAAGAATTTTGATGAAAATATTGTCTGAATTAAGATGTGTCATAAAACACACTAATTTCATAGTGATTACATGTTGAAATAATATTTTGAAGCTGTTGCTTTAAATGAAATCCAGGATTTCTCTGTCGTTTGAGAAGATTGGGACAGCAGAGCTCCTTTTTCCTGCAACCCGTCCTGCTGATGCCCTGATCCCGGCTGGACTGGCCTGAAGCTCTCACGTGTCTCTTGTTTCTGGCTGGTCTATGTCCGTCACTCAGTGTGCTTCTCTTGCTGTTGATAGGGCCAGGACTCCTCGGACACGACTGTGAGTGGGACACTGCAGCTGGTGAATGGCAGCCTTGTTAGGAGTGTGGTGCTCCCTGGTGCAGGGGCGTTGGCTTTGGTTGTGTGGCCACTCAGCTTCTCTCTTTCTCCGCTGAACTGCGCCGCTTGGGTCAGGCTCTCAAATGCACAAATGTACAGGCTCGCTCCTTCAAGCCTGTGTTCTCCCTTGAACACGTATCTTGCTTGTTTGTCTGTTTCGTTGTTTGCTTATTTCCATTCTGGAGAAGCCCATGTTCTCTCTTAAATACGTGTCCCCTCCTTCTCTCCTCTCACGTCTTTCTACCTTGTTGCATAAAAACTACCTTGCCTCACTGGGGAAAGAAAAAAAAAAAACATTATCTACAGATGTTACCGAAACTGCAGTCTCTTTGAGTCTGTGATGGAGAAGACCCCTAGCCTGAGTACCATCAGACTGAATCTAGTGAAATATGGTTCTCCCGGGGAGCATTTTGGACACAAAATTAGAAGTGACTGCTTAGAGGGGCCATACTGATGGGGACTGATGGTTCCGAGGATATTCGGTGGGTGTGTGCGTGTGGCAGGGGGTGCCAGGCAGTGCTGAGGGGACATGCAGTCCTACAGATGGAACTTGGGGCCTCTGCATGCTAGGATATACTGCAGCGTCCTGTCCCTTTTTTAATTTCTTTTTCCCCCAGTTTTTATTGTGGCACCATAATTAACACTGTCAGTGACAACAATTCTGTCTGTGCCCCATGCCCACCACCAGAATGTCAGCTTCCTCCCAGTGACCCAGGTTCCCACCCATTTTTCCCTCCCCAGCTTTGGTTCCAAGAATACTGTAGCTGGAGACGGCTGGCCGGGCTGGGGAGCCAGGTCAAGTGGGAGAGCCCAGGGCCCACCCCTGGCACTGCCTTTCCCAGCCTCTACCCAGCACTCCCAGGTGTGACCCCTGTAAGAAAATAACAAAACCGAAAACTGAAAAATCACATCTGGGCAGAGAGCAGATGGCAGTGTGGGGGCTTAAGTCTCTAAGTCCGATTATTGTTTATTTTCCCCTCCCACTCAGCAGTGCCCAGCGAGTGTCTCCTGGGAGGGCTGTGGGGCGGACCCTTTGTGGTGCTGGGGATTGAGCTGGGCTTGCCTGTGTTCAAGGACAATCTGGTAGGACAGCCCAAGTCACAGGAAGCCTGAGAAGGCAGCGCAGAGCCCCTCTGCCCCACATCGTTGCCCTGAGCATTTGTGTGGGATTTCTTCGCAGCTGTGAACCAACAGTGCAGCGCCATGAGCCTCCACTCCCAGCAGCACCCGATATCTGCTCTAGGACTCACGGATTCTGAACACTTCTGTTCACTTTGTCTTCATGTCTTTTGGGAATCTTCTGTGCTGTGATTTTTTTTTTTTCTCCTTTCACTTAGAAATTCTCCAGAATTCCAGAAACTCCTGGGCATCGCCATGGAGCTTTTCCTGCTGTGCAGTGATGACGCCGAGTCTGATGTGAGGATGGTGGCTGACGAGTGTCTCAACAAGGTCATCAAGGTCAGGCCCTCCCTCCCTGCTCTGTGGCAGCTGTCTAGGACCTCGTTGTGATGATGGGACCGCACTATTGGTGGCAGTGCTTGTTGGAATTCACACGCTCTGCCATGTGCTTTGGGGATCCAAACAGCAGTGCCTCTGGGCTGGCACTGGACATCATGCCCCAAGGCCAGCGGTCCTCATGGGGCAGTCTGGCTCCCAACTCCGGGGATCAGAGAGGAGGAGTAGAGCCCCTGGGGATGTCTGCACGGTTATGCTTGTGCAGGAGTTGAATCAGGAACCCAGCTGTCTGCCCCTGTGCACTGATGGTGTTTGCCCGGTGCTCTCAGGAAGATGTCACCGCAGGCGCCAGCTTTGGTTTGGACATAAGAATCTGAAGGGCAGCAGAACTCTGGAAAGTGGTAGGTGAGAAGGGATCCTCTCTGGTCACCATTTCCTGCCACTAAGACCAGATCAGAGGATGAAGATTTGTTTCTTTTTGTATTTGGACCACTCCCTGGTTCTGTGTTCAGGGATCACTCCTGGCTGTGCTCAAGGATCCTATGTGGTGCGTGGTGCTGGGGCTTGAACCTGGGTTAGGCACTGTGAGGAAAGTGCCCGCCCCGCGCCACTGTACTCCTTCTTTGGCCCCAAGTGGGTGGAGATACAACATGTGCAGCTAGGGGGTATGGTGCCGCCAGCAGGTCAATCTGTACCTGTGAGGCGAGTGCATCAGCAGCCTGATGGCGCCTTCAGACTTCCAGATACCCCAAAATTGCTGCTGTGCCTTTGGCCAGACCCCAAAAACTTGGGGCAAAGTTTACCAAGAAAGTAAACGACCAAAAGTTAGGTATGTGGGAAATACACCCACAAACCACCTCTGGCTTAGCTATATAATTGGAGGCAAGGCCTCTTTGGTTCCTGATTGAACTGCTTAATGGACATGATCCCAGAGACTCAGAAACGAATCTCAGAACCCAGTGACTTTAGGTAGAAATGTGTCTGGTCTCTGCAGTAGGCTACCGGTGCTGGGCCAATCCAGGTGGGAATAGGTTTCGTGCCTTGGCCTGTTCCCCCTGGCGGCCCAGTGGCCGCCATCCGTCTGATGCCACTGGATAGTCACATTTGGGCCCCCAGTGACGAGACACACAGGGCCTCACGGGATGGGGGTGGAGCCGGGCTTGTCCTCCCCACCCCAACGAGACCCCAAGTCATCACCCACGAATAGCCTCTCTGGCTCCTGATCAAGCTGCTTAACGGCCATGATCCCAGAGACTCAGAAACAAATCTCAAAACCCAGTGGCTTTTGGCAGAAATGCATCCGGACTCCACAGTACGTTACTGTCGCCGGGCCACCCCAGGGAGGAAAGGGTGTTGTCCCTCCGCCTGCTCCCTCTTGGCGACTTGGTGGCTGTCATCCTCCAGAGGCCATTGGACAGTCAGGCTTGGGCCCGCAGTGACGAAACTTGTTGGGCCTCACGGGATGGGGGTGGAGTAAGCCGGGCCTGTCCTCCCCACCCCAACGAGACCCCAAGTCATCGCCCACGAACGGCCTCTCTGGCTCCTCAACAAGCTGCTCAATGGCCATGATCCCAGAGACTCAGGAGCAGATCTCGAAACCCAGTGGCTTTTGGCAGAAATTCCTCCAGATTTAAGTGTTAAAATTTCGGAATTTCAAAACCACATGGCCCTACTGCAGCCACGCGACATCATATGTTATTCATAACCAGCAATAGAACACAAATTGTCTATTGTTGCCTTTTCAGCAGATCTGAGTGTTGGGGTAAAATCTCAAATAATGGTGGGTCTGGTGTCAAAATAGTGAATGTGATCAAAGTAGAGAGAGAGTAATGTGGAAATCATCTGCCCCACAGGCAGGGGGAGGGTGTGGGATGGGGGTATACTGGGATTTTTGATGGTGGAGAATGGGCACTGGTGAAGGTACGGCACTGGTGAAGGTACGGGTGTTTCATTGTATGACTGAGACTTAGACCCAAAAGCTTTGTAACTGCTCTCATGGTGATTCAATAAATAAAATTATAAAAAATGGTAAAGGGGCTGGAGTGATAGCACAGCGGTAGGGCGTTCGCCTTACAAGCGGCCAACATGGCCGACCCAAGTTCAATTCCTCCGCCCCTCTCGGAGAGCCCGGCAAGCTACCGAGAGTATTCGATATGCCAAACACAGTAACAACAAAGTCTCCAATGGAGACGTTACTGGGCCCACTCGAGCAAATCAACGATCAACGGGAGGGCCTTTACCTTTACCTTTACCTTATAAAAAATGGGAAAAAAAAAGTAAGGTGGAGTTCATGCACAATTCAATCAGCTAATCAGTGGCTGAATAAATAGCAGTACTCCTACAAAAAAAAAAAAAAAAACAAAACAAAAACCGTGCAGCTAGTCAGCGAGTGGACTCAGGGTGACATGTTTGAGAGCTGGGCGATCCCGGGAAAGGGTCATGGGGACGCAGGGTGGAGGGGGCCAGAAGGACCCCCTGAGTAGGCCGCCCTCCCTGTTGCCCTCTGCTCGCCGTATTTCTGTGCCTTAGGACAGACAGCTCTTTGCTTTGGAAACCTAGCAGCAGTCTCCTGTTGTGGCCTTTTAGTGAGTTGGCCAGAGGTCCGCTGACCTGGTGTCCATCTGCGCAGGGACTCTGCCACAGGGGTTCCAGACCATGCTTGAGGAGGAGTGTGCCCATTTCTTTCTCTGCGGGGTCTTTTTTGTTGGGCCTTTCAAGTTTCTCACTTTGACTCTTGGCCTTGAGTGCCGCCTGAAGCCTAGACCTGCTTGACAGGACACGCACCAGCACCTTAGCCCTCCGTGGGCCAAGTCTGTGGATGAGCCAGGAGCTTCATTGTCATTGCCTGTGACATCAGGCTCTGAAAGGCAAAGCCCTTCTTTGGGGTCTCTCAGGCTCTTTCTCTGAAAAGCAGTTGGTTTATATGGCTTGAGAAAACCTGTATCCAGAAAGTCCTTTGTCCTTGGCAGAGACAGCCCAGGTGCAGGGGACAGAGTGGGTGGGGAGAGCAGGTGGGCTGGGTGCTTTGTTCCCCACTCTCAACTCCCCTTGGCCCACCGAGGACTGTACCTACTTCTCTGGGACATTGTGGAGCACCAGCTGCACCATGAAGGTCGAAGGTGGGCGTGGACATGATGTGGTACCCTCCTGGCCCCTTCCCAAGTGGCAGTGCTCTGGTCTACCCCCCTTCCCTGGGTCTCAGAGATAGGCTTGTGAGCTTGTCGCCAGTCCTGCTGCTGCTTGACTTCTTGGGGAACAGTGTTGTGGCGAGCTTTGCTTTCGTGCCCCCCTACCTGTATACACCCCCAGCCCTGTAGCTGGTCAGCCCTGTTCTTGCCGAGTGTTGGATGAGTTTGCACCTTTTGCCATGGATATGGGTTATTTTCAGGGACTGCTTTCAAGTGTTCTCAGGAGGCCTGAGGATTCTGCTGTTGATCCTCCAGGGCTGCACCTGGGGAGTTGGGGCCCCTGCATTTTGATGGGCAATTGCTGTTTTATTTTGTGTCTGTGTATGAGTTTAGTTCGTACCCAGTGGGGCTTTTCATTGTAATCAGTATCATTATCACCCTGTTGTTCATCGATTTGCTCAAGTGGGCACCAGTAACGTCTCCATTCATCCCTGTCACGTGCCAGTGTAGCCCGATGTTATACTGGGGGCTCTTTCAGGGTCAGGGGAATGAGGACCATCATTGTTACTGTTTTTGGCATATCGAGTATGCCACGGGTAGCTTGCCAGGCTCCGTAGTGCAGGCGGGATACTCTCAGTAGCTTGCCGGGCTCCCTAAGAGGGTTGGAGGCTTTTGGGGCAGCCTCTAATCTCCTTTACAGGTGTTCCCAGTCAGGTATATATGTGGGCAGGATACTCTCAATAGCCTGCTGGGTTCTCTTGAGAGTGAGAACTAGAAAATAAGAGGTCATTGTAATATCTATGACAATCTCTTTTTTTAAAAAAAGTTTTTTTAGGCAGACCTGGTGTGCTTGTGCATAGGGCTGCTTCCTACTACTTTGCTAGGGGTTATTGCTGGTGCTGCTGTGGGGACCTTACGATGCTGGGCATCAGACTGGGCCCCCTGCCTGTAGAGCCTGTGTTCAGCATGTTGCCCACCCTCTCCAGCTCCCCTGTGTAATATGAGACAATAACCCATACAGGGTTTATTCTGTAACTTTCAGTTACAGAAACATCAGTTTCTTCTATCTCAATAAACAAGTTCTTAATATAGTTTATATTTTACTTTAATCCCCAATTGCAATGTTAGTTGCTTCTTTGAACTTTCTGCAGAACTGTGGGTGAAGAGGTGTTCTGTGAGCTAATCTCCGGGCTTTGGTTGTAGGCCCTGATGGACTCCAACCTCCCACGGCTGCAGCTCGAACTCTACAAGGAAATAAAGAAGGTAGGTTTGAGTGCCCGCAGAAACGGGGCTCTTCACAGGTCTCGGCTTCCCTTTCCCGAAAGTGCTGTCAACTGAGGCCTGCCTTGGTTTGCTTTTCTGCACGAGCTTCTTTTCAGTCTTGGATTAGATGAGAATTTTAGGTGATCTTTATTTTTTATAGCTTTATCATTAAGCCCACTAGGCCTTGATGTTGCTAAAAAGCTTACACATTTAAGTGCTTTTCTCTTAAAAACAGAGACAGTGAGCACAGCTTTTGTTTGTGGGCATTTCCTTGGTGACCAGTACTGTTACTGAACTCTAAAATCTACTCATTAACCCTCAGAACGGTGCATCTCGAAGCCTGCGTGCGGCCCTGTGGAGGTTTGCTGAGCTGGCACACCTGGTCCGGCCCCAGAAATGCAGGTGGGTCATACATGAGGGATGGTGAGGGAACACTAGGGATCCTTTGTCTCAGCTAAGATGTCACTGCTTCAGAGGGTTTCCCTGGCCTCTCCTACTGAGGTCACCTGCCTTGTCCTACAGATTGATATGGTACAGTTGATTTTTCCAGCACTTACTCTCAGAAACGTTCTCCCATTAGCATCAGCACAAGGTTTGTTGTCCCTGCTTTCTTCTGCCCCCACTCCCACCCCAAAACACAAACAAGTGCTCTTCACTGCCCCCTGCAGCACCAGGAGTGGTATCTGGACCAGGAACTGCTGAGATGCTCAAGCAGCCGGAGGTTGAGCACTGGCCTCTTTGTGGCTGCTGTGAGAGTCCAGGAGATGCCTTGTCTGTTTCATGGGGATCTTGGGGCCACAGATGGCACAGGGGTGTAGGTACTTGCCTGGCCTGTGGCAGACCCTGGTTTGATCCTTGGCACCTCCTTTGGTCCCACGACACCACCAGGAGTGATCCCTAAGCACAGACCAGGAGTAAGCTCTGAGCATCTTCATTGTTGCTTCCAAAGCAAGTGGGGATCTTAAACCATGGCTAAGGTTTCCATGTGTTGACATTGCTCAATCTCATGATGGAAAAATGAAACCAGGTCTAATTTTTGTCACATCCTTCCCTCTCTCACATTTGCAGCATGTCCCTGAGGACATAGCCAAAGCCCTCACTTATCGGAGACAGTGCTTCATTCCAGAGATGCTCAGAACCTTTTTTATGTGGACCACACCCGTTGGCACTCTGTGGGCGGTGGCTGGCAGCCCTGGGGCTGGGGTCGGGCTGTGCACATGCCAGGCACCTACTGTGCCACTTGGGCTCTCTTCCCTGTTTGACTCTCCATGACTGCACACACAGCTCACTGGAGAGGTTCTTGTTTTTCTTGTTTTGTTTTTGTTTGGGGGCCAGACCTGGTGGTGTTCAAGGCTTATTTCTTCTCTGTACTCAGTAATCTCTCCTGATCGAACCCGGATCAGCCTCGTGCAAATGCCCTCCCTGCTGTCCTGTCGCTCCAGTGTCCAAGATTGCTGCTGTTAAGTGGACTCTCATTAGTTCCGGGTATCTAGCATGGCTCAGTATTTGCGTTTACTGTGACAGGGTTGGGCTGGAGCGATAGCACAGCGGGTAGGGCATTTGGCTTGCACGCAGTCAACACAACCCAGGTTTGATTCCTCTGCCCCTCTCGGAGAGCCCAACAAGCTACCGAGAGTATCTCACCCGCACGGCAAAGCCTGGCAAGCTCCCCATGATGTATTTGATATGCCAAACACAGTAGTAACAAGTCTCACAATTTGTTATGAAACGTTACTAGTGCCCACTCAAGCAAATCGAGAAACAACGGGAGGACTGTGCTACAGTACTACAGTGACAGGGTCACCACACGTCCGTGGACATCCAGGACTTTTATCTGTGTGGGGCTGACTGGGTCAGGCACACCTGATGGCACTCCTAGTCTGCCTCTGGCTGCTTGTTTCTGTGATTCGGGGGCTTGAGCCCAAGTGTCTGTTGCAGAACATCTGCTGCAGCCGGCGAAGCCATGTCCCCAGCCCCAAATCTTTCTATAGTCTTTGTTTTACTGTCCTTATTTTGATTAGTCTGTTGTATTTCTGAAGCAACAGTGTGACCTTAAAAACATGAGCAATGGCATGAAGGGCTGGGGTGTGTACTTTCCACAGGGGCTCCCCAGGTCCCTTCCCCTGCATTCCTGCTGGTCTGATCACTGCTGGCACGGTGTGGTTCCTCCCCACAGAAACACATTACAAAATGCGATTGGAGGCCTGTGATTGAGGCCTGTGATCGATGCTTCCTAAGTGTGAGGAGACTCTATGGGGATCCCAAATCAAAGCCTTCAGTCCCTCCACTGTTTCCCAGAGCCACGCTGCTCAAATCCACGCTCCTTACCCTGGAGCCTGTGCTCCAGCAGTGCTGTCATCTGGTGCCCTCATTGTCTCTGAGGTTCGATCTCCCTCTCTAAGAGGTGAGCCCTTTCCCCTCTCTTTGAGATGAGATGCCACCGTGGCCTCCTCAGCTGCTTGGTTGTCACCTGCTTGCACCTCTGTCAGGCGGCTGAGAGCACCAGTTACACTGCATTGGCATGGGAATGTGCCAACTGGGTTCAGGCCTTGCATAGGGGCAGGTGTACCCCACAGAGGCTTCAAAGGCCTTCATTTCCTTTGAACAAACTATTATAATGCTTTTTTTTTTTTTTTTTTTTTGCTTTTTGGGTCATGCCGGTGATGCTCAGGGGTTACTCCTGGCTTTGCACCCAGGAATCACTCCTGGCGGTGCTCAGGGGACCACATGGGATGCTGGAATTAAACCCAGGTTGGCCCCGTGCAAGGCAACACCCTACCCGCTGTGCTTTCACTCCAGCCCCTATAATGCTCCTTCTTAAAACTACATTTTTTTTAAATTTATTTTTTAAATTATAGTTGAGGTAACACTGTTGCAAATAGTGTTTTATTCTTCCTTCTTTTGTTAAAATTATGTTTTCTTGTCTTATCACTTTCCAGTGTAAAATTTGACTGTTATATTGAAAGTAATTTTTTTCCGGTCTGCTCGGTCCCTTGAGCAGAGGACTGTCCTTTGATCTGTCTCCTGTCCCTTAGTGGAGGCTTGCAGCATGGTTCAGTGCACTGTGCAGGAAACACAGCTTTTCCGTACCAGGTACAAATGAGTCGCTCACGTTGCGCCTTGGTGTTGCTGGAAGAATGACTCCTGTTCCTTTCCCACATGCAGGCCGTACCTGGTCAACCTCTTGCCTTGTCTGACTCACACAAGCAAGAGGCCCGAGGAATCTGTTCAGGAAACCTTGGCTGCCGCCATACCCAAGATCATGGCTTCCTTTGGCAATTTTGCGAACGACAATGAAATTAAGGTACGATTGTTGCCTGAGTCGCACAGTTGTGGTTGGGGAGTTAGGAGCTTTGGTCACACAGTCATTTGGGAACGTTTGTTCTTTCTGGAGGTGATAGTAATACCATATTGCATTATTTTCAGGTATAAAGACTCAGTATTTCTTTGTTTTGCTTTTGGGGCCATGTCTCGCAGTTCTGGCTTGGTACTCAGGGGTCATTCCTGGCAGGGCTTGGGGACCCTGGGGGCTTCTAGGGATCGAGAGCGGGTCTTGTTTGCAGGGCTGTTGCCTTACCTGTGTACTATTGCTCCGGTATGGAGATTCATTATTTCTGTACATTGTGACAGTCACCAGCATGAGTCTCATTACCATCCACCTCCAGACCTACTTACATGTTTTTCCCGTTGTGCTGAAGACCTTGATCCACTTCTTGTTCTGTTGCACTGCATAGTTCATAGGAGAATCTGTGACATTCTTTGGTGGTCCCGCGGGGCCTCCATAGAGCGGGGCTCCCAGTGTACTGCTTTTCCCTGGCCAGCTCTGGGACTGCACGACCAAGTTCAGCTGCTCAGTGTCACCTTGCAGCCACCCGGTTTTTGACTTCTGTTCCCCTGTGCCCCAGCCTCCAACTTGGAGGCTGACTTTATTGTGGGGTGCGGAGCTTGTGGCCCCATCACTCGTTGCCCCCAGCTTTGCCTACCCTTTGCAGTGCTGGAGGTTCCCATGGTGTTACCACCCGGAGCCCGCTCCTCCAGGCTGTCCAGAAACAGAAGACACTGGGAGTGCGTCCTCTCACATGACTTTGTTGCAGGTTTCCAGTCCTCGAGGAAGCGCTGAGTCTTGCTCGGGTTGTCCTGGGTGCCTTTCTCCTCACCGCACTGTAGGTGCTTTTCTTTCCTCAGGTCTTAGTTTCCCTGATGTCACTCTTGGACCCAGTCTTCAGGTGCTGTGGGTGACCCAGCATGTGCGAGTGGAGGCCGTGAGAGGCCCCTTTGCAGTTTTCCATGGGACTGTGCAGGCACAGCGGGGCTTCCTGTGGCACCGTCACTTGGTCTCCCAGGATCTCGGAGGCTGGCGTCATGTGCAGTGACACCGTGAAACTACTCTGATCACAGGTTGTTGAACGGAGCTGGAGTTAGCACCATAGCAAATTTCTGGTCACCAAAATGTGACCAAACTTCTAAGAAAGGCCCCAGACATGTCTCATGTGAAACCATCATTTGTCTTCATTGTTTAGTTCCAACCTGCTGATTCTAGATCCAGGTCAGCTGGCAGGTCAGGGTGAAAGGGCATAGGTGGGAAGCAGGGTGCTCTCTGGGGGAGAGGGAGGATGCAGACTGCTCTGGACAGCTGTGGGCTTGGGGTGGCGCCTGATGAGTTCACCCTCTGCTCAGCCAGGTGCCTCCGTTCAGCTTCGGGAAAGCCTGTTGGCAGCTGTGGCTCTGCAGGGATTTGGCGGGATTTATTTAATGAAGGATGATGGGCTCCCACGCCTCCAGCCTACATGTGTTGAATTTTGCTTCCACAGGTTTTGTTGAAAGCTTTCATCGCGAACCTTCGCGCCAGCTCCCCGACTGTCCGGCGCACCGCAGCTGGCGCCGCCGTGAGCATCTGCCAGCACTCCCGGAGGACACAGTATTTCTACAGCTGGCTGCTCAGCGTGCTCCTGGGTAAGGGGGCCCAGATGTGACCCCTCCCTGAACCTGCCCTCCATGCAGCAGATGGCACAGGGCCCCCACCTGGTCTGGCTGAACCTGCTGCAGGGCGGCAGAGGGGCCATTCCCACGCGTGATCCCCGTCGTGGGCATTCTGATAAGCCCTTCAGGGCTCTGTGGACCAGGCCCAAGGGGGCCGCGCCTGGTGCTCGCGGTGTATTGGCCGCAGATGCTGGGACAGTACTTCTGTTACAGGCTTACTTGTTCCTGTCGAGGACGGACATTCCACACTCCTCATTCTTGGGGTGCTGCTCACACTGAGGTATTTGGTGCCCCTGCTGCAACAGCAGGTCAAGGACACCAGCCTGAAAGGCAGCTTTGGGGTGACACGGAAGGAAATGGAGGTCTCGCCCTCGACAGAGCAGCTTGTCCAGGTAGGAGCCATGGGTGCCTTGCAGGTGGTGGACAGGCAGCTCCTCCCTTGGGGAAAGGTGGCAGGGCTGTCTGGAACCCAGTTGTGTGTCCTACATGTCAGGAACTTGGGCGTAACATGAGAGAAGAGGTTCCCCAAGCGTCCCCCCAGGCCCTGACTGGGGACATTGATGCTCTCTGACCCATTCATCGGTTGTGAGCACCGCCCATGGGTCACCCAGTCTGTTTCCGCGGCAGGTGCTATGCTAACCTAGTGCCGTCTGTCCCTGTGGCATGCGAGGAGGGTTGGCCCTGTGTGATCCCAGTACAAGAACCTGTGTGGCTTCTGCTGTGGGTTGGAACCTGGGACTCTTCCCGGCCCTTGGAGCCCTGAATCCCTCTCAGCACTGCCCGCAGGGTCTGTAGTGGCCTCTGCTGGCTGCCGTGGCCACTCTTTGCTTCTGTGAGGACACGGGTGACGGGTTCTGTGGGAGAGTCGGGGGGCTCACGGAGTGTGAGCAGCAGGACACTGCAGATGAATTTCAGAGCGTGGGAAGCGTGTGGGGCTGGGGATTGGCAGGCTCTGACCCTTGAACTCTCCCCCCGTGAGGAGACTGTGATTACAGACATTGTTTATCTTTCTATTTTCCTTCTGGTACACCAGGGCCTGTGGCAGTCCATGTGGCGTCAATATGTGTGGTGGCCCTAGCGTGTGACCTGTGCCCCGGTTAATTTAATTTTAGGGCTCCAAAGGAAATGAAATGCAGTTTAAAAATTCAGCCTTGGGGGGGGCCAAAGCAATAGTACCCTGTGTAGAGCACTTGCCTTGCACACTGCCAGCCCGGGTTCAACCCCTGACTGGTATATTCCCTTAAGCCCTGCCAGGAGAAAGCCCTGAGCATCTCCAGGTGTGGCCCTCAAACAAAAAATTTAGACTCAACACTAGGCTAAGCACTTAAGACTTAAATAATTACATCATGGTAAGTGGATGTTAGTAGCAAAGTATGCTGGTGCTCCTGGGATGATGGGGTGGGGAGGGGATGGGGTACAGATACCCTGTGAGTAATAGAGTCAGACACTTGCAATGGAGGACTGAGGTGCACCTTTTTTTTTTTTTTAAATTCTGGGCCTCCCACTGCGGGAGGCCCCTACCTCTCTCTGGGGCTACTCCAGGTGCGCTTGGTCCTAATGATGCAGAGCTGCTCCAGTGGGGCCACCCCGGTGGTCACTCGGGCTTCCAAGGGCTGCACCTTCCTTTTCAGGAGTTTTCCTGATGAGGCGAGTCTGGGAATCTAGAAACCACCTGGATCCTGGTTGCACCTGGTTGGGTTGATGAGGGCATTTTTGGAGCGGCTTTAAGGCCCCTCCAGGCATGTGATGGGGCTCTGGGCTCTCTGCCACCAGGTGTACGAGTTGACCCTGCACTACACTCAGCACCAGGACCACAACGTTGTCACCGGGGCGCTAGAGCTCCTGCAGCAGCTCCTGCGCACCCCCCCTCCAGAGCTGCTGCTGGCCCTGACCACAGCCGGTGGTGGGGGGCAGCTGGCGGGTACCAAAGATGAGCCAGGTGGCCGGAGTCGGAGTGGGAGTATCGTGGAGCTGATCGGTGAGCAGTGGGGCCAGGGTGAGGGCGGGAATACAGGGAGGGGGATCAAGTCTTTCTCCCGGGGACCCCAGCCTCTCTCAGTCTCTGCACCCAGGGACATGGCATCACCCCTGAAACTGGACCTGAGGGGGGTCCCAGCTTTCTCTCAGGCACGCTTAGGCTCCCGACTTTGTACACAGCGGGTGCAGTTGCCCAGCAGGCTCCAGCAGGCTGCCCCTCATGCCAGCCCTGGGCAGGTAACTGCCACAGAAGCTGGTCTCCAGTCATTGTCCATCACGGAAATGTGTATTTGATTACGAGTTAACAGATACCCCAAGGTTCTGGTCTTCCTAATTTGGCTTTAAAATATACTTTATTGGAGCTCGTAAACCTCTTTGGATGTTTCAGACCTTAGCTTCAGGACCTGTTTAGGCTGGGGCTCTTGATTTTTTTTCCTAGTGCAGGCTGGTGCCCAGCACTGCCTGTGGAAATAAACCCACTTAGCCTTGAGGATTTTAAACTTAAATTGCACTCTTTGAATTGCTTCTCAATTGTATCAGCTATCGCCTCACTGTCATGTCCTCTATGATTTTACAGCTGGAGGGGGGTCTTCCTGCAGCCCCGTGCTTCCCAGAAAGCAAAAAGGTGATTATCTGAGAAATCCAAGTCTTCCTGTTGAATCTCGCTGCTTTTCCTGTTTCTGTAAAGCAGGGTGGGAACATCTGGCAGGCCGTGAAGGCCCCTGAACCACATTCTCTGGCCCCGGTGCCTGACATCAGCTGCCTCGGCCTCTCTGCCTGTATTGTATGACCTGAGGAGAGCGTTACACAGCAGATGGCCCTTGGCAGATCAGAGGTTCCCCCCCCTCCCCGCCCTGCTCTTCAGCACCTGACTTCAGCAGAGTGATGGTTATCACAGATGTTTTAGCCTGGTAACCAGGCCTGGATTCTGTCCCTAGCACTGCACAGTACCCTGAATATCACAGCAGGGATGATCTCTGAGTGCCACTGGGTGCAACACCCCATTCCCTGACAAAACAGCTTCCTTTGTATCAGAACTGGTTGGCCGTAAATTTCATGTACTTTGAGTCTGGGGCCAGGCGGGCTTGCTTCAGGCTCACTAACCTTCTGTTCCCTTGCTACCCTTCAGTCGGGCGCTCTGCGGAGGGCCTGGAGAGAACTCGAAGCTGGTCAGCTGCACTCTGGCCACAGACACTGCCCACAGGCACTGAGTGTAGAAGGTCACTTAATTTCCAGTGCTCTTCATTACTTGTTTAGTTGATTATTCTTTTCATTTGGACCATTTTCCAACCATACTTGATTTTGTACCTGCCAAAGGTTATGACAATTAATTACTTATATTAAATCAGTGTTTCTGGTTTTGTTACGTATTATGTTACTTGCTTTTTTCCAGCCTTAAAAGATCACTGTCATAGGTAGGGTGCTTGCTTCGCATTTGGCCAGCCCGGATTCAGTCCTTGGCAACCCATATGGTCCCCTGAGCCCCACCAGGAGTGATCCCTGAGTGCAGAGAGAAGTCAGCTTTGAGCACCTCCAGACATAGCCCATTAAAAAAAAAAATTTTTTTTAAGTCACTGTCATTGTGAAGTCTAAAAGGAGCTCTCGTGTGGGTGATGAGTGCCTTGTTACTGCTGGAACTGATTGGCATCTTCATGGAAAGTGCTTGAGTTCAGTCAGGCACGATTTTATAGAACTTGGAATCAGTCTTGTTGAGTCTCACAGCGAGATAGGAACGTGTGGGCCTATGTTGGTCGATGCTTACAGGTTCTTAAGTGTTTTAAGGACTGTTAATATTGACTAGAGAGACTCAGGCTCAGTAAGAAACAAATGGTTACTGAGAAGTGGGAGAGGAACCCCCATATTGAGAGGAACTTAGCACAGGACTAAATCCAAGTTCCCAGGAGTGTCCCTTGCCACCTGCCACCTTGCCCTTCTGTGTAGCTCTGATGTAGGCTGGTGGGGCTGTCACTCCTCAGAAACTTACAGGGGTGTTTTAGAACTCAGTTGACCACTTGCCTCGGGATAGCCAGTTATATTTTGGCCTCCTCTGTGGTGTTCCAAGGCCTGGCACATAATCAATCCTTCCTCAGTTTCAAGGAAATTACAAAATGTTAGAATATGTTACAGTAACGGCTAAATTGGAGCCTCTCTCATCGGTTGACCAGGGGAAACTGAGGTTTCATCTTCTGGGATCCTGGCAGAATTCTGAGATTGCTGGGAAGGCAGAGTTCTGGAAAAGCTGGTGTTTCTGTCCTTCATTGAATTTGGGAGCTCTGCAGGCCTCTGCTAACCTCCTCAGAACCCTGTTCTTGTCCTCCTCTAAGAGCCTGCTCCTAGGGCTGACAGGCACTGCACCATCAGAGACTGCTTCCTGACTGGATTTTGCAGCTCCCACAAACCACTCCTCTTCCTGGGCACCCTGCTCTTCAGCTGTGAGCTGGGTTTGCTTTGTTGACTGGCCCTGCTGTCTATTCCTCCTTGTCTTCCTCCTCCTCCCCCTCCCCTTCCCCTGCCCCCACCCCCCATTTCTTCTGTTTTTTGCCTTTAATGTCACTTCCACATTGATTGATGAAAGTTACCACACCTGTTATATACTGTGAAGAGTGGTGACATTAAAATTAGAAATTGGAAATCCTCAATAAGGATTTTGAGTGTCATTTATCTAAAATGTAAAAATAGCAATTTAGTGAGTACATTTAAATCAGAGTAAGAGTTCTTTTTAAAAAAATCAAAATAACTGGAAAGCTATGAACTATAAAAATATATTTTCAGAATTTTACAAAAGATGAGTTCTCGGGGCTGGAGAGATAGCACAGCGGGCAGGGCATTTGCCTTGCACACGGCCGATCCGGGTTCAATTCCCAGCATCCCATATGTTCCCCTGACAATCACCAGGAGTAACTCCTGAGTGCAGAGCCAGGAGTAACCTCTGTGCATCACCAGGTGTGACCCAAAAAGGAAAAAAAAAAAAAGATGAGCTCTTTTCAAATTCTATCATGCTTGAGTCTTACAGGCAACCAGAGTACCAATAAATTAAAGGGTAATAAAGTAAAAGTGACCTTTGATATAAAAGCTTTATATAGAAATTCTGATACACCATTTGGAAAGAGGGTAATGCAGTTGATTGTAGGCATTTTTTACCATCTTAAAGATTAAATACTCATATAAATTATTTGACATTAACAGTAACCTAGATTAATAAATATTTATCGTTCTAGTTGCTTCTAAGTTGTTTTCCTCAGGGAGTTATTGATTCTAATAGTCCTCTCAGGTAATAGTCCTCTGTGTTAAGCACTCCAGCTCTCATGGGACTCCCGTGACGTGGACTGAGCGCGCTCTTGCCTCTTCCCCAGGGTCGATGCTGTTGGGAGAAGCAGCTGCCTTGGAGGATGACACGGAGCCAAGGTCAGAGGGCAGCAGCCCAGCCTTCACAGGTAGCTCTCAGCCGCGGGTCCCCTCCCTCCTCCACTGCACCTGCACCGGGGTGACCTGAAAGTTGTGGCAAATGCTAGAGAACTCGTCTTCTGTGATGTTTCTTCTGTTTCACTTTTTTTTGGAGGGAGGGGCTCCTAAACAGTGCTCAGAGGGCCTGGTGTGCTGAGGTGACTAGCCACAGTACCTCCCACAGTGCTTGGGAGGAGGTGTTTGTGGGGTTGTGGATTTGACTCAGAGCTTTGACAGGCAAGGCATGGGCCCCAGCCTGTGTGCCATCTCCCGGCTTTTTCCTACTGATCTGAAAGGCCAGTCTTCCATGGTTTGGGTTGCTTTAAAGTTGGACATTTTTGCTTTTATTTTCTTGGGTTTTTTTTCCCCCCACACCAGACAGTGCTCATGGATCATTCCTGCAGTGCTTGGCGATCATGCGGTGCCAGGAGTCAACCTGGGTCCCCTACATGCATTGTGCATTTTGTCTCTTGAACTATCCCTGGCCCTAAAATTAAGTTTATTCTCTCCAAGGATGAGTCATTTTCTTTCTGGGTTGTGGGTGCAAGCATCTTCTGAATAGGATGGGTTTTGAGGGACAGAATGGAATCAAGCTTCAGAGATAATTCACATGGAATCTACACTTGTCTGTAGATAGCTCTCAGATTTGATTCTTCATCTTAGAGAGGATGAGCAGTGATAAAAATACTAATAATTTTATTAAATAAGAGTGTTCCTGAGAGGTATGATCCTGTCCAAAAGTTATTTGTAGATGACCAAACATAAGGGCACAGGATGTGGAAAGGAAAAGTCTAAATAATTTCAGTGGTGGTTAATTATGTAATTTACAACTAGAAAAATTTTCTGAGTAGAAAACGAAAAAGATAAAAACAATTAAAGGGCAAAACTTCTGTTAATATTTATTTAGAGAGGAGGTGACTAGGAAACTAGGTAATGGTCCATGCATAGGACAGTAGGTTGGTAATTTAATTAATTTAATTTTGTTTTGGAGCCATACCAGGGAACACTCAGGGGTTGCTCCTGGCTCTGCACTCAGGGATCACTCCTGGCAGTGCTCAGGGGACCACATGGGATGTCAGGGATCAAACCTGGATCAGCTGAGGCAAGCACCCTACTTGCTGTACTGTCTCTCAGCTTCAAGTAGGTCTGCTTTAGAGGTTTTTTTTTTCTTTTTCTTTTTTATCATTTGTTTTCAGGCCTCACCAGACAGTGCTAGGTTACTCCCATCTCAAGTGTCTCTTTGGCAGTGCTCAGGGGACCGCGTGTGCTGGCACTCATACCAGGCCTTTGCATACCAGGCTTGGACTCAGCCCATTGAACTGTCATCTCTCTGGCCTGTTTTTGTTGTTGTTGGGTTTTTGCGGGGAGGGAATGGGAAGGTTGGCTACAGCTTGTGGTGCTCAGTGTTTAGCCTTGGCCCTGCACTAGGAATCAATCCTAGAGGGGTTGTTATGGGAGACCAGGGGTCGAACCTGGCTTGGCTATGTGAAAGACAAATCCCCTTCCACTGTACTGCCATTCCACCGCTGACTGTGGCCTGCTTTAGGGGTCTTGACCAAAGTCTTGAAGGAGTGACCAGTCCACAGGAGCCTCATACCTGCGTAGACACGGACTTTCATGGCTGCTCCCCTTGGAGCGCAGTGACAGTCCGTGGGCTGCTCCAGGTGAGGCTGGAAGCGATGTGCCTTGGGCCTTCTTTAGCTTCGCAGTCATACCCCACTGAGACAGCGGCGCAGTTGAAAGAACCAGAAATGGCCCTTCTGGTCATGCTGGAAGGACACACCGCTCTCTGCCATTTGAAGTGTCATTCACTCTGCGGTCAGAGCGTTGGTGAGGGTGATTAAGGACTGGGGGTTGCAGATACTTGATTTCCTGGGCCTGCTTTTCTGGCCTTTGAAGGATGGTGTCTCTGTCTTCAGCCTCGGTCAAGGGTGAGATCGGTGGTGAGCTGGCAGCCTCTTCTGGCCTCTCCACGCCGGGCTCGGCCAACTCGACCGCGGACTCGGCGGCACACGACATCATCACCGAGCAGCCCCGATCACAGCACACACTGCAGCCCGACACAGTGGAACTGAGCAGCTGCGACCTAACCAGCGCGGCCACCGACGGGGATGAGGAGGACATCCTGAGCCCCAGCTCCAGCCAGATCAGTGCCGTGCCGTCTGACCCCGCCACGGACCTGAACGATGGCACGCAGGCCTCCTCACCCATCAGCGACAGCTCCCAGACAACCACCGAGGGGCCTGATTCAGCTGTGACCCCTTCAGACAGTTCCGAAATTGTGAGTACAGTTCTGGGGTGTGGAGGGGGCTGGGCCTGTGCTTGTGGGTTCGTCCTCTCTCCTGCCGTGCGCCCACTGGAGTCCTCTCCTGAGTACGCCGGACACATGTTGTGACCCCTGTGAAATGGTGTGCACTTCAGACTGTCAGAGCACTTCAGGCACTCTGCGGGACGTGTTACTGTGGCCGTGGACGTAGTCATGAACACAGATACTCTGCAGCATCTCATAATTCCTCACCTTCCCAAAGCTTGGACTGGGTTTGAGCCTGGGTTTAATTTACCTCGGATTGCAGCACTAGTGAGCAGGAGGCAGTTCAAGGATGGACCTCGCCAGAACATTAGAGAAGGGGCATTGCTAGTCTCACACCCGATTATTAGCTGACCGCTCTGCTGCTGTTGGAGAGCAGGGCTGGGGCTTTTCCACACAAAGGAACTGGAAGCTTTCAAGTACAGCCAGAGGTGACGCCTGCTTTGGGTCCCTTTGAGTTGGTGGCTCCTCTGAGCAGCTCTGAATCCTGTTGAAGGACAGGATGTCACTGGTGTAGGGGGTAGGGTCTTCAGGAGGGTGGGAGTGGGGTGCCAAGCAGATGATTTCTGGACAGTTGTTAGAAACAGGACCAAAGGACTCTGGGAAGTTGTCCCCCATCTTGGGTGTTTGGTAGAGGTCTGTACAGCTGCAGTGTCTGTGGGTGTGACTGGAACCAGCCTGTGTCCATTGACTTGACCCATCCTCCACTCTTCACTCTTGAGCCTCTGAGAGAATGTGGCCCCTACCCCCCTGGGTATTCATGGTTCAGGTCTACTGATAGGGACCCAGGAGCCTCTTTGTAAGGGACCTTCTGTTTCTGACCTGGGTACTGGACACCAGTTTTCTCCTGCCCTTCCTCCGCTGCTGGTTTGTCCTGATAGACAGTCGGGGCCTGGAAGTACCAGGAGCCAGCAGCCCACACTGCTGGGGAAGCACGTGCTGTCACCCAGCTCCAAGTCCCTCAGCCACGTCCCCTACAGGGTGCTCCCCACAGTGCTGTCCTCCTTTCTACTCCAGGTACCTTGTCCAACCATTGATTGGCTGAACTAATAACTGGGCCCCTGCAGGGTTGGAGCAGTAACACAGTAGGGAGGGTGTTTGCCTGGCGTATGACCAACCTGAGTTCACTCCCTGGCATCTCATATGGTCCCCCTGAGCCCTGCCAGACTGATTCCTGAGCAGAGTCAGGAGTAACACCTGAGCACCACAGGGCGTGGCCCCAAAAAAGGAAAAAGAAAGGCAGCTGTAATGGCCCATAGATCATTCTGCAGGCTGGACACAGGATCAATTGCATATCATTTAAGATCACTGCCCATGTGAGCTGAGTTATAGAGCTGGGGTCACCAGATTGCTTCTGTCAAGGACCGGATAGTAAATCTCACTGGTTTGGGGACTCTCGCCTCCGTCACGGCTGCCTACCTCTGCTGTTGTGGCAGTAAAACTCTGGAGACAGATGAGCATGACTGTGTTTCAGGAAAATGTGATTTGCAAAAGCAGTTTGGGTGCCAGGTTTGCCCAGGGTCGCCCAGGACCCCTTTGGTAGAGGGCGAGCAGGTAGTGGGGGGCAGTTCTCTCACCCTCAGTAAACAAGTGATCGGCCTGACTGCATAAGTGCCACAGAGAAGAGTGTGGAGAGTTCTCAAGTGGGGTTCTGCGGAAGGCTCCAGCCCTGCCACTGCTAGGCATGGTCTAGACCGTTTGGCTCCCACTGCTGCAGTTTCTGCATCCGCAGACCCAGAGTGGGGACTGTGCTTGTTTGGGAGATGGCAGTGGTTTTCTTCCTGTCTGGGGTGATGTGGAAGGTCATTGAGGCCTCTCATGCCAGCCTGTGCTTATATTTGTGCCATATGTGGCGGTGCTTGGGGTCACTTCTAAGAGTGCTAGGGACCATGTGGTGTCGAACTTATTCCCCCTTCATCATACTCACTGCTTGCCAAGCTTGTGCTTCTGCCCACCGAGCCATCTCTCAGCTCTCTCAACTGTCTGGAGGGTACAGGAAGTCTTTTTTTCATTTTTCTTTTTTAATCATATAACATGATTTTTTAAGTTGGATTTAGAACCTTAAAAAAGAATTAATTTAAATAATTCTGGTCATCAATCCACTTTTCAGGTTAATTCAATTTTTAGTGTGTGTAAAAATTCTGCAATGTAGAATCACAAGCCAAGTATGTATAGGACTAAACTTATTAACTATGCCCTAAATGTAGCCAGTTTGTCTTAGCAGTTAGTACATAGCCATTAAGGTTTTGCCTGGGTTATTTTTGCCTCATTTCTAATTCACTGTAAAATTTGCATTGAGGGGAGAGAGAAGATAGAGAATTTCCTGCTTGGAATTCCTTTGGCATTGTTCACTCTCCGGCCTTCTTTGGGAGGTAGGGGCACAGCCTGTAGTGCTCGGCGGCTGTGCGATGCTGGGATGGAACTAGCCCTTGCACATGTTCCGGCCCATGCAGCATCTCCCAGTCCGGCTCCTCAGCTCCAGGAGCGCCGAGAGAGCCATGGGCTGGCTCCTGGAGATATGTGTGGGCTTGGTCCCAGAGGTGGCTGCCCCTGTCCAGCAGGAAGCTTGTCTCCTCAACTTTCTTCTTCCCCCTTGACCCTTCAGGTCTTAGATGGTGTGGACAGTCAGCACTCGGGGATCGGCCAGCCCGAGGATGAGGACATTTCCGACGAGGCTTCAGACGCCTTCAGAAGCTCCTCCCTCGGTATGTGCCATTGGTGCTGTCCTGAGAGCTGTCTGTGCCCCTAGCATCTGAGTTTTGCTCGTTTCCTGGAGGAGACCTTCTGAGATTTTTTTTCTGAGCTGTCAGTAGTAAATGGCTGTGCTTGGTCTTGGTCAAATCCTGGGCTCGAGTTGACATCAGACTGATTGTGCTTCTGCGGGCCTTCCTGGGCCTCGGTGTGTCCTCAGCCCTGCAGCAGGCGCACTTGCTGGAGCGCGTGGGCCACAGCAGACAGCCGTCCGATGGCAGCGTGGAGCGCCTTGCACTGAGAGAGGATGCTGTGGAGCCCAGCGAGCTTGAGAACAAGGTGAGCATTTCAGGCCAGACGCCAGCAGCTCTGAGCCAGGGGATGGGGTGTCACCATGCAGCCTTCAGCCTGCCCGCCACTCCCTGGTGGCGGTCTCCGAGCCACGCTGTCTGTCTCCCAGTGCTCCCTGGGGTTTCCCAGCAGATTTCTCCCTGTCTTACTGGACTTTTTTTCTGCTAGTCAGGCACCACCTTGCACCTGTGGGTTGTTTCTGTATTGAACTGATGTGGTTGTCAGAGTAAATCTGGGGCTTCATGTTTGTTCTGATCTGTTCGTCTGTAGCCGCTGTCCACTCAGGGGCATCAAACCCCTTCTTGTTGTTTCGCAGCTCTCATCCCCATCCTGTCATTCATTCTCTTCCCAAACTAGAACGTCCCCCCGCAACCCCTCAGCCTTGGAACCACTTTCCTCCTTCTTATCCGCTTGTTTGCTCCCTCGGGACTGCATATGGGCGAGGGGGCACTCGGGGCTTGGTCTTCCAGATGGCTTATCTCCCCTGCCTTACGTTCAGGCTTCACGTGTGTTGTAACAGGGCTGCTCCTGGAGGATGGGCCACACTTAGGGACCCGGGCTCTGTTGCTGTCAGTGATGAATGACGGAGCTTTGAGCAGCTGTGCAGACACACACCCCTTAAGTACCTTGACTTCTGGACTTGGGTGTTTATCTGTGTGTGGAGTCACGGGACCCTGGGATAATTCTGTTCTCACTTAGGGGTTTTTAGGAAAGATAACCTGCATCTATGGCTGCATTGTTTTACATCCAGGTCTGCCAGATCCCGCACACACTAGTTCCCTCAGGTCTAGGACACTTGCTGTCCTGCTTGGCATCAGGGACCTCTCATGAGGGCAGCATGCACATTTCTCTAAAGTCAGTCACATCACTGCTTGTCGACCAGTGCCTTCCTTGGAGAAGTGTCTGATCAAGTCTTTGCCTGTTTAGGTGTTTTGGTTGAAGAGGTGGACATTCAACTTTTTTCTTTTTCTTTTTTTTTTTTTTTTTTGCTTTTTGGGTCACACCCAACCGATGCTCAGGGGTTACTCCTGGCTCTGCACTCAGGAATCACTCCTGGCAGTGCTTGGGGGACCATATGGAATGCTGGGAATTGAACTCGGGTCGGCCGCGTGCAAGGCAAACGCCCTCCTTGCTGTGCTATTGCTCCAGCCCCTCAACTGTTTTTCAGAATGTCTCTGAGTTGGTTGCCTTTGTCCGAAGAATGTCCTGTCTTTCCAGCCAAGTTTAAATTCCCTGAAAATAGAAGGGATGTCCAGAAGGCATCTGCTCCTCTCCTCATCCTGCTGGCTGTGGCCTCTCCCAACTTTCTTCCCAGCAGGGCTGGACCTCAAGCCCCCCTCGCCCCAGCCCTGCTCTGACCACTCTTCTGCAGGCACAGCGCTACATGGCCTCTGCTCCAGAACTGTTTCTTGAATGAGCAGTGAAAGGTAGGTGCAGTTCTGTGGTGATGGCAGCATGATTTTCTGTTCTAGCCCTGCCGGATCAAAGGTGACATAGGACACTCTGCGGATGATGACTCTGCTCCTCTTATCCACTGTGTTCGCCTTTTGTCTGCATCATTTTTGCTGACAGGGGAGAAGAACGGTACGGCGAGAGCTGTGTTCTGAGTTGCGGGGCGGGGGCGGGGGGGGGGTGCCGGCCACCCAGCATGGCTGCGTGGATGCTCACTGACTGGCCGGACAGGGCACAAGGGTGTGGAGGAGCCGGGGGAGCATGGCTTGAGCCACAGTTGAGTGAGAGATCTCTTTGCAGTCCTGGTTCCTGACAGGGACGTACGGGTCAGCGTGAAAGCTCTGGCGCTCAGCTGCGTGGGAGCAGCCGTAGCCCTGCACCCGGAAGCTTTCTTCAGCAAACTTTACAGAGTTCCTTTGGACCCCATGGAATATCCTGGTAGGTTGCAAGCTCCCCTCACGGTCCTCACTTTAAGTCATTGTTGTGACAGCAGCTTCAAGCCACCCAGGTTATGTTTGTCTCAGAGCAGTACATTTCTCCCTTTATCTTTGGCACTTGGGCAGAGGTGTTGTTCTCCATGAAACCCAAATGCTGGGTATAGGGTGAGGGCTCAGAAGGCTAGTGTGCCTGCCTTGCACCCCACCAGTGCATTGTTCCTAAGCACTGCTGAGTGTGGCCCCAAACCAAAACCCATACTGATGATTTTAGCTTATGTTTACTTTAGGTGTGATAGTGTTTATTTTGGTTCTTTAGTTTTGTGTTTTGGGCCATAACCTGACAGTGTTCTGGGCTTCCTCCTGGCTCTGCACTCAGACTTGGGATTCCATATGGGGTGCCAGGGATTAAACTCAGGTTGACTACATGCAAGGCAAGTACCCTACCTGCTGTACTGTATCTCTTGTACCCACTTCATGCTAAAAATTTCTTTAAACCAAAACTGGAACTTTGGTATTTGTCCAATAACCAGGAGTTATAATCCCAAAAACGTGTTTTGTTCAGGTGCTGTAGGGATATGATGGATGAAAGACAACACACACACACACACACACACACACACACACACACACCTGCTCGCCATACCTTTTATCGCTTGTGGTTTTCACAGTTGAGTCTTCTAGATTGGGGCCGCCGCCTCCCCTTTCCTTGTTAGGAAGTTGGTGGTAGGCCTAGCTGAGTGGCTGGGATTGGTCTCCACAGAGGAGCAGTACGTGTCTGACATCCTGAACTACATCAACCACGGAGACCCACAGGTCCGAGGAGCCACAGCCCTCCTCTGCGGGACCCTCATCTGCTCCGTCCTCAGCAGTTCCCGCTTCCACGTGGGACATTGGATGGGCAACATCCGAGCTCTGACAGGTACTACAGCTGTTCTGTGTGTCCTCCGAAATACTCATCCCAGGTTCAGTTGCATGATGGTGTCTGTTCTTCCTCCTCTACTCAGGAAACACTTTTTCTCTGGTGGACTGCATTCCTTTGCTGCAGAAAACGCTGAAGGATGAATCTTCTGTAACCTGCAAGTTGGCTTGTACAGCTGTACGGGTGAGCAAAATCTCATGCAGTGTTTCTTCTTCTTTTTTTTTTTTTTTTTTTTTTGCTTTTTGGGTCACACCCAGTGATGCACATGGGGTTTCTCCTGGTTCATGCACCCAGAAATTACTCTTGCCAAGCTCAGGGGACAATATGGGATGCTGGAAGTCGAACCCGGTTTGGGCCTCGTGCAAGGCAAATGCCCTACCTGCTGTGCTATCACTCCAGCCCCATCGTGCGGTGTTTCTGATGAGTGGGAATGTTGGCGTGCTTGCTGTTCACGTCAGAACTTACTAGGATTGGAAGCTGTGGCTGAGAATGAATACCCCCACTCCACCTTTAGAAGACTTTGCTGAGAATGCTATGAGAAGCTGTCCCATAGACGTAACTCTTGGTTTTGGGGTGGTGGGAGTCAGCGGGAGCCACCTCTCCCTCTGTTACGGAGTCACCTCAGTCCTTCTATGGGCACTGTTTGACTTCATTTCAGAACTATGTCAGCTGGTTCAGAGACAGGGCAGAATCAAACCAGCACCTGCCACTGTCAGATGTCTAGGATCCTTCCCTGTGGAACATTCTGGGACCTGGCCAGAACCAGTCCCTGTGAAACACATCTCCCTGGAAGTGCGTGTTATAGTTTCCTAGTCAGATTTCACTGGCTTTGTCCTCTCGGAGCAGACATGTTTGATGTTTGGCCAGTCCGCTTCTGGAACCTGCTCCCCATGTGGAATCACCGCCTGTGTCTCAGGATACAGCCGGAGCATGCCCAGGAGCCCTTGGCACATGGCTATCTGAGCCTGAGCTGGGGCTCACGGTCCTCATCCTACCCAAAGCAATGGTCAGCGGTGTTCCTGAAGTTGCTCAAATCCCAGGAACAGGCTGCGGGGATTTGGGGGCAGATAGGGGCACATGCGTGCTCTTAGGCATGCAGTGGTGCCTGTTACTCATGCTTCTGTGACCTGGCACGGATAAGAGGAGAGAGCATGCAGGTGCCGGGGCTCACTCCTTTGCCCTGCCTTGCAGCACTGCATCATGAGTCTGTGCAGCAGCAGCTACAGTGCACTGGGGCTGCAGTTGCTCACCGATGTGCTAAGCCTGAGGAACAGCTCCTACTGGCTGGTGCGGACGGAGCTCCTGGAGACCCTGGCAGAGATAGACTTCCGGTGAGTGCGTCCAAAGGACACGGGACGGAAGTTGCATGCTGTGGGAATCTGAGCCGATGCTCATCCTCTCCTCAAGGGGCCCCTAGCCTTGGATATCTTTTGTTTGCTTTTGTTATGTTGGGGGGCCACACCTTGCTGTGCTCAGGGCTTACTCCTGACTCTGCACTCAGGGATCACTCCTGGTAGGCTCTAGGGACCCTGTGGGGTGCCAGGGATCGAGCCTGGATCAGCTGCATGCCAGGCAGACACTCTACCCACTGTGTGTACTGTGGCTCCAGCCCCAAGGCCTTGGATTCATCAGTATAGTGTGAGTGTGTTTATGGGCAGGACCAGTCTTCTCCCACAGTGCTGCTGGTGGGTGCTGCCATTTGAGGGTTCCACTCTGGGCTGCACGAGCTCGAAAGCTCACTGGGGCCTTGGTGCACTCTTCGGGTTTTTGATTTTTTTTTAATGTTGTTTCTTGTTATTTTGTTTTGGTGCTATACCCAGGAGTGCACAGGGCTGACCCCTAACTCTGCTTAGGGATCACTCCCGGTTGGCCCTTGGACTGTATAGCTCCAAGGGTTATATTGGAGCTATACAGGCAGGATATGGGACCCATCTCTCTGGCTCCAGTTTTCATTTTCTAAGAATCAGTTTTGTTTTTTCTGTGAACCCTTTTTTTGTTGCGGGAAAGTCCTCTTATCTGGGTTCCAAAGTCCTCAGTGTAGAGCACAGACACGGGGAGCTGCCTGTGGCTTATTTCCTTTCTTCCTTGGAACAGGCCCAGAATTGGGGCCAGAGCTCACTCATGAGACAGGCACTGACCGGAGGCAGCCCCTCCCTGCTCCTTTCCACCCTCAGGGGCAGGCTTTGGGGCATGTGAGGGTAGGAAGGGTGGCGGTTGGTTTGGAAGGAGGTATTGCTGGCCGTGCATCTAGAGCAGGAACAGTGTGGAAGTTCTCCCATGGGAAAAGGTGCGGGTTTTCCCACCCGGCCCTGCCACCCCACAGTGGCCAGACCTTTCAGGAGGCGGCCAGTGGGCAGTGATTGAGTAACTACATTGTTACACCCTGCAATATCTTCTTGAGCCAGGTTGGTGAGCTTTCTGGAGGCCAAAGCAGACAGCTTACACCGCGGAGCACATCATTACACCGGGGTAAGCAGCTGGGGCGCCTTTGGATAGCATCAGAGTTTCTCCAAGTATAGGTGGTTCCACTTGTTTCCATCCTGAGAGTTGTGATTGCATGTGGTACACGTCAGGAAGCTTGGCTTTCCATGGTAGGGGCTCTAAATGGAATCCAATACAAAGGTTCTCTCTCTTGTATGTCCTCTCTCAGCTTTTAAAACTTCAGGAACGAGTGCTCACTAATGTTGTCATCTATTTGCTCGGGGACGAAGACCCCAGGGTCCGGCATGTTGCTGCAGCTTCGTTAGCGAGGTAAGTTACTAAACATTTGCTCTCTTCCTTCACTGTTTCTCTTGGTTTAAGTAATGACTAGACAGAGAGAAACTCTCTGAGCGCGCTTTCTCCAGCTCCTAAGCTTTCAAAACAGAAACAATTCCTTGCTTCCCGCGTCTGGCTGTCAGCTTCCTGTTGTGAATGTGGCGCCTTCATTCCCGAAAGTCTGGAATCAAGGGCAGGATGTGGCTCAGAGCACTGAGCATGTGCCTGGCATCTGGCATGTACATGAGGCCTTCAATCCCTGACTGCCAGCTCCAGCTCTGCTCAGAGGTCATGCTGGCTCTTACTGGTGGCTGTGGCCTCCACAGTAGTGGCAGTAACAGGACAGGCAGGGACATGGAGACTAGCATTCAGGGGAAGAGCACAGGCGCATCTACTGTGTTGCTTCCGTCCAAGCTTCTGCGTCATGATGGGGAGCTGGATTATAATCCAGCCATTCCATCTCATTTGTTCCGTGTCTTCCTGTTATCAAATCTTCATTAGGAGAAGGAACTTTACCAGTGACCCTTATCACTGTTTGATTGCAGTTCATTTTTACATGAATATTATTCTGTTGATTGTTTCCTTTGTTTTAGAAAAGGCATAATGCCCCAAGAGTATTATACATAAATTTTTAAGTAAATATTTTTCCTTTAGAATAAATTCTTGGATGTTAAGTTGTTGAGCCAAGATATTTTTATTAAAAAAATAAAATTCTAGGGCCTGGAGCAATAGCACAGCGGGAAGGGCATTTGCCTTGCACGCAGCCGACCTAGGTCCGATTTCCAGCATCCCATATGGTCCCCCGAGCACCGCCAGGAGTAATTCCTGAGTGCATGAACCAGGAGTAACTCCTGTGCATTGCCAGGAGTGACCCAAAAAGAAAAAAAAAAGAAAAGAAAATTCTAGGGCTGGGGAGATAGTACAGCAGGGATCTTGCCTTGTGCTCAGCCAACCCAGCCTCGATCCTCAGCATCCCTGAGCCCCAACAGGTGTGACCCCAAAACCAAAAATAAATAAAATTAAAATTTTGAGTACTTTCTGTAAGTATAGTGTACACACCTTTCCTTCCACCCTATTTTAAAACAAATTACTTTTAGTAAACTTACACGGTTTACTACAAATGTAATCATCACCGCAATCTCTCCTTTGATCATTTCCATCTTGGGTGAGAGCAATAGTAGAGTGGGTAGGGCATTTGCCTTACATGTGGCCGACTTGGGTTCGATTCCCAGCATCCCATATGATCCCCTGAGCACCGCCAGGACTAATTCCTGAGTGCAAAGCCAGGAGTAACCCTTGTGCATCTCCAGGTATAATCCAAAAAAAAAAAAAAAAACATTTCCATCTCTCCAAAGATCCTTTTTAATTCATAGTTGCCACCTCCCTCCCAGGCCATTCTCTGAGTGCAAATAGACAGAAGGTGCTTCTCTGACTCAGCCTATCAGGAGGGGCTTATGTCAGAGCCTGCCAATCCCAGCAGGGCCCCTCCAGGGATATGAGTCTAGGGGCCGTGGTGCAGGGTGAGAGTCTCAGGGCACTGTTGTGTGCTATCTTAACCACCCTTCCTCTTGTGCTAGGCTTGTCCCAAAGCTGTTTTATAAGTGTGACCAAGGACAAGCTGACCCCGTGGTGGCCGTGGCCCGGGACCAGAGCAGCGTTTACCTGAAGCTGCTCATGCATGAGACGCAGCCACCCTGCCACTTCTCCGTCAGCACCATCACCAGGTACAGCTCCTACCCCATTGCAGCTCTTTCTCAGGTGCCACCCCGCCACATACCCGCATCATCGTGGTACGTGTGCTAGATGTGCCACACTGACGCTGTCTCTCAGCTATGACTTGAGGGAGAACAGGGCTGTGTCGTGTCCTCAGTGGAGTTGTGCGGCTTCGGGGACCTGCACATGCTTTGGCCCACATTGATTATGGGATACTCTTCGTGGGTCCAGAGGGCTGCGCTTGCATATCCCTTCTCATGTCACGCAGCCACATGGAGCAGAGTGATTCCAACGAGATACTGGGACTGTGAGGTAGGACCGCAGTTAGGATGCACACTCTGGGTGCAGCCCAGGAAGTCCCCCCCACACACACATACACACACACTGCTGGGGAGTCTCCAGTGTTGCTGGTGCTGCATCCTTGGGCCCTTGTATCGAACCTCCAGTCTGCCTGGCTGAGATTCACTGCTGGGGCCCCTGACCTGGACATTGCTTGGGAGCTCCTTTATCTTCCCTGTAAAGAGGAAGTGTCTTAATGAAGTTACCATCTTTAAAATTCTCACAAGCAAGAAGGCTACAGAGGCTACAAAAATTTCTTAAATATTATTTCAAAAGTCAGTTTTGTGTGCCAAAACTGATTTTCAAAATAATCATGCTTTGAATTAATTCAAGGTCCTGAGTTTGCCCCCTGGCACCACGTGACTCACAGGTCTCCCTGGGTAGGGCCCTATTGGCCCCTTCCACTGTTACCAGACACTGACCCTTCAGGCTTATATCCCAGGGTTGACTATTACTGGAAATGACCCTTAGACCCTCACCATCTGTGTACAGTGGGGCAGAGGGGTGGGGTTGGAGGATATCAAATTTTTTATATATGTACATTTTTATACATTATATATATAATGCATATTTTGGGTCACACCTAGTGATGCTCTGGGGTTACTCCTGGCTCTGTGCTCAGGAATTACTCCTGGTGGGGCTCAGTGAACCCATATGAGGTGTTGCGGATCAAACCCAGGGTCAGCCTCATGCAAGGCAAGCGCTCTACCCGTTGTACTGTCTTTATGGCCCTGGTTCCTTTTTTTTTTTTTTTGGTTTTTGGTTTTTGGGTCACACCCGGCAATGCTCAGGGGTTACTCCTGGCTCATGCACTCAGGAATTGCTCCTGGCGGTGCTCAGGGGACCATATGGGGTGCTGGGAATCGAACCTGTATTGACCATGTTGGCTGCGTGCAAGGCAAACGCCCTACCCGCTGTGCTATCGCTCCAGGCCCCCCCCCCCCCCCCCGTTCCATTTTAAAAATCAGTAGTACAAGGGCTAGAGCGATAGCACAGCGGGTAGGGCGTTTGCCTTGCACGCAGCCAACATGGCCGACACAGGTTCAATTCCCAGCATCCCATATGATCCCCCAAACACCGCCAGGAGCAATTCCTGAGTGCATGAGCCTGGAGTAACTCCTGAGCATCGCCGGGTGTGACCCAAAAAGCCAAAAAAAAAAAAAATCAGTAGTACAGTGGATAGGGTGTTTGCCTTGCATGCAGATGACCCAGGTTCAATCTCCAGTACTTCATGTGGTCTCCTGAGCCCACCAGCAGTGAGCCCTGAGTGCAGAGCCAGAGTAAGCCCTGAGGACCGCTGATGTTGCCCCCAAAGAACAACTCAGACTCAATGATTTCTAAACTGAAACATTTGCTTGGTGTCTTTGTTCTGAGTTTGTACTGAACTTACAAACTTGTAAATTCCTTATTCCCAAATGGGACTTCCTTGAATATAAAGGCTGCTTTAAAAGCACACTGAATACTTGTTTCTTGGCTGCCTAAATGTTTTCTTCTCAGAGAATTCCCATTGTTAAACCATGAAATTGTATTTTCTGTTGGCTGAAAGATCGGGAAAATACACCTTGAAGATAAGCAGAAGCACCGTAAGCATTTGTTCAGAAAACTGACCACTCATTTTATTGCAGTTGTGGATATCATTCCCGAAAATGATTGGGTGCTAGCAGAGAGTGATTTATATTGCATTAAAATTGGCTACTAACAACTGCTTTACAAATTTTCCCAGTTCTAAACTTAGGCTGACCCCAGGCCTCCTGCTCAGTTTATTTTTTTTCTTTCAGGGAAAACCCTGATACCCACTGGTGGCTTCATTTGCAGCTCAGCTCTTTGAGCGGTTCTGTAGAAGATTGAAATGTTCACTTCTCTTTGGCTATAGAGTGCTGAGGGGTAGAAAGGCAGCCGCCGAACCTGAGCTCTCCCGTGCCCGTGGGAACTTGGGTGTCACCATGGGGAGCCTGCCTTGAAGGAAGAAGGCAGGTCGGAGGAGAAGGCAGAAGGAGCTTTCGGCACTTGTGGCATCAAGATTGTCAGTGGGTGTCTTGGGATCCTGGAAAGATCACAGGCCAGGCTGAGAGCATTGCTTCATGCTCGGGGCAGGATCAGGCAGATTGGGAGACCAAAGGGGACTCTTGGGCCATTTTTACACAAGGACCATGTCACTTGTCTTAGTCTCTCCATAAGTGATAGGGAAGAGCACATAAGCTTCTTGTAGCCACTTCTAATACTTAACTTTGAAATGGCATATTAGTCTTGAAACTATTGTAATTGTTAATAGTGGATTTTGAGTCTCGTATTTTCTTATTAGAATATATAGAGGCTATAACTTACTGCCCAGCATCACTGATGTCACCATGGAAAACAACCTTTCGCGAGTGATCGCTGCTGTGTCTCGTGGACTGATCACCTCCACCACTCGCGCTCTCACAGTAAGTCTGTCTCAGCACCTGAAGGCGCTGCAGAGCAGTAACACTGGGGGCTTGTTACTAAGGAACTGCTTCAGTGGACAGTCTGGGTCTGGTCAGCGACTGCTTTTTCCTGATGGCTAAAGGAATGAGTCTGTGCTCACCGTAGACATTCAGGAACACAGGAGGACATGGAAATGGAACAACAGCATGGACTCAGTGACCCTGGGGTACACAGTAAGATGAAACCAGAATGCCTACTAGCAGTCTTGTATGATATCTGTATCCTTGATGCTGAAATTGGAAAATCACAAGTCCAAGTCTGGAAAAACACATGTCCGAGAAACCTGGAATATTTGAATGCTAATTCTGGCTGAATTCTCTTCATGGGTATAAATTCTTCCCCTGTCAGTTGTAGGCTATGGAGAACTTCAAATGGTTTCATGAGTGACCTAGATTTTCATATTTAATGATAAAAGGGGCAGTACGAACCTATTTTAGTTCCTAGAGCTTAGTTATAAAAGATATTTACACACTTAGCGTGTCAGTCCGAGAATGGCCAAGATGGGGTGCAGGAGTGCCTCAGCGGCGGGCAACTCCCTCGGAGGGGTGATCTCCAACTATGACCCTAGCCTCCCAACCAAATAAGCGGACCCCTTTCCCTGTCCTCCAAGAAGCAGAGGCAACGAAGGAGTAGGAAGAGGGGAAAATAGTAATATTACAAACACCTATTCCCAAGATGAATATTAAGATTTTGGATGGTTTTGTTTTCTTCCATATTTTTCAGATACATTTTCTATGATGACCAAGTTTAATTCTTATAATCGGAAAAATAGAATTTAAAAATTTTTTTTGTTTGTATTTTGGGCCATACCTGGCGATTCTGCGCTCAGGGATTGCTCCTGTCAGTGCTTAGGGCAACCACTGGGATGCCAGGGATCGAACCCAGGTTGGCTGCATCCAAGGCAAGCGCTCTACCCGCTGTACTATCACTGGCCCCAGAAAAATAGAATTTTGTATAGAAATATTATTGTCTGGTTAAACCTTATCATTAATTTTATCTAATAAGAAAAATGCCCCAGATAACCAGATCACTTCTTAGAGAACCCTCCCACCAGCCCACTGTAAAAAGACAAACCAAAACCCAGTTCAAAGAGATGGTACAAGGGCTCAGGTACATACATTGCATATGCCGACCCTGGTTTAATGCCTGACCCATTGGTCCCCTAAGTTGCTGGGTATGGCCCTAGAGGGACCCCTCAAAATCAGAGAAGGGACTTGTGTTGCGGGCGACTCTGTTGGGGTCAGCAGCCTTCTGCAGGCATGTGCGCATTCTAGACTCTGCTCTGGCCTCGCCAGTTCACTCAGGCCACTGGGAACCTGGTTGCGTGTAACGCGCCCAGCACTGCTCACCCAGCAAGCTCCTGTCTTTGCGGGTGCTCTGGGAGATGTGCAGAGCTCAGCAGGTACTGGGCTGGAGGAGCTGCTCACTGCTAGCCTCGCCAGCTGCAGTGGACCATGTTAGGACCTGAATTTCAGTTGCCTGCCCCATCCTGCAAGGTGACTGTCTGTCCCGTGGTCACGGACAACTTGCCGGGAGAAGCTGTTGGCATTGCTCAGCTTAGTGCTCTCTGCAGACGGGAGGAAGGCAGGAGGGAAAACCTCTTTGTGTAGGTGTGACCTTGCTCCTCTTTCTCCTCAGTTTGGATGCTGTGAAGCTTTGTGTCTCCTTTCAACGGCCTTTCCTGTTTGTATTTGGAGCTTGGGCTGGCACTGTGGGTATGTATTTTCCTTTGCAGATGGTTGTCCACCATTCCATGATGCGAACATGATTTTTGAAGTCCTTTTTCACTCTGTCAAGTCTGGATATTTTGGAAAATCTCTGCTAGCCGGAGTTCTGTGCTCTGCCCTGTTGTGCGGAGAAAATAACGCTCGGCACCTGTTGGGAAAGAACATGTTCGTCATAACTGTCATGAAAGTCACATACTTAGCCAGTAGCGTTGTAGAGAATTTGAGGGGAGATATGTGAATTTCCTTAAGAGTATTCATACATGCTAGCAAAATACTTTCTTTTTTCTTTTTTGGCCATACCTAGTGGTGTTTACTCAGGGCTTACTCCTGGCTCTGTGCTTGGGGATCATTCCTGGTGGGGTTTAGGGGACCATATATGGTACTGGGGATCAAACTCATGATGGCTGTGTGCAAGGCAATCACTGTACTGTCTCTCTAGTCCCGCAAAATACATTTTACTCCTTTTTTTGTGGTATCAGTGGTCCAACCCAAGGCCTCACATATGCGAGGCAAGTGCTTTGCTGCCAAGATGGTTTATGGCACTCACAAAACTTCTCCTTGCTGGATTCTTCACTGCTTTTGGGAATCAAATCTCAAGGTGGGGGCTAGAGACATACTACAGCAGTACGTGCTGGTCTTCTTTGTTGCTGACCTGGATTCGATCCTTGGCGCTGCATATGGGTCCCCAAGCCCTTCCAGAAGTGCAGAGTGATGAGAAAGTGCTGCCCATTTTTGGTGTGACCCTAAAACAAAGACCTCAGCACATTTTTTCATTTGAAATCCAGCGTGAGCCACAGTATTTGCTTGGGGACTGCTGTGCTGTGCCAGCTCTTTGCTCGGAGGGGCCTTCCTTGCTCACCCGCCCTTGAGCTTCGGCCCCATTAGGGACAGAGTTGTCCACATGTGTGCCCTTTGCTGAGGAGGATTTGGCAGCTCACCTGCCCCTTGGGGAGTTGATTGGCAGTTTTTCTGTGAGATCTTGGAGTCCCTGATTTAGACTCGTGTTTTTCCTTTTTCCATCTGTGGCCTCCTTCCGACCTTGTTCTTTTGTCACAGCGCCCACCCTCCCCATCCTTTGGTTGGCCCCTGGTCTCATGCTGTGGTCCCCTATATGGTGCCTCCTTGTGCCATCCTGGGAGGTGAGAAGTGCCCTCTAGAGATATCTCTCCTCCACTAGCCAACACTTCCTGGGTGGTCACAACAGTTCAGGCGTCTTTGCCATTGGAATAAAGGCATGAAGGTGAAGGAAGCAGCTGAATAAGCAGTTGGATGCTCCTATACGCTAGATTCCACTTCTCCAGAGGCCGGTACAGAGCCGTGTGGTGCCAGCAAGAGGGGCACTAGCAGGGCCAATCCTCCAGCACCTGCAGGCAGTGCAGGCCGCTTGCTGGCAGACTCTCCTGTGCCTGACTTGCCCATTTGCCTGCAGAGTACCCCCGCTGAGTGCCACTGATGAGTCCCGCAAGAGCTGCACGGTGGGGATGGCCGCCATGGTGCTCACCTTGCTCTCGTCCGCCTGGTTCCCGCTTGACCTGTCCGCCCACCAGGATGCCCTCATTTTGACAGGCAACTTGCTTGCAGGTACTGGTTTGAGTCACCAGGGGGCACTCAGCTGCTCACTCTTGACGGCCCTTCGCGGGGTACTGTGGTGAGGGGAGCTGGAGCCCACCCATCCCCCGTCAGTTTCAGAGGTCACCGGCCTTCAGCAGTGTGCGGAGTCTGTGTCCAGTGTCCCAGCCTGGCACCACAGGGGTAGCTCAGGATGGTGGTGACTGCTTTCCTTTGGGGCTGAGGTGGCTAACAGGGCAGCTCCGACACCTGCTCACATAGAAGGGTGGTGACAGTGGGAACCAGCTAGGCCAGTAGACTGTGGCGGGGGGCGGTGGTGTCGATCCCGCAGGTGCTGTGGACTCTGGGAAAGGGACTGCCATGGGGCTCGGTGCTTGTGGGAAGGGAGGCGAGAGATATATAGAGCTGGTGCTGTCGCTGAGGCCAGAGGTGGAGATCATCTGAACCGAGATGACGGAGCTGGTGTTGAGGGGGAGAGACACATTGAAGGAGAATGCAGGAGGCAGACCGGGCAGGCCTTGGTCCACGCTGGGCCGGGAAGGACCCTCCTGTTGAATTGGATCAGAGCATGGCATGTCTAGAGCTGCCCGCATTCTGCATCCGGGCCTGCCCAAATTCTCCCACACCTGCTGATGCGGGTGCCTCTCTCGCAGCCAGTGCCCCCAAGTCTCTCAGAAGTTCTTGGAACTCTGAAGAAGAGGCCACCCCAGCAGCCACCAAGCAGGAGGAGGTGTGGCCCGCGCTGGGGGACCGGAGCCTGGTGCCGATGGTGGAGCAGCTCTTCTCCCATCTGCTGAAGGTCATCAACATCTGTGCACACGTCCTGGATGACGTGACTCCTGGGCCTGCTCTCAAGGTACCTTTTTCAGGGCGTCTGCCTAGACTTCCTGCAAACACCTGCCGACTCGTCACTCTGAGCGTACCACTTGTCACTTAATACCACAGTTGACGCTCACCAGGACTGCCTGCCTCACATCCCTTTTCGCTCTGGCTCTGCGCCTTTACCGAGAGCTGAGAGCTGGCACTCGGGCCTGGAGCCTTGCAGCTCTCTCTCCTGGTGCATGGACGGGGTCCAGCTCAATGAAATGAGCCTCTTGAGCTCCCTTGTACTGACCTGATTTTTCCTCCTTGCCCGGCCTTCTGTCAAGGCCCTTCATCTTGGTGAGTCCCGTCTCCCGGTCTGTGGCCTGCATCCCCACTCGGGGCCTCCTGCTGCTCTTGGGCCCTGCACCTGCCTATCCGACCTTAGCTGCTGCTCCCACACCAGCTCCTCCTGCCAGGACCAGCCTTTGGGCCTCCTGGCCCCGGCCCCGGTCCTGCATACCCGCCCACGTGCACACTCAGCAATGCTTCTCCTGCCCTGGTGTCATGGTTTCTATTACCCTCTCCGCCTTCCTCCTGCAGCGAGTGGTCTGCTCCTGATTCTTCCCCTCTTCCCACTTAGCCTAGTTCTAGGCCAGGTGCACCTCAAGCCCTCCGTTTTGCCTCTGTACCTGCAGCCCTCGCCCCCAACACCGGCGTCTCCTGGCTGCTCAGGGTCGGGAGAGTTCTGGGCAGCACTGGGTTCCGCAGCCCTGGCCTTGCCACCTCGGTGCACGCTGCCCCTGTGTGGACTCCAGCTCCCTCTCACACAGTTTGGGCTGGAGGCCCCTCTTCATCGCTTGGTCTGGCCGCCCCTCGCAGGAGTCTTTGGAGGACCTGGTTCCTGTAGTGTCCTGGCTTCTTGCCACTGGGGGGATTTCTCCAGCCCCCTCTCCCTGTGCTCCATACCCCATGGTTGATTGTCAGGGGGTAAAGGTTGGTGTATGTGCTGTGTCAGTGTGTGTGGGGATGCGGAGCACGAAGGCCCCAGCACCGGCACTTCCTCAGGCTATCTGGGTTCTCTTATAGGCAGCCTTGCCGTCCCTGACAAACCCGCCCTCGCTGAGTCCGATCCGGCGGAAGGGGAAGGAGAAAGAGCCCGGGGAGCAGGCCTCGGCGCCACTGAGCCCTAAGAAAGGCAGTGAGGCCAGTCCAGGTATGGGGCTAGAGGTGGGGACTCTCCTGCCACTCAGCACAGGAAGCGTTCTGTTCGGGCTGAGTCTAGGCATAGGACTGACCAGACACGCCCTGTGGTCAGTCTGCCCAAGCCGAGCATGCGTGAAACTTGAGTGGGACAGCTGCTCAATGTCTGGCGCCGCTTCCCAGCCCAGTGTCAGAGCATGTTTATGGCTTCCCTCTAATTATTTAACATTCAAATGGGATTTGGGGTGACCAGGGTCCACCATCTGGGGTGTGGAGTCACTGAACTAGACAAGCTGACCAAAAAGACAGTAGCTCACGGCTTTGCTTGGTTTCATTTTACTGATTGAACATTTATTTTACTGTTTGTTTTACTGATTGTACTTGTATGTATTAGTTTCTCCTAACTTCTAACTACTTTGACAAACTGGCAGGCTACCGAATGTAACCTGCCCACATGGCAGAGTCTGGCAAACTCCCCGTGGCGTACCCAATATGCCAAATACCAGTAACAATGATGGGTCTCATTCTCCTAAAGAGCCTTGAATATAATCTCAGGGTTAGGATGAAGGAGACGTTACTGGGGCCTGTTCGAGGCAATCGACGAATAACAGGATGATCTGTGATCTGTGATCTGTGAACTTTTAACTAACCAGAAGAAAATTTGATTTGTTTTACTAGACACTATTTTTTCTTTTCTGTGTCATACCCAGGAATGTGCACAGTTATTCCTAGTTCTGCACTCACGAACTACTGTCAGTGCTTGGGAGACTGTGGGATGCCAGGGATTAAACCTAGGTCGGCGGTGTGCAAGGCAAACTCCCTACCCACTACCCACTATACTATAGCTCCAGTCCCACTAGACCTCTTTTAAAAATCATTGTTGCCAGTAATTTTTTTTTTTTTGGCTTTTTGGGTCACACCTGGCAATGCACAGGGGTTACTCCTGGCTCTGCACTCAGGAATTACCCCTGGCGGTGCTCAGGGGACCATATGGGATGCTGGGAATCAAAACCAGGTTGTCCGCGTGCAAGGCAAACGCCCTACTCACTGTGCTATTGCTCCAGCCCCAGTAATTTAAATGTGGAAGGTTTTTGCTTTTGATCTAATTACTTACTTTGTGTGTTTGTGTTTTTAAAGCCTCTCGACAGTCTGATACTTCAGGGCCAGTGACAGCCAACAAATCCTCCTCTCTGGGAAGTTTCTACCACCTTCCTTCCTACCTCAAACTGCACGATGTCCTCAAGGCCACTCACGCCAACTACAAGGTACTGCTGCTTCCCCAAGCACATGCCTGCTGCAGCGGCCCCGTGTCCTTATGCACCACACTGTCCATGCCTCTCACTATCTCCCAGTCCTTGCCACTAGCCTTTCAGCTTGTTCCCAGTTGCCTCTGTCACACATTGTGATCATTGTCATGGCCATGTGAGGTGTCCAACACGGTTATGGTGTGCCAGAAGGACACGATTTTGTGTGCCTCAGGGATGCCAGAGCAGAGCCCATGGGACTGGGGAGCAGTGCTGGGGGTGAGTTCCTGCCTTCGGGGGGCTCTATTGGCGGTCAGCCTGGGCTCCCCGTACCTGCCATGTGCTCTGGCCACCACACAAGACTGGACACAGCTAGGCCACAGGAAAGGAAGTGAGCCTGTGGTGGTCCCCTGTGTCCCTCTCTCCACAGCAGCCCGGAGCTGCCCTGGCCTCTGCCAGACACAGTGGACAGTGGCTGCTGAAACTCTTAAGACGCACACAGCAAGCAGAGGGTGTATATTTTCCCTGTCTCCCCACTCTCCTATCCCTTTGCCTAGAAAGCCTTTTCTCTTTTGCCTTGGCAGCAACGCACAGTTCACCGAGCACATCTGAGATACTGCGGCATCTCCCCAGGGTCTCCACAGCTTTCCCGTCCCTCAGCCGCTGGTCTCTATCCATTTTACAGGGGACTTCTGTGGTCTGAGTACCCTTTCCATCTGGTCCCCGAGGTAGTTGGTATATTCAGCTGCATCCTTCAGTGTCTCAGATGCTAGTGAAGACAGATGTGATGTTTTGTTGTAGGCAGACTAAAGCCCCCAGGAATCCTTCTGTGCCTACAGTGGGATGCATCATTTTAGTCTGGATGTGCTACTTATCAAATGCTGGGTATCAAAAGCCTTTGCAGATTTTCTCTCATGCTAGAAGGTTAAGGGTGATCTCTTCCAAATTTCAGTATAGCTTGGAAGATGTCTTAGGGAAAAAAACAGGTTTTTGTGAGGTTTTTTTTTTTTTTTTTTTTGGTGGGGGGGGGACTGGGGATAACTTTATTTTGGAGCCATCCCCTGTGGTGCTCAGGACTTACTCCTGTCTCAGTACTCAGGGATCATTCCACACAGAGCTCAGGGGATCATATGGGGTGCCAGGGATCGAACTGGGCCAGCCACATGCAAGGCAAACAGCCCTCACTGCCCTATCTCTCTGTCCCCAGAAAGAAACCAGTTTTTATCTAGCTATCTGAGTCATTTCTTTGCCAGGCTATTTTTCCTGTTTTAGACCCAAATTTACCCTTCCTCCCCGTCCAGCGGTGGACGTGTGGGAATGGCTCATGGTACTGTGTCCCAGCAGACAGTACACGTTCTTGCTGCAGACCAGGGTATGGCACACCACAGGCTCTGTCTTCCCTCCATGCCAGGTCACCTTGGATCTGCAGAACAGCTCTGAGAAGTTTGGGGGCTTTCTGCGCTCTGCCCTGGATGTTCTCGCTCAGATCCTCGAGTTGGCAACTCTGCAGGACATTGGGAAGGTTTGTAGCACTGTTCTTGCTGAATCATAGCTAGCAACCGTGGTCTACACCCTAGACCTCTGAGGTACAGTCCTGCATGGGCACATGAGAAGCTTCTGGAGATGCACCCCAGCTTCTAGCATTGGCACTGTAGGGAGTCAGCCCTCTGACTCTGCTTTTGTTTAGGGACCACACCAGATGATTCTCTGGGCTCACTCTTGGCGCTGCGCTCCTGGCAGGTTCAGGGGACCATGTGGAGTGCCAGGGATCAAATCCAGGCTGTCCTTGTGCTTGCTATCCTATCGCTCCGGCCCAGCATTGGAGTTTTTAATTTTAACTTCATTATGACGGAAGCAGTGTGGTGTACAGTGGTGATTGACACGTTTCTTTTTCTGACGACAAAGCGTCCAGTTTTTGACTGACACCTGCAGAGCCATGCAGCCCTGCTCCACTGTCCTGTTTTGCTACTGCTCTGCCATCTGATTGTCATCTCCCTCCAGGCTGAGGTGGAGGGAAGTGCTCTCTTCCCTGGCCCAGTGCCAGACCCTTGGGGCTTCCATCTCTTGGGCATGGTGCCCTGGAGCTGTGCTCTTCCCTCCGGTGGCAGCAGGTTACAGTTTGGGCAGGGGTGGTTGGAATGACTGTCTGAATCCTGTGCTTGGGAAAGTTCTGGACTTTGTGCCTTGGATGTTCTCAGAGGCTGCCGCCACCTCCTCCCACTCCCGGTGCCTGCACATGGCTGCATGGCTTGGTGGCATGGTCAGGACCCTGGTGCCCTCTCAAGCTGCTTGGGCGTGCCCTGTGCATTGAGGCTGAGCTGAGTGAGTTGGGGATTTTGGTGTCTGGGGCATGAAGTTGAGAGAGTGCCGGAAGAACAGACATGAGGGACATAATCGGTCTGCTGGGCTTTTGACTGAGCTGGCCGAGGTAGCGTGTGGTGCCGAGCCCTCCAACAGTGGTCGCGGGTGCTTCCTTGCTCTTCATAGCCCCACAGCGTCACAGCGGGACAGGAGGATGGTCATGTGCTTGTTGGGCGGGCTGCTCAAAGGCACCCCTTTGTCGTAAAATGTTGTGCCTCTGTGGGACTGATTGCAAGACGGGACTCAGCAGACCTGAGTGTGTTCCCCAACATGCCCTGCACCAGGACACATTGGAAGTGCGCCCCATGTGACCTGCTGGAGCGCCCCCTCTGACTTTGACGCCTGTGATCGGAATTTCCTGTTGTCTTTTCCCACAGTGTGTCGAAGAGATCCTGGGGTATCTGAAATCCTGCTTCAGTCGAGAGCCCACCATGGCGACTGTCTGTGTCCAGCAAGTGAGACCCAGCTCTGAGTGCTGCGTGCTGCCATCTGATGGGGCGTGCGGCGTGGCTGTCCCGTCATGATGGCATCCAATTAGCAAGGGAGGGTTTGGGAGTGGTCCAAGTGTTGCTTGCATTGCCAGGTTAGTGCAGATGCTGTCTCTTCTCGCCTTCTAGCTGTTAAAGACTCTTTTTGGAACGAACTTGGCCTCCCAGTTTGATGGCTTGTCCTCCAACCCCAGCAAGTGTCAAGGCCAAGCCCAGCGTCTGGGCTCCTCCAGCGTGAGGCCGGGCTTGTACCACTACTGCTTCATGGCTCCCTACACCCACTTCACCCAGGCCTTGGCCGACGCAAGCCTGAGGAACATGGTGCAGGCCGAGCAGGACCACGACCCCGCAGGGTAAGGTCTGTGCCTGGCGAGAGAGCAAGTGTGGATTGACTTGTAAATGGGAGAGAAAATCAGCCTGCAGCCTGCTGTGCTCAGAGAACCCCAGGAAGTCAGGCTGCCACTAGGTGCCAGAGGCTCACATGGCCCTGCCTGAGGGGAGGGGAGCACAGCTGCTCAGACACCCGGGTGTGATGGGGGGTGGGAATGTCCTGGCCGAAGCCAGGCTTGACATCTTGTGAGATAGACAATGAGAGATAATATCTCAAGTGTGAAGTTAGGTCTGGGACATCTTCTTTGTGACATAGTGACAGATATGTCTGGCCAATAATGTCCCAGACCTGAGGTTAGGCCAGTGACAACTTGCTGGTTGTGACCTGCTTTTGGCAGAGATCACTGAGGTGAAGTGGGCTCTGCAGGCCCCACATACTGGTGCTTGGGGAACATGAAGGCAAAGAGTCCCAGGTAGCTTTCCTGTGCTTTGTCACTTCCATCTAAAAGTCCCCTCATGAAAGTGGCTGATTTGGGTGCCTAGCAGATGCATTGTTCTTTTGTTTTTTGTTTGTGTTGTGGCCACACCCGGCAATGTTCAGGGATCACTCTTGAAGGTTCAGGGGACCATGTGAAATGCCAGGGATCAAACCCAGATTGCCACATGCAAGGCAAGTGCCCTACCCGATGGATGGTCTCCAGCCCCAGCGGAGGCATGTTTTGGTTGATTTGCTTTTCGCTCCACACCCGAGAGTATGCAGGTCTTACTCTTGACTGGGCCTGGGGGACTTTTGCTCCTGCCCTGGAGTTTCTGAAGCCACCATGAGTACCAGCAGGTATTATTTACCCCTGAGAAATCACAGTAGAATTTATTGCTTTCCCTACTATACACGAAGTGATATCAAGCTGGAGCAATAGCACAGCAGGTCGGGTGTTTGCCTTGCATGCGGCTGACCCGGGTTTGATTCCTCCCACCCACACGGCAGAGCCTGGCCAGCTCTCCGTGGCGTATTCGATATGCCAAAGTAACAAGTATGTAACAAGTCTCATAATGGAGACATTACTGGTGCCCACTCAAGCAAATCGATGAACAACAGAAGGACACGAGGTGCTACACGAAGTGATCAAAACAGCTTCCACAAATAAAGGGCAGGGTGCTGGAAAGATAGTCCAGCTATTCCAGCCTCGCACGCGGCAGGCCCGCCTTCCATCCTGCACCATACATGGTCCCCTGAGCTCTGCCAGGTGTGATGCCTGAGCACAGAGCCAGAAAGAAGTAATGTGGGGTGTGACCCAAACACAAAAAGTATGTGTGTGTGTGTGTGTGTGTGTATACACATATATAAATACGTACATATATGTGTGTGTAATATACGTATGTATATATGCATGCATATATATGCATATGTACACACAAACAGGGAGAGGGAGAGAGAAGCAGGAGCTAACGGAATACCCATCTGAGCCTCGTTGTATATCCAAATTTCAGGAATCTGTCTTCTGAAGTATTTAACTTAGTCGTATGAGGTGGACGTAAAAAAATTGGTGTGTTTGATACCATCGTTTAATTCTTATCTCTTAAGACCAGCGAGTCACTGGTGAAGTATTTTTTAAAGGAAAGTAAACAATGCTAAGTTGCTGAATCCATATACGGGTGAAGACAGGGCTGAGCAGGGACAGCTGTTAGAGCAAGTGCCATGTGTGGAACAGTTCTAGGGCCACCACTCAGCTGGAAGTTCTCATAGTCCGCCCCGAGAGGAGCAGCTGTTGCTCTCGTGCGTGTCTGTGTTACTCGGCAGCCGTGCCCTGCTCTCTGCTCACAGCTCATGTGGCCTAGAGTGGGCGTGGTGCTTCACCCACCTGTGTTCTGCCCCTTAGCTGGTTTGATGTACTCCAGAAAGTGTCTACCCAGTTAAAGAGTAACCTCACGAGTGTCGCGAAGAACCGCACAGATAAGGTAAGTATGAGGTGAAGCGTGGTGCGGGTGGGCGCCTGTGCGGGGCCTGACAGGGCGTTGGTGGAAGATCCGTCTCCTTTGTCTCCCAGAATGCTATTCACAGCCACATCCGCCTGTTCGAGCCGCTTGTCATCAAAGCTCTGAAGCAGTATACCACCACCACATCCGTGCAGCTGCAGAGGCAGGTTTTGGATCTGCTGGCACAGCTGGTTCAGTTGAGGGTCAATTACTGTCTCCTGGACTCTGATCAGGTTTGTCACCCACTGCACACGGGTCTAATGTACCCAGGGTTCCTTGGACCCACGGAAACTGCAGCACGCTGGCTCAGCCCCAGCATGTGTCGTCTGCAGAGCCCTTTATGCCTCACTCATGCCCGCTGCTCACACAGTGAGGTGATACTGAAGCTAAGCTAAGATCTGTCTTTTGGGGGCCCTCCAGAGGTTTGGAATAGATGAGTGGTTGTGATTCAGTTTTTCACTTTCTTCTAGACAAGGATTTAGCTATAGATACAGGGTCTGTAACCCAGGAGAAGTGAGGGGATTTGGGCAGGGCACTAAGGGACGAGCTCCTTTCAATCAAGGGCACTGCTGTGGCCACAGTTGCACTCTGCCCTTCCTGCTATGGTTGTCAGGAGAAATTTGAGCAGAGGAAAGGGGCGCTTTGTTTCTTCCCCAGGCGCGGGTGCGTGGCAAACAGTGTGTCTGAGAAGGAGGTAGGGGCCCCAGCCTGCACCTAGCTGCACCCCTCTGCTCAGACAGATGTGCCGTTAGGTCAGCACCAACCCATTGGCCTCGGGCCTTCTCCCTCACAGACTCAGCTCACTGATTCCCTCTGGCCTCCAAAATCTCCCTGTGACTGCCAGGTGCTGAGAGAATCCACTTCCACAGCTTTCCTGTGCCAGGCTATGTGGATGCTGAGCTGGTACAGAACTGCTTCTGGTTCTGAATCCGGCTCTAGCTGCAGCCCTCCAGCCGCTCCCATGTTGAGATTTCCCGGGGCCTTTCTCCCTGGCCACCACCCCGCGTTGATTCTGATACACTTGTGCCACTTGGTACAGTGCAGGCTTGTAGGGCCAAGATTGCTCCCTGAAGCAGGCAGGCAGATGGCGCTGACTGGCACTGCTCCTCCTGCTGAACTCCTGAAGGGGGCAGCGATGGGCAGGCAGACCGCTCCAGTATCTTGGTGCCAGCCGGTTCTGTTGAGTTCCATGGACGGATTGAGAAGCACCCACCTGCGCCCCTCAGAAGGGTTGGAGAATGCCCGCTGTCTCCTGGAACCCATTCTTGACTTTTCTAAGGGGGAACCTTAGTGTTCAGAAAATGTTTGTTTTGTTTTTGGCTTGGAGCCACACCTGGTCATGCTTCAGGTTCTTCGTGGCTCGATGCTCAGGCGTTGCTCCCCACAGTGCACAAGGTACCATGTGCAGGGTCAGAAATGGGTCCTCTCGCATGCTAAGCACACTCACCAATCCCAGCCCCCCGCCCAAGTGTTCCCGGGTTCCCAGGGTGTCCTGCAGCCCTGTGGTCTGGTGTGAGGGCACACTGTTGTGGGCACAGATCACTGCCAGGAAGTGTGTCCACATGTCTGCAGAGAGGCCGACCAGAGCCTTCCCTCATTCTCATGGTGGCTATGTGGTCTCCTTCTGCCCACAGGTGTTTATCGGATTTGTGCTGAAGCAGTTTGAATACATCGAAGTAGGCCAGTTCAGGTAAGCAGCCGTCAGGCATTTTCTGTTCTCCTTTGTAATTTGAAGTGATTCTGGTAGCCTTCACTTCCAAGAATGGTAGGCATGCTGGCTCGTTCCAGTGAGATTTCTCATGGAAATCTCATTGACATGCTGTGCATTTTGTTTCTGGAAATTAAACAAGCACCCAAAGACTGTGTGGGAAGTGGCACTGCGGTGCGCCAGTGTGTGAGAGGTGTCAACTGGGATTTCTCATTAGCACTTTTGGGCTTGGGGAGGGGTTTTTTTTTGTGTGTTTTCTTGGGGTGTCACCAGTGGCGCTTAGAGATTACTTCTGGCTCTGTGCTCAGGGATCACTCTTGGCGGGCTCTGGGGATGAAATGGATGCCAAGGGTGGAACCTGGGTCAGCTCTCTGCAAGGCAGTGGCCCTCCCTGCTGTACTGTTGTCCTGGCCCCAAGCACTAAGTTTTTAGAAGAGGGAATAAATGGAGAACACTCCTGACAGTGCTTTTTCGGGCAGTGCTCTGGGGATCAGGCAGTGCTGGGATGTACCCGGGCTCCTTCGGGCAGTGCTGCCCTCCAGCCTTGGAGCCCTCCCTTTCACGGGCATCTTAGACAAAGAGCTTCTTGCTGTGGCTGCCTTTCAGAAAGACCGTTCTGGCCCCGCCGCTTCCCTTCACTGCAGCTTTACAGTTGCCCGCAGTGCAATTCTAGCACATCTCCCCCGGTGGTGTCTAATCATGCAAAAGTGGAACTACCTAATAAATAAAGGGCCAGGTGATAATGCAGCAGGTGGGGTGCTGGCCTTGCACGCGGCTAATCCAGTTTCCCTCCCCAGCACCCCATATGTCCCCAGAGCCTTCCAGGAGTGGGTCCTGAGTACTGCCAGGTATGGCCCCAAGACCCAGTAATGAGACACAAAGGCAGATGCAGATTGTTCCGGGTCACAGGATCCGGAGACCTGACTTCTCCTTAGTACCAGCTGTCGTGACCTTGCGACCCGACCTGCGGGCGTGGTGGCCTTTCGAGGCTTGGTCTTGGGGCCTACAGGTCAGGGCCAGAGGGAAGGCTGAGGCTCAGCCTGTGGGCACAGGGCCTGTGGCACCCTGGTACCAGTGTGTGCGCCGGTGCTAATTTTACATGTTTCTGCTGATTCGTATCTTAAACTTAAGAAGGATCTAAATGACTGTTTTTGTTTCCAGGGAATCAGAGGCAATTATTCCGAACATATTTTTCTTCCTGGTGTTACTGTCTTACGAACGCTATCATTCCAAGCAGATCATTGGAATTCCCAAAATCATTCAGCTCTGTGATGGCATCATGGCCAGTGGGAGGAAGGCCGTGACTCACGGTAACAGGACCATCTCTCGCTCCCTAGCAAGCTCTTGGGACCCCAGCCTCCAGCCATGCCAGCACCCACCCTGCGTACACACACGTCAGTGTGTGGCCAGGTCGTGTGGCTGCATGAGTGTAGAGACGCGGGTGTGGCGAGGAGAGGGTGCCCTGACTCTGAGGAGCCTGTAGTCTGTTTAGGTAGAGATGAGAAAGTGGACACCCACCCAATGGCTAGCACCCTACACGGTCTCTCTATCCAAAACACAGACTTGAAACAAGTCCTGAGAAGTGAGTTTGGTGTATACCCGGGCTGCTGGTGGCTTGTCGTGGCGCTCTGGCACGTTGAGGACCTCTGCTCAGACAGACCTCTCCCACCCGCCCTGGTGACACTGCCGTGGGTTTGCAGAGAGAGCCGGAAACCTTTCAGTTGGAGACATAATTAAGCCTTTTTCGATTGGTCCACTCTGGCACCACTGTGAGGACTTTATAAGGCTCGAACTTCAGACCTTGGCATAGCCCAGAGTTGAGGTGGGCGCAGAGCAGCTCCAGCTCTGTGCATCGTGCAGGCGTGGCACCGAGGGAAAGAGTCACCTTGGCAGGCTGCTGAGGGTCTTGCCTCAGCGCCAGGCCACATCCCTCCTCCATAGCCTCTGCACTCCCCTGCACCAGGAGTCTGGCGTGAGGGATGGATGGGTGCCAGAGCCAGCAGTGCTCAGGGCAGGCGCTAGCTAGCCCTCTCTCTGCTCCATCCCCCCAGTCCCACTCCACTATCTTCAGTGGGGGAATTTGGCTGCGGAGGAGCTGGCATTGTGTGCGTGCACTACCTGGGGGGTGTGAGGCACCAGGAATAAATGTCTGTCCCTCTGCAGGACTGTCACACTGCGGCAAGTGCCTGTGTGTCTGCACCACTGTTGAGCATGCGTGTTGCTGCGGTGCGTGCCTGTGTGCCCGTGTCACTGAGTGTGTCCCTGCGAAGAGGGCCCGTGTGCCGTGTTGCTGCTGAGCGCCTGTCACTGTGGCGAGTGTCTGTGCCACTGCGACGAATATCTGTGTGCCTGTGCCAATGCCGAGTGTGCATGTCACAGCAGCAAGCGCCCAGGTGCCTGCGTCAGTACCTGTGTGTGTCACTGTGGGGAGAGAGGTGCCTGTCAGTTATGCAGTGGCATGTCAGCTGCCCCTCCCCACACAGGTGTTTTCTTAGCTTTTTTTGGGGCTGTTCAAGAATCTGCCCTTGTAAGTTGGAATGAAGCCAAGACTTGGGGACCCAACTATAGAGCATGTCATTGTCAGCACCCCACTTTGGGCATTACACAGCCCAGCTCTGGTGATGAGGAGCATTTGTCGCCTTTTAGTAAACCTTGAGTTGGTTCCCATGATAGTAGAAAGTGGCGCTTTGTTCGTTGGATCTGAGTTTTGCGTTTGTTTCTGCTAGACCTCTAGTGTTAAATCAGCCCGTAGGAAGAAGCTCTGGTTTCCCTTTCCAGTTTGAGCTTGCCCAGAACGCTCCTTTGGTGGTATAATGATGCTTTCTTATAGCCCTCCATGCCCTGAAAGTGCAGCGTGGCTGACCCACATGTTCCTTGTGCATGGTATGGGTGACCCCACACACATGTCCCTCATATGTGCGATACAGACAGCCCACATGTCTCTCATGCATATTGTGGATTGGGGCTTTTGTTCCCTGAAACTGTTTGGGGCAGGAAGCATCCTCCCGGGGCTGTTGTCCTTGTCTGCCTTTAAAGTGCCCGCTGTCCCCACAGCCATCCCAGCCCTGCAGCCCATCGTCCACGACCTGTTTGTGTTGAGAGGAACCAATAAGGCCGATGCGGGGAAAGAGCTGGAAACGCAGAAGGAGGTGGTGGTGTCCATGCTGCTGAGACTTATCCAGTACCACCAGGTCAGCCAGCGCCTGGGGCTGTTGGGGAGGCTGCCGACGAGACGGACGGGCCATGTGCTCAGGGACTGCGCTGGCACCCTCGCTTCCAGGGAGGGACCACAGCATTGCTCAGATGGTTGAATCCTAAAGAATGAATATTTCGAATTCTCAAATCTAAAGCCCGTTCAGGGCTATGCTTATTTCCTACTCTTCTCTGTTGTGGGGCCACACCTGGCAGTGCCTCGAGACCCCGGGGCCAAGCACCCCGCATAGGCGCAAGGCTGCAGAGGCCGGCTTTGGGGCGGTCAGAGGCCAGGGACCCACACAGGAACAGCAGCTCGCAGCCCTGCCCCGGGTCAGCTTCTGTCCTCAGCACTCGCACGCCCTGGGCATTCACACGCCCTGCACTGTCCCCTCTGCAGGTGGTGGAGATGTTCATCCTTGTCCTGCAGCAGTGCCACAAGGAGAATGAGGACAAGTGGAAACGCCTGTCTCGGCAGGTTGCCGACGTCGTCCTCCCTATGCTGGCCAGGCAACAGGTGTGTGTGCGTGCAGAGGGGGAGGGAAGCAGATGGACCAGCGCGAGGGCCCCACTGAGCAGGGCAGCAGGCCTGGCCCAGACAGCAGCAGGAGAAATGAACGGGGCACCGCATGGCGCTAGCTGGGCCAGTGGTGCTGCTCTGGACTCTCCAGGCTGCGCAAAGAGGGGTAGGCTGTTCCACCTTCCACCGCTGCTGCCACCATCCCTGGGGACCCCAACCCCCAGCCGGTGAGGCCCAGCCACAGGCAGTCAGTGCCTGGACACTGTGTGCTCAGCGCTCATGGCCACTGGGTCAGGGCTGGCCTCCAGGGTCGTTGCTAAGGGTTGACCCCGGGGGGTTCTCAGACATGCTGGTGAGGTGGGGGCCCATGTCTTCCCCCCTGTGACGCCCAGTGGGGTATGGGTGCTGGCCCAGCCGGCGCCAGAAACATGTTGCTGTGGCTCTCACAGATGCACATCGACTCCCACGAAGCCCTGGGCGTGGTGAACACGCTCTTCGAGATCCTGGCCCCTGCCTCCCTCCGGCCCGTGGACATGCTCCTGCGCAGCATGTTCGTCACCCCCAACACCATGGTGAGCAGCGGGGCAGAGGGCAGGGTGAGCGCCAGGACTAGGGGCACGCCTGTGCAGCAGCTCCTCCTCTCTCCCTCGCAGGCCTCCGTGAGCACGGTCCAGCTGTGGATCTCCGGTATCCTGGCCATTCTGAGGGTCCTCATCTCCCAGTCAACAGAAGACATTGTTCTTTCTCGGATCCAGGAGCTTGCTCTATCTCCCTACTTCATCTCCTGCCAAATAATCAATAGGTTACGAGATGGTGACAGAAGCCCGACACCGGAAGAGCACAGCGAAGGGAAACAGACTAAGATGCTGCCAGAAGAAACGTTTTCTCGGTATGTTCTGTGCCCCCAGGGAGCTGTCTAGAGGAAGTCTCTGCTAGACTTAACGCCAAGAGCTAGTGTAGCCAGTTTGAGTTCTTGCTGGGTACGACTTCCGGACCCCTGAGTAATGGCAGGGTGGTCTGGGGACTCCCCAGCACTGTGGGAGCTGAGCAGCACCTTATCTTCAGGCCAAGTGTAGCTGGGTGCCCGTCACCCCAGACCCCCTCAAACACCATGTAGGAGTCCAAGAGAAACGTGAGGAGCTGGAGGAGCCGAGAGTCCCTGAGGCGGGTGCCCTGCCCCTTTCTGGTCCCTGCAGGACCTCAGTGCCACAGATACTCCATGTCTGCATGCCTTCTCGGGCTGTGGTATGTGCGGGCTCTGTGAACGCTTGTGGTGCTCGCAGTTAGTGCTCCCTGAAATGTAGCCCCTGCCCTAGTGGGCAGCAGAGGCTCCAGATCGCGTGCTAAAGTAGAGAACTTGCCGGTGTGGCTTTGTGGCTTCAGTGGCGCAGGCGGCTGTAGTGATGCTTCGCCTCCCTGCCCCGGCACAATCACTTCCGCCCTGTCTCTTTGCCCACGGCCCTTAGAAAGGGGTCTGCTCACCACCACATCGTGTGAGGAATGGGACGGGGAGGCTCACCTGCTCTCTCTTCCCTGCCGCCCGCCGCCCGCCTGCAGGTTCCTGCTGCAGTTGGTCGGCATCCTCCTGGAGGACATCGGCACGAAGCGGCTGAGAGTGGAAATGAGCGAACAGCAGCACACGTTCTACTGCCAGGAGCTGGGCACACTGCTCATGTGTCTCATCCACATCTTCAAGTCAGGTAGGGCACCACCAGCGCTGGGCGCTCTCTCTGCTTCCCGCTGGGCCGGACCAAGCCTGCAAGCCCACGAGCATGTGTTTGCTGAGAGGTAGAGGAGGAGGAGGGCACCCAGGACTGCAGAAAAGCTCCACACTGGCTGAGGCCTGAGTCACACAGCCCAGAAGGAGGTCTTTGCAAGCGCCCGCACCAGATTCTCGTTAGCACAACGCCTGCCTCCTCTTCACCACCCCGCAGGACGGGGCACTAAGGGCAGCAGAGCCCTGGCTCGGCTCTTGCCTTGCTGGGTCTTAGGGAAAAGTCTCACGTGGGCAGGACAGAAAGCTGCATCCGGAGGCGCCACCCAAGGGCGAGGGCGCAAGTGGAGTTGGTGGGCGTACCGGGAGGTCCCGCTGGGGGTCGGTCACCAGCCACGGCCGCTGAGACCTGTCTCTTCTCTGGGGGCCAGCGTGCACCTGGGCAGGTGGGGAGTGGCGGGGGCACTCATCCGCTCCTGGGGTACCCAGGCTCAACCGTGTTTTTGGGGGCTGGGCAGTGGGGGACCTGGAGGGTGAGGGGCTGGGCATGCGGGAGGGCTCATACTTCCCTTGGGCTGCTGGACCCGCCCCTGTTCTGCAGATGAGGAGGCCTGCAGAACGTAGGCCTTTGCGTGCCACCGCTGGGCATGCCTGCAAGAGGATGTGCCGTCTGCACCTCATCTCCCACGCTCACACTCGAGCCTGCAGTGCTCACTCAGCCTTATTCCCTTCTCACAAACATCGGTGGGGGGACATCTTCACGGGCTCCCGGGGGCTGTCGTGCACGCCCTCCGTCCTCATGACTGACCAAGGAAGGAAAGATTTTCCCGCCATACTTAGTTCTGATGAGCTTTGAAGGCCGCACCCCTCACCCCTGGGCATGCTCGCTGCCATGCTTGTACCTTAGACATTGTGCCCTCAGCCAGCTGTGCTGTGTGTAGGCATGTATGCTCTTACCCCAATCTGTCTTTGACTGCATTTACTAGAAGCACACCAGGGGGCAGTGACACACTGGCTTGGGTGTGAGTTGGAATTGAAGAAACGGCCTTGCACATCCCTCCTCCCCCCACACACTCATACACACCTTCCTGCCCCAGATGGGCCTGCACCCTCCCCCTCCCCCCCCACACACACATACCCTACTGCCCATGTTAGGCCTGCACACACAAACACACACACACACTCTCTCTCTCACTCTCTCTCACTCTCTCTCTCTCTCTCCCCCACCCCCCCCATGCTGGGGCTGCACTCCCCTCCCTCCCCCACCCACATACACCCTCCCGCCCCTGTTGAGGCCGTACTCCGGCCCACACACTCCCCCCTCCCCCACCACCCACACCCCACCACCACCACTCATGCTTAGGCTATGCTCACCCCACACACACACACACACACACACACACACACAAACACACACATACACACACCTGCTTACCACTCACACCCTCTGCCTGCAGGGGATAGGGGCAGGGCTTCTCAAGGGGCACTGGGCCCAGGAGCCACGGTGTGCAGCCCTGCAGAGCCAGACTTTGATCTTGCATCTGGCATCAAGGTCGGGCATGCAGGAGCATTGGCACATTGTGTGCACTTCTCTGCTGGCTCTGGCAGTGCCTGAGAGACCCACAAGGGCTGCCCCATTGCCCGTCACCTACTCGGTGCTTTTCTGGGGCAGCTGCTGTTTTCACCCCATTCCCAGACAGCCCCAAGCCTGTCCCACATGCTATACAGGAGCTTCCGGAGCTGCATGTTACCTTCCACATCCTGGGTCCCAGGGACAGTGCCAGAGGGTGGCATTTGGAGCAGCCTGTAGTGTTGTGGCCGGCTCTGCCCCTCTCCGTTTCTGGCTAGGATATGTTGAATGTATAGTGGGAATCACTGACTTCCTGCAGTGAAGCCAGGGTGAGGTGAGGGCGCTAGCTGTGTGGAGCGGGGGCCGGGTGGAGGGGCTAGAATAGCCATTAGTTCATGGGCTGTTCCAGACGGGGGTGGGGCCCCTCCGCGGACACTGGCTGCAGCTCTTCATGCCGGGCCTCATGCCCACCTCCCTCTGATGAAACTGTGCCTGCTCGCACTGTGCGGGAGGCTCTCGGGACTCTGAAGCACCCAAGGCGGCCAGTAGGCAGGGGCAGGAGTATGCAGACGCTTGTTCCTGGCCACCCCAGGACGCAGCAGAGAAGAGAAGGCTGGCGGGCAGGACGGGGGTTAAGGGTTTGATCCCCAACTCCACACAGGGTCCCCCACGCTCCACCAGGAATGATCCCTAACTGCGGAGGCAGGAGTAAAGCCCCGAGCACCGCTGGGTATTGCCCAGAAACCAAAAGAAAACAAAAGCAAAGGGAAGGCAGATGTGTTCTGTGGCTCCGGCTGCAGAGCAGTATGCGGCAGGCAGCTGCCAGCATCCCCCAATCAGGTCTCCTTGCTTTGTTTCTAGGAATGTTCCGGAGGATCACGGCTGCCGCCACACGCCTCTTCACAGCCGAGGCCACTGATGGCAGCTTCTATGGACTGGAGAGCCTGAAGGCGCGTGTGCGCTCCATGGCGCCCACACACCCAGCGCTGGTGCTGCTGTGGTGCCAGGTGCTGCTGCTCGTCAGCCACACGGACTACCGCTGGTGGGCGGAGGTGCAGCAGACCCCCAAGTACGACCCCACATACGGGCCGGGGGCGGGGAGGGCCAGCACAGCAACTCCCGTTCCTGGCGCACCCTGGGAGGTTCTGCTGTGGGCACTTTCCTTCCCGGACTCCACACTGCACCCTGGACACCCGCCATGTGGTCCTGCCACGTCCCCTGCTGGGGCCGGTTCTCCAGTCGCTCCAGACCCACGCATGTCGCAATGCCTTAACTTCGTTACCAGTTGAATATGGTTCTGGTTATTCTTAGACCATGAGGGAATTACTAATGACATTTCTAAGCTTTGTGTGATTTTTTTGGTTTTATTTTTATCATTCAGAAGGCTTATGAAGTGTCTGACCGGGGTGGCCTCTCCTTGCAGTGTTGTCAGTCTTGGCCCTCGTGTCCAGGCTCTTCTTGCCCAGCATTCACACCTGTGTGGAGGGAGCAGCCTTGATGGCCCGGACCTCAGGGTGGCCTTCCTGGAAGGCGTGGGAGCCAGCAGGGGAGCGGGCTCAAGGAGCAGGCACGGCCTGTGAGGCCGAGGTCCCAGGTGACCAGGCCGTCAGGAAAAGTCTGGCCATGAGCTTTGGGCTCAGGGGCGCTGGCACTGTTTTCACCCTCGACTGCTTGGTGCTCCGTGAAGTGCTGTGTGCTAAGGGCCTTCGGGAGCCTGCCCTGCCGGTGAGCACTGTCCACCTGGCCCTCACCCAGAGTCTCTTCAAGGCCCATCGCCTCTCTAGCCTCAGGCGCCTGTGCAGGACTGCTGCAGCGGCCGAGCACCTCTTCTGTCTTTCAAGGGAGTGGGGGACAGATGGACCTTGAGAGGGTCCCTCTGTCACCCAGTTCTCCCTTCTGCTGCTCCTCCTCCCGCCCCCCCCCCCCCCCGCACTCCTTCTCCCTGAAGTTCCTCTTTCTTCCCCCTTCCTGTAGTACCTCCCTCCCTCTCCTGCAGCTCCTCCTCCCTCTCTCTTCAACTTCTTTCTCTTCCTCCTGCCACTTGTCCCTCCTCCATGTAACTCCTCCTTCCTCTCTGTAGCTCTCCCTTCTCCCCTTCCTGTAGCTCCTTCCTTCTCTCTTCCCTTCAGCTGCTTCTTTCCCTCCCTGCCACTCCTCCTCTCCCTCCCTGCAGTTCCTCTCTCCTCCCCCTCCCTGCAGCTCAGCTCCCCCTCCTCCCTGGAGCTCTTCCTTCTTCCTCCCTGCAGTTTCTCCCTCTCTTCCCTACCCTTCCTGCCACCTCTTCTAGCTCCTCCTGCTCCCCCTTCTCTTTCTCCTTGCTGCTCCTCCTTTCTCCTCTTCCTTTCTTCTTTCCTCCCCGACTTCTCCTCTCAGCAGGTAGCCAGCCAGCCTGACTAGGGATTCAGGAGGTCCTGGGAGCTCACTTCAGTCTGAACAGGAACAGGCAGACTCACCCCTTCTCTGGGGAACACACCCCAGTTCTGCAGAGCCACTGGCTCCTTGGTTAAGAGCCAAGAGCACAGCTGGGCTCTGGGTCTGGGGTGCAGCAGCTGGAGGAAAGAGCAGGGTTAGGATTGGGGGTTCTGGGTGTCAGCTCTGCAGAACCTGCTATCTCTCTTGTCAGATGAATTCTCCTTGGTATGTGCAGAGCGCATGGTTGTGAGCACAGCAGGGAACTGAGGCTGGCCAAGACTGTCCCTCGCTGCTCGCTGGGTTACTCTGTCAGCTTCTGTGCTGTGTTGAAAGTTTCCAAAGTGAAATGGGGCAGCAGAGGTGGGGGAAGAGGCTCTGGGAGATGCTGAGAAGCAGAGGCTTGCGGTGGGGAGGGGTGGGGGTTGGGAGGGAGCGCAACGCCCTGTGCCCGGTTCCTGACAGCAGTGGTGTCCTCAGCTCGACTCGCGTGACTGTCGATTCATGGCAGTTCCAAATTGGACTGCCAGCTTCCCGCTTTCTCTCTGTTGTTAGGGAAGCCCATCTGTTCTTGGTTGGTGATTCCTTCTTCCAGGAAGCCTTCCTGATTTGGCCCTGTAGACTTACTGCACCCCAGCAGGTAGCCAAGCTGCCACTGACAGCTATTTGTCTGCCTCACACTCTGGGTCACAGTACTGTTGTGTTCCCAGTCCTGAGTTCTCCTCAGTGTGAGAGGAGCTCATGCTGGGCCGCTAGACTCTCTTCCACATGGACGCTCAAGCCTCCCAGAGCCTTTCATCAGAGTGCACTGCCTCACGGGGGCACCTAGGACGCCCACTTCCAACCTTGGCCAATCAGGTCATTCCTGAGCCCGGCACAGGTGCTGGGTAGGAGAGCTTGAGCACGCCCTTTCTCCGTGTATTTTTGGCGCAAACTTCTCCAGAGGCATTATTAGACTCAAGGAAAGGATCTATTTCATGACGAGTTTGTCTCTCCATTATCCAGCTGTCACCAGAGTAGTGATTTTCCTCGTTTTAGTAGCCAGACATCTATAGTGAAATGTCATCTTTCTGTTGTCCTTGGTTTTTCTATTCTTTTCCTAGTTTGTTTGTAATTTTCATTAATATTCTTTATTTTTTATTAATATTTTCTAGTTATTAATAATACACTCGGGAATTAATCCTGGGGGTGCTCGGGGTATCATACGGAATGCTGGGGATCGAACCCTGGTCTGCTGCATGCGAGGCAAACGCCTGCCCCGATATATATAATCTCTCTAGTCCCCCCTTCTTTTTTTCACTCTCTTTTGGCTTTGGTTTTTGGGTCAATCTTTGGCAGTGCTCAGTACTTATTCCTGACTCTGTGTCCTGGGATCACTCCTGGTGGGGCTTGGGGGACCATCTAGGGTGCTGGAGATTGAACCTGGGTGGGCCACATGTAAGACAAGCACCTTACCTGCTGTATTAATCGCTTTGCATGACTCACTCCCTTCTTATTAATGATTTGTTCTCCCCCACCCCTTAGGGTGGGGATCAGATCCAGGCATGCACCTGCCCATCATTTTCCTCTTTATAGCATTTTATATTTTTCTAGTCTGAAGTAATTATTGGATACTACGACCTATCTGTATTAAATTCCATAAAGATAAAAGGGAGATCTAGGAGAACAGGCCCTTCAGGGCATCAAGCTCCTCGCAGTTAGAAGGATGGGCACCGTGGCATATCGGAGACCCGTTGAAATTGGATCTCGCTCTTGAAGAGGGGTCGCTGGGAGTACTGGCAGGCACCCGTGATGGTTTGCAGGCCCCGCGGTGGCCCAGGCAGGGAGGAGGCACCACTTTCCCTGGTAGCCCACTGTAGACCTTGACACCTGTCTGAGTTCAGGCGCTCCTGCTGGATCAGATGTTCTCATACAGTGTTGTTGTGCGGAAAGATGCACCCTCAGCCAGCAAACAGTGACATGGAGGCAGAATGGCTCCTGTGGCCCTTTGTTCATTAGGTGCAGGCCAGCTGTATCTCTGCCAGTCACCGATGGCATTTCTAAAGCCGTTTCCTCTTGGGCACTGTAACCCTGAGGTAGTTAGGGGAGCACAACCATCGCCTTGGAAGCATCTCCACGGGCACAACCAAAGACAAGGTGCACATCTGCCAGCTGGGAGGTGACCCTGTGGTCAGTGCTGTGACCAGACTTAAAGCTTTAGGGATCTCTCTCCTGAGGGAAAGCAGGGTGGGCACAGGGCTCTGGCGGCAGCTGGCACCTCACATGGGGGCCCCCTGAAAGAAACATGCACTTCGCCACTGTCCCCTGAGCCCGCCAGGCGGGGAAAAAGCCAGGCCCCTCGCTGTGACTCACATGCGCTTGGTCCCAGTGCAGGAATGGAGGACCAGGAATAACTAACACGCCTGCCAGCGCCAGTTCACGGATCCCCAAGCATCCCAGAAATGGTGTCCATGCGCTCTTTTCCTTCTAGAAGGCGCAGTCTGTCCAGCACGAAGACACTCAGTCCGCAGCTGTCCGGAGACGAGGAGGATTCTGACTCTGCAGCCAGGCTGGGCATGTGCAACCGGGAGATTGTGCGGAGAGGCGCGCTTATCCTCTTCTGTGATTATGTCGTGAGTGTCCACGTGATGTGTGGAGGGGCTGGCATCCCCGGAGACCCACGTCTCAAAACGGGCACAGCCATTCCCATCGGTGGCATGGTCGTCCCACACGCCTGCTGCTTCCAAGCGTTGGGAGGGCTGCCTCAGTTGAGCGCTTGGCGCTGACAAAGGGGCCCACGTGGCCAAGGTGAAGGGCTTTGCGACTCACTGCTGGTTTGAGTACGGTTGTCTTTTCCTTTTGTTTTTTTCCAATTAACATTTTAAGCTGTTTTTTTCAAGTCCTGGGATTTACTTTTCATGTTACTCACTCCAATACCACACCCGTTACCACCAGCAGCCACGCTTCCCCCACCCCCATGTACGTCCAAACCATTTTTGGTTTGGTTTCTGGACCGTACCCAGTGGTGCTTAGGAACTATTCCCAGCTCAGTGCTCAGAGTAGCACCTAGCAGTACTTGGGGGACCCTCATGTGCTAGGGATCAGACAGGCAAAACAAGTTTTCAACCCATAATTAGTAAGTATTCTTAGGGGCTACGTTTCCTAGTACTTGGGGAGCTGTGCAGTACCAGGGATCAGACTCAGGGCTTGGTACAAGCTAGGCATGTGTTCCGCCATCCAGGTCTTTCTGGCCCCAAAGCCCATTCTTCTCAAACAAACAAGTAAAACTTTTTTTGCAGGGTTTTATTTTATTTTATTTTATTTTTGCTTTTTGGGTCATGCCCGGCAATGCACAGGGGTTCCTCCTGCCTCTACACTCAGGTGCCTCTTACTCCTGGCGTTGCTCAGGGGACCATATGGGATGCTGGGAATCAAACCTGGTGGGCCACGTGCAAGGCAGATGCCCTCCCACTGTACTATCACTCCAGCACTCGGGGTTTTGTTTTGTTTTTGTTTGGGGGCCACACCCAGTGGTACTTAGAGCTTCTGACTCTCTGCTCAGAGATCACTCCTGGCAGTTTTGCAGTTTTTGAGCGTAAAACTTTCTGACCGTAAAATTTCCATGTTTTAACCTAAAAATTTTACTGAAGTCATGTAGATTTTTTTAAAAAGTAAGAAAGTCTCCTATAATTCTGTTTTTCAAAGGTAACTTTCAAAAGGATTCAGCTATGGGTTTTTTCCCTAATGTAGAAAGTGGGCCACACAACGCCCAGGGTTGGATCCCTGGCACCATCTGACTTCTTAAGCACCACCAGGTGTAGCCTGGCTGGCCCCCAGCACTACTGTGAAGGCCTTCACTCCCCACCCCCAAATTCAGGCATAAACACTTGCGTTTTGTTTGTTTGCTTTTGAACCCAACCATGTACTCAGGGCTTATTTCTGGCTCTGTGCTCTGGGATTACTCCTGACCGTGCTCAGGGGTCTGTATGGGGTGTGGAGTCGACCTGGGTGGACCACATGTGAGGCAAGCTCCCTGCCCGCTGTCCTAGCTCTCCAGCCCCAGTACATGCAGTTTTCCGGGCTGCCTGGGATGCAGCATAGTGGTAGAACAGTGGCATGTATGAAGTCCTAGGTTTGATCCCTGGCACTGCAAGAACAGAAGCTGCTATAACTTGATGAAAATACACACATTTCTGTGCTACAAATATGGTCTCGGAGACATAACTCAGGTAGCAAAACATTACTAAACCATTTTTTTCCAGCGTTTTGCTATATTATTCCAGTTCCCATGTTTTGCTATATTATTCCAATTTTATTATTGTTAGTTGACAACATATATATTTTTGCTTTTTGGGTCATACCCGGCAATGCACAGGGGTTACTCCTGGCTTTGCACTCAGGAATTACTCCTGGCTATGGGGGAACCATATGGGATGCTGAGAATCGAACCCAGGTCGGCCGCATGCAAGGCAAACACCCTATCCACTGTACTATCACTCCAGTCCTCATATTTTTTATATTTGTTATATACTTAGCATCAGACTTCTTTACTTGAACCAAATGTGATGTTTCTGTTGTGATAGCAACTTCACTGTCACTGTCCTCCAGTTGTTCATCGATTTGCTCTAGTGGCCCAGTAATGTCTCCATTGTGAGACTTTGTTGTTACTGTGTTTGGCACATTGAACACGTCACGGGTAGCTTGCCAGGCTTTGCCATGCGGACGAGATACTCTCGGTAGCTTGCCAGACTCTCCGAGAGGGCCAGAGGAATCGAACTCGGGTCGGCCATATTGGCTGCGTGCAAGGCAAACGCCCTACCCGCTGTGTTATTGCTCCAGCCCAATAGCAACTTACTAAATTTGTGACCTCACGTTCCTTTTATTTTTTAAATTAAAGCATTATGAGATACACAAGTTAAAAAGTTGCTCATGGTTGTGTTTCAGAACATTATATTCTAAAACCCATCCTTTCACTAATGTACATTTCCTGCCACCAGTGTCCTCATATTCTCCCCCATCAACCTCTGCCTATGTGGCAGGCACTTCTCCCCCCCCCCCCCCCCCCGCCCCGTCTCCCCATACCCGCCCCCTTTTAGACAATGGTTTGCAGTACTATTACCGAAAGGTTATCACATATGTCACTTTACTTTCAGCGCTCAATTCTTGTCCAGAGTGATCATTTCCAGGGGCTGGAGCTATAGCACAGCAGGTAGGGCATTTGCCTTGCATGTGGCCGACCCAGGTTCGATTCCCAGCTCCCATATGGTCCCCTGAGCACCACCAGGAGTAATTCGTGAGTGAAGAGCCAGGAGTAACCCCTGTGCATCGCCGGGTGTACCCAAAAAGCAAAAAAAAAAAAAAGTGATTATTTCCAGTATAAGTACCGCGCGCTAACCGATTGCGCCACTGGAGCTCCATTTCCAGTATCTTTGTCATAGAGGTCCCTTCTCTGTCCTGACTGCCCTCCGCCACAACTTGTGTCAGCTTCCTATTACGGACCAGTGCTCCTGGCCCTCGTTTCTACTGTCTGAGGTATTATGCTCATATTATGTTTTTTATATCTCACAAATGAGTGTGATGGTTGTCTCTGTCCCTCTCCTTTGGCCTCCTTTCTCAGCTTGTCCATCCATGTCGTGATTTTGTTTTCCCTAAGCAGTCTCACATTCTTGATACTGAAATAGTTTTTGGGTCTGGAGCAGTAGTATATCAGGCCCCTTTCCTCGAATGTCATCAAGCAGCGTTGAGTCCCTGGCACCTCACACGGTCCCTTGAATCAGGAGTGATCGCTGGTGCAGAGTCGGGTATGGCCCAAAAACCAAAAAGGAAAATAAACTAGTTTTACTATCTAATTTTATGTTTAGTAAATTACTATTTAATATTGATTTTCATATATACGTAGAGAAAAGTTTTATGTTTTATCTTATTTTGGTTTTGAGCATAATCAGCAGAGATCAGGGATCAGTCAGGGTGCTGGGGATTAACCTGGATCGGCTTCGTGCAAGGCAGTCCTTTTTTTTTTGTTTTTTTTGGGTCACACCTGGCAATGCTCAGGGGTTACTCCTGGCTTTGCACTCAGGAAATCACTCCTGGCAGTGCGCAGGGGACCATATGGGATGCTGGGAATTGATCCCGGGTTGGCCACGTGCAAGGCAAACGCCCTACCCGCTGTGCTATCACTCCAGCCCCCAAGACAGTCCTTTTAATTACCACAATTTATCTCTCCAGCGTGTGTGTGTGTGTGTGTGTGAGAGAGAGAGAGAGAGAGAGAGAGAGTGAGAGTTGAGAGAGAGAGAGAGTTGAGAGTGTGTGTTTTATAGGGGTCATTCCCAGTGGTGGTCTTCAGGGGGCCATGTGGTACCAGAGTTTGAATTCAGGGCCTCCCGTGTGATGGATGTGTGCTGTCCCACTGCCTCCTTTGCTGATTTTATACATTCATATTCTCCATTTACCCCGTGTGGAGAATATTCTTCAAGAACCAGGTGCCAGAGGAGCAGTCATGTTTTGCAGTTTCTGCTTGAGAGTCATGTGAATGAATGCAACAGGTATTTTTTGAATGAACATTTAATGTTTTCTTTTTTGGCCACACCTGGCAGTGCTCAGGGCTTACTCCTGGCTCTACACTCAGGAATTACTCCTGGCAGTGCTCAGGAACCATCTGGGATGCTGGGGATCGAACCTAGGTCCGATGTGCAAGGCAAATACCCTCCCCGCTATCCTGTCACTCCAGCCCCATATTTTCTTTCCTGACTCCTGTGAGACAGCTTCCTTCATTCTAACCTATCCCCGTTTTTGGTTCAAAGCTTCTCCCACTGCGATGGTGAAGGGAATCTTGCTTCTGACTGGCCTGGCCCCGAGTGGCCCCTGTGTGCTAGGCTGCAGCCTTCAGGGCTGCCCTGCCCAGATGGGCCTTGGCTGGTATCCAGTGACCCCCCTCTAGTTTGGGCGAGGCTTGGAGCCAGCTGCTGTGGCCTATTTCCCACTGGAGGAAGACTTTAAGTAGCCTCAGCCACAGTGCGGGCGGAGGCGGTACTGCGGAGCCCAGGTGTGCGGCCAAGCTGTTTCAGTGAGGACAGGAGTTGGGCTTTGGCTTTTGGTCCAGCCCCTGCCTGTGGCCTTCACCCGAATGAGCCCTGACTCTCCCCTCAGTGTCAGAACCTGCATGACTCTGAGCACTTGACGTGGCTCATCGTGAACCACATCCAGGACCTGATCAGCCTGTCCCACGAGCCGCCCGTGCAGGACTTCATCAGCGCCGTCCATCGCAACTCTGCCGCCAGTGGCCTCTTCATCCAGGCCATCCAGTCTCGCTGTGACAACCTGTCAGCTGTGAGTCCCCCCACCGGGTGTGGGAGAGCTGAACCCGCAGGCCACTGCCTGCTCTCACCCTCCCATCCCGCCCCATCAGCCCGCCACCCTGAAGAAGACGCTGCAGTGCCTAGAGGGGATCCACCTGAGCCAGTCGGGTGCCGTGCTCACGCTCTACGTGGACAAGCTGCTGAGCACCCCGCTCCGCGTGCTGGCTCGCATGGTCGACACCTTGGCTTGTCGCCGGGTCGAAATGCTCCTGGCTGCCAATTTACAGGTACCGGAAGCCCTTTGCAACTGGTGCGGAAGGCGCGGCAGGACCAGGGGTCAGAGCAGTAGGACACTGGGCGCTTACCTCGCACACGGCCGACCCAGGGTCATTCCCCGGCACTCATAGGTCCCTCGAGACCCAGCAGGAGTGACTCCTGAGCACAGAGCCAGGAGTAATCTCTGAGCATTGCCGAGTCCAGCTCCCTGGCGGGCCCCCTTTCGAATGGAGAGATGCAGGCCTGCCTGGGGTGGGAAGGTGTATGCGTGTGCCAGCTCCCACTCTCTTCCCACTTGTCCCTGCAGAGCAGCGCAGCCCAGCTGCCAGCAGAGGAGCTGCGCCGCATCCAGGAGCACCTTCAGAGCAGCGGGCTGGCTCAGAGGTAAGCCTGCAGGCAGCCCAGAGGCAGTCTCCGTACCCCCTACAGTAGCAGTATGCTGCCGCCATGTCACCCACACACCAGGCACATCCTTTTCTTGAGCATGAGCGAGCCAGCCGGGAAGATGTTACCCAGTGTTTGGCAGACAAGAACTAACTGAGTCTCGTTCAGATTTGGTCTCCTCACGGCTATTCATCACCCGGTTATGTTTTCGGCACCTTTAGCAGCCTGTGGCGGCAATCCTGCCTGCTCACACATGAGTCTATTTCTGGCACTGCGGACTAAATTCAGAGACATCTCACCTGACTTCCCGGGTGGGTGGACTGTGGGAAAGAGAACGTCGGCGGTGCGTGGTGGCCTTTCAGAGCTGTGTTGCTGGCGACGGGCGGGTGTGACACAGTGGGTGGAGGGTGCTGGACTGGCGGCTGGAGTTTCGCTCTCAAGCAGATGGTGGGAGGTCGAGCTGTTATTTTTGACCCTAGACTTAGTATTCCACCCAGATGGGGAAGATTTGAAATATCTTGTGCCAGTTGAGGTAATCCTTACACGGAATGAGCATAATGTGTCTCATTGGGAAATTAACTTGGAGGTCTGTGCATTTGGACGATCTGCTCTGCATCTTTGTAATGTGTGTGTCCATCGTCTATCTGTCTGTCTGTCGAGCCCAGGCTCACAGACTGCTCCTCTTCTGGGCTCAGCCCTGGTGTCGGTGTCAGCTCTTAGTCTGGTCTGGGATTTGGGGACCACCTTCATCGGCATCACTGTGGCGGTTCCGGCAGACGGGCCTAAGCATGAGTGTGGGGGAACGAGGTGCTGAGGGAGTTTCCATACCTTGCTTCTGGCTCTGGGCTGCACCCATCAATCCTCGGAGGCAGCATGCTGAGCGCTTCACCTCCCTGCAGACACCAGCGGCTCTACTCCCTGCTGGACAGGCTCCGCCTCACCTCCGCCCCCGGCTCCCGTGGCCCCACGCCTCCGCTCATGTCCCACCCGCTGGACGGGGATGGGCCCCTGGCACTGGAAACAATAAATCCAGACAAGGTCAGTGTCATCTGTCTGCCGTGACATACAAGGTCCCCGTCCTTTATGAGCAAGACCCAAGTGTGTGTAGGGCACAAATGAGGGTGACACACGGGGGTTCCCTCTCCTGCATGGGGCCCTGAGAGTGCTGGGAACGACTCGGTGACGCCTAGGCTCCCCTGTCTATGCTGGCAGTGGAAAAGATCACCCCTTGCAGCTCAGCCCCAGACATTGGCACAGTAGGGCGTTAGGTGAGAGGGCAAGCGCGGCTGGGAGTTGAGTAGAGCAGGGGCGGACTGTAGCCCCCCCGCCCCCAGTCCTGACCTTGAGCACCTGGTCATGTGGTCCCGGGCCTAGCCCTTGCCCGTGCGCAGCTGCCTGCTGCCCTTGCTTCCACCCCCAGAGTCCCTTTGCCAGGCTCCCAGAGTAGCACTCAAGAGTCGAGTGGAAACGGAAGCCAGGGTGGAGCTCTGGGAGCAGGAGACTCCTGCATGCCACCGAAAGAAGGCAGAGCAGGGGACAGAGGGCATCTGCTGCCTTCAGGACATGGGTAGAGACAGACTGAAGACAGCAGCGTTTCTGGCGACCAGGGCACCGATCGGGGCAGTGGGTGGAAGCCTCAGCAGTGGCACCCCTGGAGTGTTCTGCCCGCCGGTCCCTTACCACCATCTCTTCCCAGGATTGGTACATCCATCTGGTTCAATCCCAGTGCTGGACCAGGTCCGATTCTGCCCTGCTGGAAGGGGCAGAGCTGGTGAATCACATCCCTGCTGGGGACATGAATGCGTTCATGATGGACCCGGTAGGTGTGTGTGCTGGTGGTATCTGCTTCTGCCTTTAACCAAAGCCGCAGGGCCAGGGAGCTGGCTTAGCCATCAGGGTGCCTGAGGACTAAGAGGGCCCTGAACAGTGCCGGAGCAGCCCGGGGGATCCCCAGGGCTGCAGGGCACAAGCAGCACCACATCCTGATATTGAACTACCAGCCGTGAGCACTGCTCAGGAGCCCCCCATCCCCAAAATCCAAATAAAATTAGTAGCCCAACTTAGGACAGAGAAGGAATCATGATAGGTGGGAATGATTACTCTGGTCAAGAACTGGGTGCTGAAAGGAGGTAAGGTGATATGCATGATACCCTTTCAGTAGCAGTATTGCAAACCATACTGCCGGAAAACGAGGGAAGGAGAGAGGGTAGAAGAGGAGAACAGAGACAGAGAGATTGGGAGAGAGAGGAGAGAGGTTTCTGCGTAGTAGAGGCATACTGAGGGATGAGGGATATGGGTGGGAGGGAAACTGGGGACATTGGTGGCTGGGAATGTACAGCACTGAAGGAATAGTGTTGTGTTGTGTTGTGTGACAAACCCAGCCATGAACACTTTGTTCGTGACACGTTAAGACACGTTCATGAACGTATCTTAAGGTGATTCAGTTTAAAAATAAATGAGTAGCTCAGACTGGGTAGATGGTGCCAGGAGCTGAGGACATCCCAGGCCCAGGGCACTGAGGGGAGCCACCCTCAAGCCCCACCAGTGTGCCGCCTCAAAAGATGGCAGCCCCCAGAGAGAGGCACCCTCCCCCGGCTTTGCTCCAGGAGACCATTCCTCGGTGACACCACTCTCCTGCCTGGCACCCAGTGCAGCCAGTGCTCGGGGCCATGCAGTGTTCAGGTGGAGCTCAGGTCCCCTCATCCATAGGCATGCACCTCACTTGTGCTCTGGTAACCGCGTCACCTCAAAGGCCTTGGCGTTCGGCTGTCTGTTGGGTTTTCTTACCCCGTTTAAACCTGATTGTTGTTGACTCTAATGCCCTGATTCAGGAGTTCAACCTCAGCCTGCTCGCCCCCTGCCTAGGCCTGGGCCTGCGTGAAATTTCTGGGGGCCAGAAGAGCCCCCTGTTTGAAGCAGCTCGAATGGTGACTCTGGACCGTGTGGCCAGCATGGTTCAGCAGCTTCCTGCTGTCCACCAAGTTTTCCAGCCATTCCTGCCTGCGGAGCCCACTGCTTACTGGAACAAATTAGACGACCTGTTTGGTAATTAGAGGAAAATTATTGTGTGCGGGCCACACCCCTGCTGTGCCCTGGGGGTTCTGGGATGTGCCAGTGTGCTGCTCGGGAGGTAGCCTGCTGGGGACTAAAGCTCAGCCTTCTGTGCTCTGCCACCGCCAAGCCCCTTTAGAGTCCGTGTCAGCAGAGCCCTGAGCGACGCTGGGGTTGCTGGACTGCCAGGGCCGCTGTGGACATGTGTCCCTGGGGGTCTCAGTGGCAAGTCAGTCCATCTGCCCACAAGTATCTTGTTGCAGGGGATGCCGCGCTCTACTGTTCCCTGACCACTCTGGCACGCGCACTGGCTCAGTACCTGCTGGCCACTTCCAAGCTGCCTAGCCGTTTGCACCTTCCCCCAGAGAAGGAGGGTGACACCGTGAAGTTTGTGGTGATGGTGCTGGAGGTAGGCGCGGTTGCCACACACATGTGTATCTTTCCTGGATTCTAAGACCCCCTTGGGCTAAAGTGTTCTCAGGGAGGGCCCGAGTGAGAGTACAGCCCATAGGGTACTTGCCTCGCACTTAGCCGACACAAGTTGTATCTCCAGCACCCCATATGGTCCCCTGAGCCACCAGAATGATTGCTGAGCACAGAGCCAGGAGTCAGCTCTGATCACCACCGGGTGTGGCCCTAAAACGAAGCAAAGTATTTTCAGGGAGAAAAGCACCACAGATATAATTTGGATCTAATTGAGCTACTTGGAAAAGGAGAAACGTTACTCCGTTTTTCGTTGGGCAGAAAGCCTGAGCATTGCAACCTTTTCCACAAGTGTGTCCTCCCAGTGCACTGTCTTGTGCTCTGACCCGAATCTGAGAGATGGTCCAGCCCAGTGCTCAGGACCAACGAGCACCCACTTCCAGGCCCGCCCGAGAGGTTCAGTGGCGGGGTAAGGCAAAAACAGGGACACATATGTGCCCAGTGCCAGCAGAATTCTCTGCACTCATGAACCTGCTACTTGCAGAACACCCCTCCTGTCCAGTGCCCCCCACCTGAGGCCAAGTACTGTATTCATCCACCTGCTTTGCCCCAGGAAGGGGCAGTTGAGGCTGACTCAGAGCCCCTGGGGGCTCCTAGTGCAGAAGGAGGAGCAGTGGGATGAGGGTGGGCTGGTGGCCCAGCAGATCTCCCTAGGAGCCCCTGTCGCCTGACCTTCCCCGCAGGCACTGGCCTGGCAGTTGGTGCACGAGCACATCCCGCTGAGCCTGGACTTGCAGGCTGGCCTGGACTGCTGCTGCCTGGCCCTGCAGCTGCCTGGCCTATGGAGTTTGGTCTCCTCTCCGGACATGGTCACCCACGCCTGTTCCCTCATCCACTGCGTCCGCTGCCTCCTGGAAGCCAGTGAGTCCTCGCCAGATGGGCCTCTCTCCCTCATCCTGGCGTCTGCACTAGAATTCGACTTGAGCTTGCTTGTGTGCACATTTTTTCTAGATTATACTGTTCCAAGCGGTAGTACAGCAGGGAAGGCGCTTGCTTATATGCAGCCAGCCCAGGTTCAGTTCCCACCACCCCCTAAGGCCCCTGAGCCCCACCTGGAGTGAACCCTGAGCCAGGAGTAAGCCAAAGGGGAAAAACCAAAGGGGAAACCAAAGGGGAAAAAAGTATTTCTAGCTTGAAGTCCCTCTGGCTTAAGTATCAAATATCAGTATCAGTCCTCATTCTAGTGACTGATACTTGTTTCAGCCCTGAGTGACGGTGACCGAGTCCAGTTCTATTCACTGCCTTCTGCAGTGTCCGAGGGCTGCTGTCTGTCTTGCACTGTGATACTAACACTGTCAAGTGACTTCTGGGGACAATGTCCTCAACAAGAGGCACGAGCCATGGGATTTAAATTGCACATTATAGATCACATGTTCAAGAGTGTTTTGAAGTTTTTTGTTTCTGAATTAAACATTATAGGGTGATGGTTAAAGTTTCATTGTTTAAATTGTTTGCATCTGTGCATTTGTGGCAACTTGAAAACCGAGACTCAAGTGATTTTTCAGAGTCCTCCTTCTGGTGGGTGGGGGTGTTTTTAGCTGCAGTGCATCACCAGGCGTCCAGGAGAGGTCCTGGGGCTGAGTTGGCCCACGGCAAGCGGCAGATGCAGAGTCCGGCTTCTCAAGGCAGGCGGGCCAAGCTCGGGCCCCTCCTCGGGCCCTGTCCAGAAGCAGCGCTCCGGGAATCTAGACCCAGGGTGCCACTTGAGAGGAACGGTGGCGGGCTTGGAAAGCTCTTTGTTCTGTCTGTGCCCTAGTTGTGGTTCAGCCTGGAGATCAGCTGCTGAGTCCCGAGAGGACTGACATTCCACAGACTGCCAGAAACGAAGTCGGTTCAAATGCGCAGAGTAAGTCTCAGCCCCCGGTGGTCCTTGCCTCGCTTGGGTTGTGCTTTGTTCCAGAGAGTCTGAGCATGGCGAATGTGGACCCAAGAGCCAAGGTCACGGACGCTGCGTGAGGCTCGGCCCTGGGGGGTTTGGCATGGTCTGAGCCCCACTCGCGCCATGTGTGGCTTCTTGGCACGCACAGCCCTGCTCTGCTGACTTGTACCCAGTGGGCTTCTTCCTGGGGGCCGCTGTCCTGCTGTCCACCATCACAGGTGCCCGGGGGCGTCCTCGGGTCCTTGCTCTTGGGCCCCTGTGCCGCGCAGTGTGAGAGAGAGGGGCTGTGTGCAGATGCAGCCAGCTTGCCCGGCCAGAGTTTCAAGGAGAAATCCCTGCTCTTTCGACCGAAGGGGACACCCGGGCTGAGTGCAGGCTTCTGCAGGAGGCTGGGTGGTTCCCTGGCTTCCCTGGCACTGCCTGGTCTCCCAAGAATGGCTGGGTACCATCCCCGAGCAGACCTCTCAGAGTCAGTGAGCACTTGTGTAACCCCAAACATAAAACACAAACTAGTCATCTCTGGCATTGCCCAAATAAAAGAGGAAATGAAAATCCCTTCAGCCACCCATTTGAACCCGCTCAACACGGAACACAAGTGAGTCTTCAGCGCTTGCTTCTCGCTCGGCTCCTTTACAAAACATCTAGCCATGGATTCCATGGGTGCCTGGGGGTCAGGTTCCGGCACCCCACTCCTTACTGAGGATGGGTCTGGCGGAGGCCCAGCTGGACATCCTCAGCTGTCTGGAGGGCACTGACTGGCTCGTATGTGTCCAGCACTGAGAAGCACTGCCGCTTCAGAGCACGGACCTGTGGGCCTGGGTCTTCATGCTGCTCGGCGGGTCCTGCTGCACACCGCGTCTGCTGCTTTTCTCTCCCAACTCAGTGCTGCGGAGCTGCCCAGAGGCAGCCAGTCTTGCAATAGCCCAGCCCCTTCCGGGGGACCCCATGTCCATGGCCTCATGGTTTCAGGATTCTGATTGCTTCCTGAGCCCTGCTCCCCGCTCTCTGCCTCTCGGTTTCAAACTGAGAGGGTGGTCAGAGGAGCTTCATCTGCTGCTCACCCCTAACAGCAGGCACCAGGCGTGCTCAGAGGTGCAGCCACTTAGTCACAGGTCACTTTCTTTGCCTGGTCAAGTCGGGCCTCACACAGAGAGCGGGGCCCCTGCCTATAGGTATATGGCTTATAACTCAGCTCACTCTAGATGCTTCAACTTGTCCTGGCCAGAGCAGAAGCTGGGTTTTGGTTTTTGGTTTTTTTAACAATGACTTCACTAGGATGACAAGCTTTGCAAGATTGTCCCGTAAATGTCATTAAAATGGACAGATTCTCTTGGCATGGGGCTTGATTCCTTAAATTGGGTCAGAAATCCTGGGGCCCGAGAGATACTGTTGCAGGTAAGGCGCTTGCCTTGCACACAGCTAATATGGTCTGTCCCTGGCACCCCATACAGGGTCCCCCAAGCCCCTCCAGGAGTGATCCCTGAGCAGAGAGCAGAAGTGAGCCCTGCACACCACCAGGGGTGACTCGATAAACATACTCACAGATGCCAAAGTCCTGTTAGGAGCTGCCTGGTTTTGAGTCTCACAGGCCATGGATAAAGTCCTTGCATGACCCTAAACATTGCCCCTTCGATCAGCGCTGCCTGGCACCCACGCCCACCACCACCACAGTGACAGGATGCAGCTTGTATGCTAGACCTGCTCTGCAGGGCCCTCTCAAAGCCCCAGCCTCGGGAACTCACAGGGTTCTCCCTGCACCGCTGCCACCACACGGCAGGAATGGTGTGCCAGGGCACGGGCAGCCAGAGTGGTGGGGGCAGAGGGTGCCGGGTTACTCAGGCCACACTTGACTATGCTGTTTGCCTAGCCCCTGAGTACGTGGCCACGGCCTGTGTGATGGTGGCAGAAATGGTGGAGTCCCTGCCGTCGGTGCTAGCCCTGGGCCATCAGAGGAGCAGTGGTGTGCCGGCCTTCCTCACACCCGTGCTCAGGAACATCGTGGTCAGCCTGGCGCGCTTGCCCCTCGTCAACAGCTACACACGTGTGCCCCCACTGGTGAGAAGACAGAACCTGAGGCTTCCCTGGGCCGGGGCCCCGGGAGGTTCCGGGTTTGGAGTCGGTAGCTGCCTCCTGCTGGTGGCCAGAGTGCCGGTGTGTGGCCTCGAGCTCCGAAACAGGCTCCTGTCCCATGAGGTGCCCGCGTGTAGCTTTGGGGCCCAGGTGGTTGCTCAAAGGCAGGGTAGGGCAGGGGCCCTCCCGTGGGCATTTTCCCTGGCTTGTGTACAGGCCTGCCTTGGCAGGTCCGCTCCCTGGAGGAGAGATTTGGGCACAGGCGGCGCCACTCCCTGCCCACGGCGGGGTGAGGAGGGCCACTGGGGTCACCTCGGGCACCGGCTTACTCAGCCCCGGGAGCTCACAGCCTTTCTGTCATGCCCTCAGGTGTGGAAGCTCGGCTGGTCACCGAGACCAGGCGGGGACTTTGGCACAGTGTACCCTGAGATCCCTGTGGAATTCCTGCAGGAGAAGGAAGTCCTCAAGGGCTTCATCTACCGCATCAACACACTAGGTAGCCTCCCCCTCCTGCCTGGGCCACCCAGCCCTGCCCCTTCCCAGGTTGAGCCTCTGCACCAGCTGAAGGCAGTCTCGCGGCCACGTCCAGCACTGCCTGTCTAAGGGCTGCAGGGCCACTGTCATGGTCCAGCGCCCTATCTGGAGAGTGGACCCTCTCTCACCAGGCGTTGGCTTTCCTAGGGTGGACCAGCCGGACACAGTTCGAGGAGACGTGGGCCACCCTTCTTGGAGTGCTGGTGACGCAGCCACTCGTGCTGGAGCAGGAGGAAAGCCCACCGGAAGTAAGACATGGGTGCTGGAACTGAGACTCCCCATGCTGAGTCGGCCAGGGCCCCTCCTCATTCCCAGCCTGGCCCTTCTCAGCACCCCGGATGAGAAACTCAGGTCTAGCCCCGACTTGGTGACCCACTGCCCCACTGCAAAAAACTTCACTTGGTGCCCCTAGAAAACTTAGCTTCTTTAAGAACCAAGTGTTCCCCAACATCTCTGAGGCTGCTACTCCTGGATTGTTCCGGCACCCCCCCCCCCAAAAAAAAGGAGTGCTCACCCACTTGGAAAACTGGTATAGCCTATGCTGTCAAGCACAAGATTTGTAGTTTTTCTACTTGTGACCCAGTGTAGCCCAAGAAACTTTTATGCATCGAAGTGGGTGTACAAGGCTGGAGAGGGTTTGGTGGACTGGCCCATCTCGCATGCAGGAGACCCACGTTCAGTCCCCAGCACTGGAGGGTCTCTTTGCAGTGCCAGGAGCGACCCCTGAGCCCAAAGCAGGAAGTAGCCCATGAGCATCACCAGGTGCAAAGTGGGGGGAAAAAAACCTTTATCAATTTGGGGGCCCAGGAGATGACTCTGTGGCCTGGCACCACATGATTCCATGAGCACTACCAGGAATGACCCCTAAGGCCCCTAGCCAGGAGTAGGTCCTGAGAACCACCTGGTGTGTCCCAGAATATAATGAAAATAAAGTATATACACATCACATATTTATAGAAAATAAGTCAGATATTTTGAAATAAATTTTTTATGACACCTTCCAGGGTCAGAATAGTTTAAGAAATGAGGTTCTAGGGCTAAAGTGGTAGTTCAATAGGTAGGGCATTTGCCTTCCGTGCAGCCAACCTGGGCTTGAAACCTGGTCCTCCGAGGCCACCAGGAGTGATCCCTGAGTACAGAGCCAGGAGAAAGCCCTGATCACAGCTGTGTGTGACTCAGCACACGCAAAGAGAACAGCAGGTAGGGCTCTTGTCTTGCATGTGGACCATATGGGTTCCCCAAGCACTGCCAGGAGTGAGTCCTGAGCACAGCCATGTGTGGTCCAAAAACCAGTAAAGAACAAACTGTCCTCGAGCAGCGACTGGCATGTGTTCGCCAGAGCACCTGATCCAGAAGGCAAGCAGGACTCCTGGGAAGAGAGCCTTGAGCTCTGTGCTGAGCAAGCTCGCTGCAGTCCGGCATCCATGCCTCCGGACTCTTACAGGAATGTGACGTACTGGGAGGTCTCTGAGCATGCCTCAGAGTGAGCACAGCTCGAGGGACACAGTCCTGCATCCTGCCTTAGTTTGGGCAGCGCAGAGTTTGCGGGCAGCCTGGCCCATGTGGCCCTTCCTCAGGTGGGCGAGTGCGGGGGGGCTGCCAGGAGAGGGTGTGCTTACTGCCCTCCCTGCAGGCACTTCTGTGTGCCGGTGCTGCTTGTGACCTGGTATTGTTTGGGCTCGTGCAGGAGGACACAGAGAGGACCCAGATCAATGTCCTGGCTGTGCAGGCCATCAGCTCCCTGGTGCTGAGCGCCATGACTGTACCCGTGGCCGGCAACCCTGCCATGAGCTGCTTGGAGCAGCAGCCGCGGAGCAAGCCCCTCAAAGCCCTGGACACCAGGTTTGCTGTGGCCCGGCAGGGGAAGGGGACAAGCCCGAGGCACCCAGTGGGTAGGCTGGCAACCAGAGGGCTCTTCCTGGCCCAGGGAGACCCCCAGTCACCCATGCCCCCAAGCCAAGCAGGAAGTTCCCAGAGGTCAACCTCCTTTGAGGGAAACAGAGTATTCTTGAACCTTTGTTCTGGGTTTCAGGTTTGGGAGAAAGCTGAGCATCATCCGAGGAATCATAGAGCAAGAAATTCAGGCAATGGTTTCAAAGAGAGAGAACATCGCCACCCATCACCTGTACCAGACGTGGGATCCTGTACCTTCCCTGTCTGCAGCCACTACAGGTGCCTCTGCAGAGCGGCCCTCGCCGGACCCAGACCACAGTGCTGAGCCCATCTTTCCCATGACAGCACTGGCAGTCTGAGAGCCAGGCCCCCAGTGTGACCTCTGCCCTGGCCGCCCACTGTGTTGCCAGTTGCCCTGTTCCTTCCCGTGTGCAAGTCAGCACCCAGCCCAGCACAGGCCTGGGTCCAGAGGTTAAAGCACTGGCCTTACATGCTGCTGACTCCAGTTTGATGCACCAAATGATGTCAGAAATGACCCAGAGCACAGAGTCAGGAGTAAGCTCTGAGCGTTGCTGGGATGGCCCCAAGACAAAACCAAAGCGGGGGGAGTTCTATTGCACTTAGTGTTTATTGATTAAGTTGTTTTAGACCAGAACGTTTGGGGTTGGTAGGTTTTGAGGAGTCATCAGCCCCCATAGGATAGACATCTAGATGGTTCTCCATGGAAGTGCTCCTGTGTTTGCACACATTCTGGGTTCTGCAGAGGGCAGTGAGGAGAAGCTCTGAGGGATGATGTTTGGCACCAGCCACCGACACTGGCACTGCCGCCCCTTACAGGTGCCCTCATCAGCCACGACAAGCTGCTGCTGCAGACCAATCCTGAGCGGGAGCTGGGCGACATGAGCTACCAGCTGGGCCAGGTGAGTCGTGCAGGGAGCAAGAGCTGTGTGTCGGGAAGGAGCTGCCTGACTCCCTGACACAGCGCCACCCTTTAGCTTCTGCTCCTCCACTGTTTCACTGGAGACAAAGCCATGCATTGGCCCCTCAGGGTTCTGTGGCTTTCACAGTCAGACCCGCACTGCATGTTCCGCTCTATTCCTCCTCCCCACACAGTGGCCTCTGTAGGCACATGACACCCCATTCTTTTGCCCTCTGTGGAGAACTGACCATCTCGTGTCAGCCTGGGTGGCCCTGGGATTTGCCAAGGCTAGGAGGCCGGAGGTAAGAAGCCGGCGGGCCGCTCCTCTGCACTGGGAGTGCCGGCTGGCCGCCACCCCCACCCCCGCCAAGGTCACATTGAGGGTTCCTAGGGGGCTGCCACTGCATCTGGGAGGCACGTGGGCTAAGGACTCAGCACCTCTGTGGGGAGGTGCCTCTCACAGGACATGTCCCTACTTGTCCCTATGAGGGGTGGTGCCACAGTGGCTCTAGTTCCTCCCCATGCTCCAGAGCACTCACGCCACCCCGTCTGCTTTGGGGACACTTGCTTAGATAATTACAGAAAGGGGATTCACCCCGAGTCCAGTTTTGAACAGGAATCTGTTCTGGATCATTGCCAGAAGGCCCTGCTCGGGGGCTGCTGTGTGTCTGGGCCGGGCCGCACAGGCTGACTGTGTCTTGTCTCCAAGGTGTCCATCCATTCCATGTGGCTGGGGAACAACATCACGCCCCTGCGAGCGGAGGAGTGGGGTGACGACGAGGAGGAGGAGGCAGACACGCCCGCACCAGTCTCGCCGCCCACATCCCCAGTGAATTCCAGGTTCCACCGCCTTCTCTCCCCGCATCCACCCTGCTCCGCTCTTGCTTGTCTGGGTCCTCTTGAAGTGACCCTCTTAGGGGTTCCCCTCTCACCCCCTGCAGGAAGCACCGGGCTGGAGTGGATATCCACTCCTGTTCACAGTTCCTGCTGGAGTTGTACAGTCGCTGGATCCTGCCCTCCAGTTCAGCCAGAAAGACGCCTGTCATCCTCATCAGCGAAGTGGTGCGATCCGTAAGTGCCCTTTCTTCTGGGGGTCCTGGTCGCCACTGTGTGCCCGTGGGTTGGCACACTCACAAAGGCACGCGGGCACGTAGCGACAGGGCTCAGTTAGAAGGGAGCTGTTGATGTGGGTTCTCCTTTCTCTGGCCCAGGTAGGCATGACTGTCCCTGCCCTTGGAGTAGGCACAGCACTCCCCACAGGCGGAGCAGGCAGCCCTGAGCGGGCACCTGCATGACTGAGAACACAGGGCCCCATGGGCCCTGTCTCTGGACTTTCTCCTGGCCACGTTGACAGCACAAGAGAAACCAGAGCAGCTTTGGGCTCTGCGCCTCTGCTCTCCGGCAAGCGACTTCGCCTCAGGCTGCTTCTCTCTTCCCCATGGTGCTGCTTTCTGGCTTCCACTGGTATTTCTCAGAGCACTGGGAGGTTTGTCAGTGTTTCATGTCAGGACCGCTGGAGATTGGGGTTACCTTTCTTTTACTTTTGTTTGGGAGTCACCCCCAGTGATACTCAGGGATCAGGCCTGTCACTCCTGGCAAGACTGGGGGACCATATGGGGTGCTGGGGATTGAACCCAGTCAGTCGCGTGTGAAGCAAGTGCCCTACCTGCTGTCCTAGTCTCCAGCCCTGGCATTTTAAATGCCAAGTCGCCACCTTCAAAGTGAACGGGTCACAGGCCTTGTTAATAAACTGAGGCCATATTTAACTAGGTTGCTGCTTTGTCTATTGGATAAGGGCGGTTGGCTGGAGACAGTACAGGGGGAGGAAGCTTTCACAGAGGCCCAGGTTCGATCCCCCCGGTCCCCACCAGGAGTAATCCCTGAGCATAGCCCAGCGTGGTCAAAAGGAAAGAGTGATGACAGGCTTGGTGTGTGGGTCTGTTGCCAGCCTCACTCAATAAAATAGTATAGTGATAACAATTTAGAAAATAACTCCTCGGAAACTTTTGTTTGGGGGCAGAGTGCCTCCCAAGCAGTGCTCATGCCCGGCTCCAGTGTGGGTGTGCAGTGCAAGGGGGTGCCCGGACAGTGAAGTAGGAGAGCTCAGGCCTCACACTCTGTGGCCACGGAATGTAAATGGCGCCCCAAGCTGGCTCTGTTGGCTCCACCACCTGCCACAGGAGCAGCATATCGGGGTCCTTATAAAACTCTGTTTTCTGGTGGGGGTTTCCCGAGCAGTGCTCTGGAGGCCACTACCTTCTGGGCCCACGTAGATGGGGAGGACGGCAGCCCCCTACTACCCCCCAAGCTGGGGCCTCTCCCTGGTGGGAAAGAAGCTGTCTGGGAGGGAGGTGCAGGGAGCCCCTGGCGAAGTGTTGATTTCTGAGACAACAATAGCTTAAGTCTCCAGCGTCTGTCCCCGGGCTTCTGTGCACCCCACCCCTTCGCTACAGGGAGGCTGCCTTGAACAATAGCAGATGCGAGCAGGGGACTATAGCGGAGATCCCACACAGGCGGCACCCTGACCCCCTCTGGGTGCCTCTGGGTGGGGATTCTTGGCGAGAGGGTGGGGCCTATTTTCTTCACTGCCTCCCTGGACCGAGTCAGAGTGGCCTAGAGGGGTGCAGCACATGCCTTCTATGCTCCAGGCACCCCAGAAAGGAGAAACAACCTCTTGGTGGTCCTGATGGCGTGACGCCCCTCCCTGTCCTGATGTATTCCCAGCTCCTTGTGGTGTCGGACTTGTTCACGGAGCGCAGCCAGTTTGAGATGATGTATGTGACCCTGATGGAACTGCGGAGAGCACACCCCGCTGAGGATGAGATCCTGCTTCAATACCTGGTGCCCGCCACCTGCAAGGCGGCTGCTGTCCTTGGCATGGTGAGCGGTACCCCACCTGTCCAGCCGGCCCTGACTTCCCCTCTGCTCTGACTGCGGCAGACTGTCCCCAAGCCACAGCCTAGAACAGGTCCCTCGCCACTCTCCTGGATGGCCTTGAGCCCTGTGCTACCATCCACAGGACCTTGAGGTCACACCATCTGGGAGCCATCGCCACAGAAGGGGCTTTTCTTCTCATTGTCCTTCAGCATTGCCTCGGCCGCATCCTCCAGCTGTCAAGGGAGCCTGTTTGAAGGCCCAAGCAGGCTGTGTCATGCAGGGCCAGCCCCGGGGTCCTGTCTACACCGGCCCCTTGCAGAGTCCCTCCTCTTTCCTAAATTCAGCGCACCCCTCCTTGGGCAGGAGTCATCGCCATGTGCACATAGGCACTGCTGGGGAGGGGCACAGAGCCCTGGGCCAGTCTGCAACATATGTACATGTCGCATCTCTGCTCACAGATACACAGGGCCGGAGCTATAGGACAGCAGGGAGAGTGTTTAACTTGAACGCGACCGACCTAGGTTCGATCCCTGGAACCCATAGGGTCTCCTGAGCACCGCCAGGAGTGATTCCTGGGCACAGAACCAGGAAAAGCCCTGAGCATCACTGGGTGCCCCCCTCCCCCAAAAAACAACAACAAAAGCAGGTGCCTATACATGCGCACATACAGTCACATAATTACACACGCAGACACGCAGGCGTGCACACGCACACAGGTATGGGCACACGCAGACGAGCACGTGTGTGCACATACAGACCCACAAACACCAGCATGCATGAACACACAGACACAGGCGTGCATACACACCCCGAGTGAGCCTCCACGAGCAGCTCTTCCAGGGACAGACCCCACATGGGTTCTTCTAGCCCCGTCTCAGGTCCAGGAGGAGGAGACTCGGGGTGTGACTCTCAGGCTTCTGCTGGGAGGTAGCTCCCAGGGCACAGGCTCAGCCAGCCCACACGCCTGCCAGGCCCCAATAGGCATGTGAGGCGGTGCAGACAGCTGTGGTGGTGTTGGTGTTGGTGTGTGTGTGTGTGCGCGCGCATGCAATAAGCCCCACCCGTGCATGCGCCCCAGGACAAGGCTGTGGCCGAGCCTGTGAGCCGGCTGCTGGAGAGCGCGCTGCGGAGCAGCCACCTGCCCAGCAAGATTGGGGCCCTGCATGGCGTCCTCTACGTGCTGGAGTGTGACCTGCTGGACGACACTGCCAAGCAGCTCATCCCGGTTGTCAGCGACTACGTTCTCTCCAATCTCAAGGCCGTGGCCCAGTAAGTGGCCCCGGGTGCGGGGCTGGAGCAGGGGTGGGCATGGGCTGGCTCACCACTGCGGGCGCCTCAGCCACACTGTGTCCTTGGCCTCCAGCTGCGTGAACGTCCACAGCCAGCAGCACGTGCTGGTGACCTGTGCCACCGCCTTCTACCTGATCGAGAACTACCCTCTGGATGTGGGGCCCGAGTTCTCAGCATCCATCATACAGGTGAGTGCCAGGGCCCTCTTGCCGCGGGCCTGCTGGTCAGGGCTGTGCCACCATGGGCCCTCTCCTCCCGTCCAGATGTGTGGGGTGATGCTGTCGGCCAGTGAGGAGGCCACCCCGTCCATCGTCTACCACTGCGTGCTGCGGGGCCTGGAGCGCCTCCTGCTGTCCGAGCAGCTCTCCCGGCTGGACTCTGAGTCCCTGGTGAAGCTGAGCGTGGACAGAATCAACGTGCACAGCCCACACCGCGCCCTGGCGGCCCTGGGCCTGATGCTCACCTGCATGTACACAGGTGAGCGCAGCTGGGGCTGGCCAGGGTGCCCCAGGCCTCCCGTCACTCCCAGGGCATTCTAGAGCCCGCAGCAGGGTGACAGGGCATCACTGCCCCGTCCGGGCTGGGGACAGTCATTTAGCAGTGCTGACACTGTGTTCCAGGAAAGGAGAAGATAAGCCCCGGCAGGGCCCCTGAGCCCAGCCCAGCTTCCCCGGACAGCGAGTCAGTGATCGTGGCCATGGAGCGTGTTTCCGTGCTCTTCGACAGGTAGGAGACAGGCGCTCCTGCCACGACGGCAAGTTGCCCAAGACCTTTGGGGGTGCGGGACTCACATGAACGCCGTACCCTCCACTCTGAGGGGCTCCATGCAGGCCTCTGTCTCTGTGGGCCCTTTCCTGTGGCCCTCCCTGCTCCGTGCCGTGGGTCATGTACAAAGCCAGGACCTCGCCACCAGAGATGGGCGGTAGCTGGCAGAGGCCTGCAGACAGACTAGGTACTCAAGGGGGGGAGGTGCAGGCAGGGGCTTAGGCCCCTGAAATGCTGCTTGACAGGCAGCAGCAGCGTCCGGGCAGGTCGAATGGGACTGTCGCCATGGGGCAGGACCAGGGCCGGCAGGGCGAAGCCAGGAGCTGAGCACAGGGACAGGCTCAGCCTCCTGGGCCCAGCCGCAGGTTCAGCGTTGTCCTGCCGCTCTGTCCGCCCCTGACAGTGTTGTCTCCACAGGATCCGGAAGGGCTTTCCCTGTGAGGCCCGTGTGGCAGCGCGGATCCTGCCCCAGTTTCTCGACGACTTCTTCCCACCCCAGGACGTGATGAATAAAGTCATCGGGGAGTTTCTGTCCAACCAGCAGCCGTACCCACAGTTCATGGCCACTGTTGTGTACAAGGTGCGGCTGCAGCTCCTCCCCTCCCGGGGTAACCCACTCTTTCCAACACCCCACTGAGGCTGCCTCCGCCCCCTCTCAGGTCTTCCAGACGCTGCACAACACAGGCCAGTCATCCATGGTGCGGGACTGGGTCATGCTGTCGCTGTCCAATTTCACGCAGAGGACCCCAGTGGCCATGGCTGTGTGGAGTCTCTCCTGCTTCTTCATCAGCGCCTCGACCAGCCCGTGGGTGTCAGCCATGTATCCTTCCTGCCACCGCCTTCCCTGGGCCTGTCCCCACGGGCCAGGCTTTGCTCCTGTGCAGGCCGAAGCCCTCAGAGCGAAGAGCAGGGTCACAGGTTTCGGGAGTGGGCGCTGGAGGGGCAGCTCCCAAGGCTGCCTGCCCCTGAGCTCCAGCACAGCTGCTTTGCATTATCCTTTGTCCTGCCCGCCTCTTGCTGAGGATCCAGTTCCCACCCCCTGAGGCGGGCTGCCAAGAGGGGTGCATCCCCTAGACAGACCACAGAGCCTCCAGGCCAACGTCTGTCCTGGCACCAGGCCCGCCTTGCCCAGCGAGTCTGGGTGGGTGGGACTGAGGGAGGACCATGGTTCTGCCCTCAGTCGGCGGGAGCAGGGCCAGCAGGACGGCAGCTGTCAGCGCCGTGCGCCAGGGAGCCAGGCCAGGTAAGTGCCGCCCACAGGAGCCCAGCAGCGCCCCGTGTACACCAGGGGGACGAGCGACCCTGGGGGCAGCACGAGGCCGCAGCCGCCGGCAGATGAGACGGGTGGCGAGCAGTCCGGAGAGCCTGCATGGGCAGGACATTTCCCGCAGGTGCCGCCTTAACTCGCCCCCAGCCTCCCGCATGTGGTCAGCAGGATGGGCAAGCTGGAGCAAGTGGACATTAACCTCTTCTGCCTGGTGGCCACGGACTTCTACAGGCAGCAGATAGAGGAGGAACTGGACCGCCGGGCCTTTCAGTCGGTGTTTGAGGTGGTGGCGGCACCCGGGAACCCGTACCAGCGCCTGCTCACGTGCTTGCGGAACCTGCACGAGGGCGCCGCGTGCTAAGCACCCACCGGGGCGCAGGACGAATCCGCCCGCCACCAGCCGGTGCACCCACCTCGGCACCTGGGGCCACAGCGCCGGGGCGGATGAGCAGCAAGTCTTCCCCTTCCTGCTAGAGCTCATGTCCCGCCAGGCGCCCCTAACCTGCGTCTGGGACGCAGCACCCCACGCTTGGGGGGAGCCAGCAGCCCCCCTGTCCGCCTGGCCCAGAGAGCACTGCCTGTAGCTCCCCGAGAGGCTCCGGAAGCCAGGGGGCGGGGCGGGGCGGGCACTCGGGTGGGTTGCTGCCCGTGCGCCAAGGGATGCGGAGCCGGGTGGCTGAAACCAGATGCCCAGCCTCCTGCTTCCCTTTCTCTGTTCTCTTCTCAGGATTTAAACTTTAATGATATCAGTAAAGAGATTAATTTTAAGGTACCTCTCGACGCCGTCTAAGTGTGTGTCGCGAGGCCTGTGTTGCATGCGACAGTGCCATTCCCCTCTGCAGGGCTCACCGTGGTACTCTGGAGCTTGTCCAGAGGGCTCCTTTTTTATGTGCTCACATCCACTAGGCTGAGAGGGCACTCGGGTCCCCTCTCTGGGCCCCACGGAGCTAGTGCAGCTCAGCTGAGGTTCGCAGGGACACAGGCCTGGTGCTGCCAGTGTGCTGGGGTCCTGCCCTCCTTGCCTGCTCTCTGCTACAGCCCTCCTGATCAGGAGCGGGGCTTGGTGTTTGGGCTCTGTTGGAGAACTTTCCAGTCTCACGGCCCCCTGGGCCTTCATTGACTGCGGAGCCTCCTCCCTGTGTGAGTCGGGGGAGGGGCTCCCCATGTGAGCCGCTGGGCTCAGATGCCAAGTGCAGGGCCCCCTGCAGGCCACCTGGCCAGCTTTACTGCCTACTGACTGCTGCGAGCCGCTGGTGGGTGGGTGGGTGGGTGCTATCTCGAGTGCGGCCTGCAGAGGGCGCTGAGGTGTCAGCTACCCTTGTGGCTTCACGCCTGAACCGGCACTGGCCTTTCTGGCCTTTTCAATCATGGGGGGTGGGGGTTGGTCCACCTGCTCCCCTAGAGGGCCAGCCGTTTGTGCAGAGCAGCCTGCCCAAGCCTTTCTGCCCCTCACCAGCCCTCTGCAAGGGGTGCTGTAGCCAAGTCCCCCGGGGCTCCCCGCTGTAACCCATGCGGTTCCTCTGCCCCCTAGCGGTCTGCAGAGGGAGGGAGCCACCGAGGCCCGAGCCCCCGGGCCATGCCAAGTCAGCGGGCTGTGAACCGGCGTGCAGCCTCCCGAGCCCTGTTGCCGTTTGCCCCACTGTCGCCCACAAGCATGCTCCCCTGCAGGAAGGACGAAGTGCAGTCACCTCCAGAGAAAACGCGACACCCCAAAGCCCTCTGAGCCCTCATGGCGGGGGCATGTGCTGGACAGCATGGAATCTGTTTCCTTGTACATGGTGCCGCTGTGGGCCTGTGCCAGGATGGGACTGGGGGCAGCCGATGGCAGGACTGCCATCTTTGGGACTTACCCAGGGCGGGAACCGCAAAAGGTAGGTCCCTGCAGGGGCCTGGGAGGACCGGGGCCTTTTGCGCTGTCAGTCACTTGAATGCAGGGGAGCTGGCGTGCTGTCACACAGGGCACGAGGGTCTGGGCTCTGGCTTCCGCTGCACCCAGGACTGGGCAGCCGGGCTGTGATGGGCACTCCCGGAGCCCCATGGGGAGTGGGGACCGTGACTGTGGTCCCACCCACAGGCTGCTGCCAACATTGTACAACTGAATTAAAGGCAAAACCAACGTGCTGCGTGTGAGACTTGCTTTGGCGCCGGGGCATGTGGCTGCGTCACCGGGCTCTGCCTTCGTGTCCGCGTGCACCTGGGAAGAGGGGTCCACAGGGGCAGGGGTGCTCCCAGGGGGTGCACGCGACCGGCCAGCATCTTCCCCATTGCTGCTGTCTAGCCTCCGACCCACGCAGTGGGGTGCAACAGCGCCCTGCCTTCCTGGCCAGACACAAGCGCTGCCCAGCAAAGGGGCATCACCCCTCGCTCTGGGGGCTCCTTAGAGCTCAGTGCTCAGTGCTGTGGTAGCCATGGGTGCTGCTTTCCACACCTCAGACACCTGGCCGTGACCCCTCTCTCACTGGCCACCCGCCCTTCCCAGCGAGGCGGGGTCAGGGTCACCCGTGGACGGTGCTCCCGGCCAGTGCTGGTGCTCCCCATGGTGCCTTGCTTGAGGTTTACTCCACCTCTCCAAACTGGGTCCCGGGCAGCCAAGCCCCCCCCCATCCTAGTGGCAAGCCAAACCCTCAGCACAGCTGCCCTCCTCTGTGCCCATGCTTGTCCCCACCTGTCCCCTGCACCTCCAGTGTGCTCAGCACTAGTGCTCAGCAGAGGGTGGGGCCCCGTTTTCTCCGGAAGTTTGGCTTTCTCCAGGGCCCACCACCCACCCTCGCCCTTCACAGTCCCCGAGGCCTCCTGCCGTTTCCACCTTCCACCGGCACTGCACTCCCCATCCGTCAGGAGGCCCTGCCCCCAGGGCCAGGAAGGGTTGTGCAGGGCCTGATCCCAGCTGCAGGACCACCCCCAGGGCACTGGACTGCAGCGAAGGCCTGACTGCCTTCTCCCCGCAGGTGCCGCTCAAGCTGCCAACAGACCGAGCCCCCCGCCATGCAGCTGTGCCAAGGTACTAAGGAGCCCAGGCTGGGGGGCTGCTTCCCACCTCACTCCCCTGCTGCCCCCTCTGCCAACACCAAGTGGTCTCTCCCGGGCACCAGGCCAGGCACGGTGACCCCTGACCTCAAGGGAAAGGGGCTCCTACAGGGAGCGACAGCAGGGCCTGTCCCCAGGTTGCCCACTGCTGCCCTGGCACACACCTCTCCTCTCTCAAAGCCCAGACCACCCACTCGGGTCCCATGGAGGCTTTCGGCCTGCACTGGGATCCCCCTTTTCAGAGTTCACAGCCCTGGCAGACCCTGAGAGACCTAAGGTACAGTGACCCCCCCAGGCCCGCCACAGTCCAGACACCATGCTAGGGGGCAATTCCCTCGATTCAAAGGTTCTCCCTGCCCTGAACCCGCAGGTCTGCCGCGAAGCAAGGGACAGGCCTGGCTGCTGGTCTGTAGATGGAGTCCCCAGCCCACCCCAGCAGCCTTCTAGGCCAGTTAGGGTTGGGGCTCCCTGCGCCCAGCTGTGGCGATCCCTGAGGACAGCGCTCCCCTCTTGTCCCATGCATGATATCCCTACCCAGACCGCAGCCAGAGGGGTAAGCACCAGCCCAGCGTCTTGAGGGGAAGAGGCCGGGGACCCAACAGGGATGGCAGACTCGAAGGAGGGGCTTTAAGAACAAATAGGAGTTTGACAGTCTGAGGGATGTTAGGGTGGTTCCCAGAAAAGTGGGGGCTCCCTGAGCCTGGACCCCCTTTGTCAGCGTGAAGGAGACCCCACCTGATCCGCCCACTGCTGCCCAGCTGCCCAGCACGCCCACCTCAGCAGGGCAGGGCAGTGACAGGCCAGGCCGTGCTGGGGTCACACGGGCAAGTGACAGGACAGGACGTCCTCTGGGGCCTTGGGGGGATCCGCTCGGTGCCTCCCCGGCTCATCTGCCGCACCCCATCCAGGTGTTCTCTGTGCTCTGCCTTCTGGCCTGCTGCTGCTCTGTCCTTTCCTCTGTCCATCCATTCTGCCTGCCCCATGTCCTGTTGTTGCTCTTTCCTGCCTGGCCTCCGTCCCTCTGCCAGTTTCCTTTCTGTCCTCTGCCTCTTCTCTGACCAGGGCCTCACATCCTCCCTCCCTCTGTCCTGCTTCTGGCTTCAGCCCAGCTGCCCCCTACGTCCACGCCACTGGGCTCTCCCGGGGCACTGCGGGGAGGCTGGCCCGGAGGCCCCTGGTCTCCGGATGAGTGGGGCGTGGCCTGGCCTGGCCCTGGGCGGGAGTATTGATGGCCCGTCAGGGCAGCCTGATTCCTGTGCTTTCAGTTAAAAGGTTTCTGTTGTTGGAGCTTATGCAGTTGCTCTGTTGCTATGGAAACATGACATCAAAATGACGTTTCCCGTTTAAAAGCTTTTAACTAAATTCCTGCCTGTCAGATGTAGGCCCCATTTTGAGCGCCGAGCTGTCTTCCAGGAGCGGCTCGCCCCTAGCGGGGGCCAGGCACACCCCCTAAGCACTTGTACCCCACAGGTGCCTCCGGTATGGCTGCGGCCGAGGTGCCCGGCTACCTGGTGTCTCCCCAGGCGGAGAAGCACCGGCGGGCGCGCAACTGGACGGATGCAGAGATGCGCGGCCTCATGCTGGTCTGGGAGGAGTTCTTCGAGGAGCTGAAGCAGACCAAGCGCAACGCACGCGTCTACGAGAAGATGGCCAGCAAGCTGCTGGAGATGACGGGTGAGCGGCGGCTGGGAGAGGAGATCAAGATCAAGATCACCAACATGACCTTCCAGTACAGGTGGGTCCACCGCGCACTGGGACTGAGCCGGGTCACACACCCAAGCCTGCCTGGGGTCCCAGCCTGCTACTGCATCCGCCTCAGCAGCATCCCTGGTGGCCCCAGCCTGGCTGCTGGGTCAAACCCAACTGGGACTCTTAAGGGAAAGCTCCCGGGGTAGGAGCCAGCGTTGGCACTGCTGGACCACACTTCTGGCGCAGCAGGCCTGTCACAGTGCCAACAGGGTCACGGACGGGTCAAGGTCACTGGTAGGTCAAGGTCACCATACTGTCAGGGTCACAGGCAGGGACGGACCGAGTCGTGGGAGGAGCAAGCAGGAGCTAGGCCATGTGGGCGGCAGCTGCAAGGATGAAGTGACCTGGACAGCTGGGCAGGTTTGTCCCAGTGCCCCACTCCCTCGGGTCCCGGGCTGTGAGCAGGTCATCAAGAAGGCAGCAGAGGGGACGCAGGCCTCATGAACAGGCACTGGAGCCCGCCTTGTCGGCACCAAGTTGCCCAGTGCCCTGGAGGAGCAGCAGCCGTGTCTGTGCCACCAGGGTCATGGGCCATACCAGGAGCAGGCGCAGAGCCAGAATGTGGCTCGTGTCGGGTCTGGGGGCCCAGATACCAGGCGCCCGCCCGCCGCTACCTCCAGCTGCTGGCCGGCTCAGGATTCGTGGGCTAGGATCGGTGTCTGCTCGGCTATTTATTATTCATCTCAAGCGTCTCCAGGGCCCAGCGGAGAGCTCCTGTTGCACGCGAGGAGGCCCCTCAGCAGCAGGCTCCGTGCTGGGTGCTCCGGCCCCCGATTGGTGTCTTGGGACCACTCCTCAGGTTCCTGTGCTGGGGGAGGGGCTTCCACACATCCCACAGGCGTGCACTCCGAAAGGTCTGCGGGTCCTGCATGGCAGCACCCCAGGCTGAGGCAGCGCCCCGGGAGCCGTGGGGCCAAGGGCCAAGAGCCTCATCTTCGCACTCCCTCACCTCCCCGGGCTCTGCCAGGCCTGCCCGCAGAGAGAGTGTGCAGCTGCACTGAGTCGGGCCTGCTGCTCAGACCCAGGCCACATCGTAAGGGCACACGCTGCACTTGGCCCAGCACCTTCCTTAAATCCACCTGCATGGCAGCAGCTGCCTCTGAGCTCTCGGCTTTACCGATGTGAGGGCGGAAGGCTCAGAAAGGGTGACTAACAAAGGTCACACAGCAAAGTGGTGGCAACAGTGAGGCCTGCGATTCTCTGCTAAGGCAGGCCGAGATTCCACCTGAGCCAGGCCCAGCGTCGCCCCTCCGCTGGGTTCTCGGCTTCTCAGTCCTATGCCCCTGGGTCCTGGAGGTCTCTTGTTGGTCGGGGCAGTGCCTGCGGCGCCACACAGCACCAGGGCCCAGCCCCCCGTGGCAGTTTCTCTGGCACGTCTCATTTCAGGAAGTTAAAGTGCATGGCAGACAGCGAGTCCGTCCCGCCCGACTGGCCCTATTACCTCGCCATCGACAGGATCCTGGCCAAGGTGCCTGAGTCCTATGACGGTAAACTGGCTGACAGCCAGCAGCCCGGGCCCTCCACATCCCAGACCGAGGCCTCCCTGTCACCCTCCGCCAAATCCACCCCTGTGTACGTGCCATACAAGCAGTGCTCATACGAGGGCCGCTGCCAGGACGCCGGCTCCGACTCCTCCAGCTCACTCTCCCTCAAGTTCAGGTCTGCGGCGGCCCCCCATGCCACCCCGCTCCCTCCTGCCCCCTTCCCACTCCTCCATTCCTCCGTCCCCTTCATGCTCTGTCCTCTTTCCCTCCTTCCTCTCCCCTTCCGCCCTCCTTTCTTCCGTCCTCCTCCCTCCCCTTCCCCTTGACTTCCTCTTCCTTTCTTCCTCCCTTCCCTCTTCATCCTTCCTTCCTCCCTCCTCCCTGCTCCCTTTCCCCCTTCTCTCTTCCTTCTGGGCCCCCTCTGTCCCCCTTCCCCGCTCTTCCCTCCTTCCGCGCCCCACACCCCGCACCGCACAGCACAGCGCTGGCGGGGCATCTCGCGGTTCAGCGGGCGGCGTTCCCAGCGTGGCCACGATCCCCACGCGGTGCCCGTGCTTGCAGGTCGGATGAGCGGCTGCTGAAGAAGCGCAAGGCGCCAGGCTGCCCCCTGCAGAGGAAGAAGCTGCGGGTGCTGGAGGCCATGCTGGACGAGCAGCGCAAGCTCAGCCGTGCAGTGGAGGAGACGTGCCGTGAGGTGCGCCGCGTGCTGGATCAGCAGAACCTGCTGCAGGTGCAGAGCCTCCAGCTGCAGGAGCGCATGATGAGCCTGCTGGAGCGCATCATCGCCAAGTCCAGCGCGTGAGCGGCCTGGAGCACGACAGCACCAGGCCCAGTGCTCCCGAGCGTGTCAGCGCCTAGTCCAGTGCGTGAGTGGCCCAGAGCACGTCAGCGCCAGGCCCAGCGCCTCGGAGCACGTCAGCGCCAGGCCGAGCCCCCTGGAGCACATCAGCACCAGGCCGAGCCTCCCCAGAGCGCATCAGCACCAGGCCCAGTACTGTGGCCACCCTGGGCTAGACTAGGGGCTCTCGTAGTCCCACTCCCAACATCTGACCAGGCCCCAGACCTGTGCCAGGCCATTCCCCCATGAGAACATTCTAGAATCCACTCTCTGGTATAATCACTCTCCACGATACTTGAAGATGGCTTTTGATATTAAATGTGTAATTTTGCATCACTGCCTCGATCACAGTGCACTCACACTGGCTGGGAGCAGGCACCAGGTGCCAGTCCCCCACATGTGGGTCTGGTGCACTGGGGCAGGGGAAGCTTGGCAGCCAGGATGAAGTCACAGAGAGGACCCCATTGTTGTACTCACTTCTGCTGCAACTGTCACCTTGAAATCACCTGGCCCCTGAGCTGCGCTTGTGCTGGGGGCCGTGGGCTGAGTGCCGTGGATCGGGTGCAGTGGCTGTGTTCACTGACTGGATGCAGTGGGCTAGGTACAGTAGGCTGGGTGCAAAGGGCTGGGGCTGCTGGGTGCAGTGGCCAGTTTCCCGGGCTGGGTGTGACTGAAATCACACTCAGGTGGGCACTTGCCCTTTTCTGTGCCTAAGTGTTCCCACCCGGGCCAGCTCCCTGGACCCGAGAGGGGGCAGTGACATGCCCAGCTCCTGCACCATCTGCCACAGTGGAGAGCTTGGAAGTGTCTTGTCAGGGATTTGAGGAACTGGCATGGAGAGTTCCCATGTCAGATCCCAGAGCTCCCCAAGATGCCAGGCTTGACCCTGCGCGTGTGGCCCTGAGGAGGTTCAAGCCCCAGGGCCAGGGTTAGGTTCCAGTAATGGAGCCTCAGAAGGGGCTGAGCTGCAGGTGCCCCAGCCTTGCCTGTGCCCACTCACCCCCTCTCAGGAGAAGCCCGTGCCCTCCGTCTAGCCCTACAGTCGGGTCCAGCCCCGCACATGCTCACTCAGCCCTGGCAAGTACAGCGCTGTGTCCAGACCCAGAAGTTTCTGCATTTCCAGAAGACCAAATACTCAAGGTCGAGTCCCAGGAAGCATCAGCAGTCTGCCAGGCAGAGTAAAGAAGCTCCCACCCCACCCCCAGGGCCAAGGGGCTCGCTTAGAATCTAACCCGCCACCCCTCCCCAGAGCTCAGGGATGAAATGGCACCCTCTATTTAAGGCATCAGCTGTGCTCTTGAAACGGGAGGCTTTTGTGGGTTTTGAAGTGGATGAAATCGTGGCTGGGCCTGGGCCATGTGGACAGACCCACAAAAGACACACATGATCAGTCACAAGAGCAGCATGGCCAGGCTGAGGGGACACGCTGACTCCTCATGAAACAGAAAGCCCCAGTTCTTTCTTGTTCTTCTTCATTTTTTTTTCCTGGCTTTTTGGGCCACACCCGGCAGTGCACAGCTGACTTCTGGCTCTGTGCTCAGTGATAACTCCTGGTGGATTCAGGGCCATATAGGTTGCTGGGTCTTGAGCCTGGGTTGGCCATGTGCAAGGTAAGTGCCCTCCCCACCATGCTACCGCTCTGGCCCCCAGGGGAGCCCGTTCCTCCTGCAGCCCCAGAGGGCTCTGAGCCACGTTTTATGGTCACATGCAGATGCTGCCGCTGTGAGCACCGACTTGTGACTGACTCAATGGACAATCGCATGAAAACTCAACTCCCAAGCACAGCAGGGGGCATCTGCATATCAGCACCTCCCAAATTATGGCGACCCCCCTTAAACTGAGGGTCTTGGGGACAAGCAGGACCCCACCTTATGTGGCCATGGAACTCAGCCTGTGGCTGTGCCTTCCAGGCTGTTGAGAAAGGGGAGTTGGCCTGGACCCCAGACTTATACTTCCACCGGTAGGTCTGTGCCACCCTCCAGCATTGCAGGCTAGGCACCAGCTGGCCCCACGGTTCCTCCATGCAGCTCAGGGTCTGCCCCCCAAGAGCCCAGCACGGAGGCCCCATGGGTTTAACAGACTGCTGGGCCCTTCGTGCTTGGCCCCCTCGAAGCTCAAGACTCCCCAGCTCCCGCACCATACGTCCTAAGATCCAGCTCTGGTGGCCAGTGGGCAGCTGTAAGGGTTTGCCACAGAGAAGCTCTCAGCTATCTTAATTGGGACAAGGCGCCCATCTGTCACCAGTCTCTCATGCCCACAGCCAGGCCCACTAAGGACTGTACCACCAGAAAGTTGGGGTGCTGGGATCCCAGACAGCCCTGTGCTGGGGACCACTGGGAACACGTGAAGCAGGAACAGCCCGGGGAGGGGTGTCTAGAGGCCGCCGGGAGGCTTGGGGACTGGCAGCCGAGGCCCGTGCTGCAGGCTGGCAGGGTCTGAAGGAGACCCTGGTGCTCTCTGTGGGGGGTCAGAGACCGGAAGGAGGGAGCTGCACCTCCCTGGTGCGCTGGCCCTGAGGTTGCTGAGGGCAGGGCTTAATATGGCTCCGAGCTGCAGGGGCAGCATGAAGACATCTCTGGGCACACAGGGGGCCCTGCCAACCCCTCCTGCAGCCGCCGCCTCATTCCCTCCCAGAATCCCAGCTCAGAGGTATCTCGTAGCTTCCCAAGTCTTCCTGACTGAACCTGTCCATGTGGGGTGGCAGGGGCCCCTGGCCTTATCTCGTCTTGGCCCATAGCCCAGGAGTCTGGAGTGGCCCAGCAGGGGACAGGTCCCAGAGCTTGGCTAAGTAGCCTTGCGAGCTGGCATTTAGATTCCAGTCATGGGCCTGACCCTGCCCCACTTTCCAGAACGCTGCCTTTTCCTGGTCAGAGAACTTTCCAGAAACTTTCCAAGTCCTACTCAGAACAGCACAGCTCCCGGGTGCCAGCTGGCGTCTCCTGTAATTATCCTTAAATTACAGGGACAATTTTAATTTCACAATAATTAGAAATATCCACTGCTGCTCATGCCTTCGAAACTAATGGAATTTTAATGGGCAGCTGCTTAGGTTATGGCCAAGAATAGCAATTTTCCCAGCATCTGAAGCCAGGAGCCCAGAGCACTTCCTGAAGAGCAGAGATGGGGTGAGTGTGTTGGGGAGCAGGGCTGGGGGGTGGGGGCGGGAAGCTGTGGCAGGAGAGTTGGAGGTAAGCACTGTCCCTCCCAGACCTGGGAGCCCAAGTCCTTTATTTCCCCTGAGCAGCTGCCAAAATGCAGGTGGAGTGTGAGCTCCGCAGCCCGCCCCTGAGCGCCCTCTCTTGCATCTGGGGTCTGCGGGGTCCACACAGCCTTGCAGAGCTTCTGGGTCTGTCAGGGCTATGTGGCCCACGAAAACCAGAGCCTCGCCTTTATTTCTTTTTGGTGGCCAGACCTGCTGGAGCAGCTCGTGCCCTTGAAACCCTCACCCCAGAACAGCAGGTCTTTCTTTGACGAGTCCGGGCCCGGCCTCCGCCTTGCTTCTTTCCCAGAACTCCTTGGCACTTTCCTGTGGCATTTCCATATTTGTTCTAAAATTAGCTTGTCCATTTGGAATAAAGAGAAGAGCCTGCCGAGGGCCATAGAGGGGCCAAGCGCACGCACCGGCTTGTGTGCTCTGGGATAAGCCTCCTCAGAGCAGGGGCACTTGGCTAAGGCTCTGATATCACTTCCCCTGGGGCATAGGTTCTTGGTGTCCCTGGGTTTCTGAGGACGTCTGTGTGCCAGTGTGGCTTCCTTCTTTTTTGAGACTGGAGAGGGTCTCGGAGGGCTGAAGCACGGGCTTTGCAGTCAGGAGCCCAGCAGGAATAACCCGGGAATGTGGCTGGGACGCCCTCAAAACAAGAAACGGAGGAAACACTGTTCACTTTGCCCCTGCTATGTGATGTGTAGGTGACATTCCTTTCAGAAGGTCCTTGGGTCATGCCAGCATTTCCCCAAGGCTGCCCCTGGCACTGCGCTTGGCGAGCCAGCTGTGCCAGGCTTTAACACTGGGCCTCCTGCATAGAAAGTGGCACCCCTAAATTTAGGGAGATGGTTTGGGCCACACCAGTGTTTAGGGCTCACTCCTGGCTCTGTGCCCAGGGATCGTTGCTGGCAGGGCTCGAGGGACCATACAGGGTGTGGGGATCGAGCCCAGTTGGCCCCTTGGATAGTGCTTAACTGCTTAATCCCCATGCTATCTCTCCAGCCCTCCCTAAATTTTTATCTTTTGGAGTATCAAGCACCCAGAAGGAAACAAGCAGAGTAGCCTGATAACCAGGACGGTATGGGCCTTCCACACCCCACTCTTCCCACACATCCCCGTCTTCCCCCCGCCCCAGTTCTTGGCATTCTGGCTGCTGTTCAGACTTCCTGTTTTCTTCTATGGAGTTTTTGGGGGTTTTCAGAAGTTTTTTGTTTTCTGTCAACCAGCAGAAGTGTTGCAGTAAGGGCCTTTAGGCTGGCTCTTTGCTTGCTGAGTCGGGGGCTCTTGGTGCTGGGAGCTAGGTGCTCCATTTCTCACTGTCTCACCAAGTGAAACCCTCCAGTGTCAGGAAGATCACCGTTAGATCTTCCTTCCTTTGGAGTTGCCTATGTTTCTTTCCCAGCTTCTTCATGCAGAGGTCAGACATCTTTTCTATAGAAACATTTCAGGGGTGCCCCCCAGCACCCCCAGGGCCATACCTGGTGATGTGGAGACCACGTGAAGCCTGGAATTGAACCAACCCAATTCCGGTGCACCCTCAGGTTCACCCTCACTGCGGTTCTGTGCCCCACTCTTTGGTTATGAAGCGGAAAAAAGGCACCTCTGGCAGGGCTCAGGAGACCCAACATGGCATCAGGCAAGTGCCCAGCCCCACCGCCACTCTCTTCGGGTGGTTTTCCACAGTGTTTTCTCCTTTTCACTTCCGGTCTGCCGCGTTGTTTTTCTAATCGTGCTGGGGATTAACCTGGATCTCAAACTCAGTGCCCCTGAGGTCATGTCTCTGGATGGAAAGTAT